AATTTGAACCCCACTCCGTGACACCGAAACAGATGGGAAAGCACCACAACGTATTAAACTCGTCGAACATTAAATGTTCTTGAATTATACCTCACCCATGCTTGCTACGTGATGAAGCCCAAAGGTTAGTTCAATGCCAATCAATATTAAATGTCTTTAGATGGGCACCTGCTGCCCGATCATGGCCTTTATTGCAAAGCACTGTTCACACATTTGCGAGTCCTGCAGTGCCTTGTGGAATGGTGGGCGATACTTGCTGTTCCGCAAGGCACTGCAAGACAGATCAGGCTCAACTTTTGAATGTCGACGTGCTTACGGAATGCTGCAGCAAACCAATCATTCGCCGAGGGAAAAAGAAAGGACGCTGCATGCCTCCGTGTGCTCATTGCCAGTGTTTTCTGCTCTGCTATGTACCCTGCTTGTGTGCTGTGATTTGCAAGCCAGCGCGGGATATATTTCCTTGATTTGTTTGTCTGTTCAGCTGTGCGAGGTTGTGATTGAAACAACCAAGAAGTATAGACCGCCATTCTTTTCATCAAGCTAAGGCCTCACTCATCCGAACCGGGGACGATGACTGCTGTTGTTTACACGATTTTCGACAGCTATGTGGAGTGGCTTTGTGTTTAAAATTGCAATCCTAAGTGCAAAAAGAAGTTACCGCAGACTATATTGTTAAAGGTTGATTTCAACTGGCAGGCTCTGGCTACAACCACCTTAATATTCATTCAACATTGTTTGCATTTCTACTTACCCGTGATCGCTTCATTTGCCAAACACGTTAGTGGCCGGTCACCTTACCAATGAAACTAATGTGCTGGTGTCTCCGGCGAAGAATTCCCTCAGGGCTACATGCAATGCACAACCCAGTTTGTAGCCGGTTGTGACTGAAAGCTTTCACACTGGGGAAACGTTGTTGTCACAAACGCAGTCAAAGAATGCGATAGGATTGAGGGAACAGGGGGATTGTCCAAGTTGACTGACTGCATGAGCATATGTTTCTATCGCCACCGTGTTTCCTCCACGCAGGCGACGGAGAAAACGATATAGAGACTCCTCGCGCTTGCCAATGCCAAGTTTCTCTAAAACGTCGAAATACGAGACACCCAGCAGCGAAGTGTCGATATTGCCGGAGAGAGCGGCGGGACAACGATCAGCGCAGGATCGCGGCTTCGCCACTCTTATGCGACGGTGTCTTCGGTTTCCGCTCTCTGCAGCTTCCACCGGGACGCTAGCCGTGCCTAATTGTGCTAGCTTTGAGCACCACAGTTCATAGGGTTCACCGCGCCCGAGCGAAAGCTCGCGCAAAAGAACCGGCGAGCAGTCGAGTCGTTTCCAATCGACGGGGTGGCTAAACGCCGGTTGTGTGAATCGGGCTTAACGCCTGAGCCGGCTTGCTCAAAGCAAATCTAACGTTCTTGAATGTCATGTAATAAAAATCTGAGACGTGCTACATTCTATACAAACTTGATAAAAAAAATCAAACACTCACCTTCGGCTGCTACGTCCTCCGTACCGCTTCAAGGCAGAAGCAACATGGCGCTCGACGTTTGGGGTGTTGGGCTGGGGTGTTTTCAGTGTTGCTTACACGCCTAGTCGTGTAAACCGAATCCGAAACACCAATTTTTACTACCCCAAGTAATTTTTTGACGATTTATCACTAGCAGAGCGTGTAAAAATATGCTAACGAGTGAAAATGGGGTGTAAACAGGCGAAATATTACATTTTCGCTAACAGTGTACGCAGTCAGTCGCCGTCGCCCGACGCAGGTCGTTTGGCATTCAGGGCTTTCCGCCCCGGGTTCTTCCGGAAGCTCCTGAAGATACGTTTGAATTTTTATTCTTACTTTCAAGCTTCAGCTCTACATATACAACTGTTTAATGTTATCTCAAAGCATTTGCATTCCAGACAACTCCTCTGTGTATTTAACTGCAATTAAGATAAATAACCTATTGAGTTTAGTATTGCATTTGACGATTGTACTTCAATTTGTCAGGGTAAACCGAAATTATGCGATGATGTCTTCCAGCGCAAACGAGGACAGATATCCGACGAGAAGTTCGAGAATCAGCATCGGTTGCGTGCTAATAAACCATTCTGGTAAATCAGATTTGCGCAACTGTATAATTGTTTTTCACTGACGTCGATACAAATAACGCAACGCGGGAGTATCTTCGAAAGCAATTGATTGATATTTCTCAGTATTTGTTCTCTACTCAAAATACGTTATAGTGAAACAAACTTGAGTAGTATTTCAAATACCTTATGAAGCAGGTATTTAGTAACTTAACTATTTTTATCAAGTATTTTGTCCAACACTGAGTATATCCAACGCATTAGAAGGCAGGGAAGGCAGCCGAATCATATAAGGCAGCACATGCTGTTTGAACGCCGTTAAAGCCGTTAACAAACTAATGCCACGCTGGCTCCTTGCCGATGCAAAAATAGCATCAATGGGTGAAAGGCACATCGTATACCGGCGTTTCAGTTAAGTAACTGGACACTGAATAAAAAATCGGGACAATCGGGACAATATTGAATCTTTCTAGACAATCGACGTAAAATCTGGACAAAAAGTTGCTGACACTGTTATTGGGACACTTTTCAAAATCGGAACATGTCCCGGAAGTCCCAGCTCTACTTAAAACCTCTCGAATTTCGAGAAAGGGCCATTGAACAATATACTCTCGTGCGGTTTAAGATTGAGTGCACGCGTCATTCGTATAGGATCCTCATACGAACTCGCTCGTCCTGTCTCTTGAATCCATCTGGAGTCGCTCTGCTAGTTTTATCCTGTCTAACTATTCTACAAAGAAAAGCAAGCAAGCGTCTTTTCCAGGAAGGGTTATAGGTAATGTGAGCACCAAGGTACCTATGCGAGGAAACGAAAGACAAAGGAAAAAAGTACATGGATGAGATGGATCGGTCGACATTGTGACTCCCACTACTTTACATTTACTGCTATTTAGTTTCATTAGCCAAGTGTCACACCACATATAACTTTTATTCGGATAGGATAGAAGAAGTGGCGCCACTCAGCGCCAACTGGGCACGGTGGCCCGCCGCGACACCCTGGCACACCCTGCTCTCGTGGCCCGCCGCGACACTCCTACCTTTTTACTGCCCAGCTGCACCCCCCTGAGCGCTGCAACTAGGGCGTTTCGCCATCCCCCTTAGTGACGTCACTGGATTGATGGCTAGAATCATCGGACAAGTTAGAAATTTATCTTTATAGAACACAATCATCAGCGAAAAGTCTTATAGATGTGTGACGGAATCAGGAAGGTCGTTAATGTAGGTGAGGAAGATGGAGGTCATGCTCATTAGTGGATACATATTAGGTGCGACCATGGAAGAAGCCTTCAATTCATTTCAAAGCATTAGTATCAAGGTTAAATTTGCTAAGCGTGCAAAAGTAGTGCTTGATGTGACAGGGTATCATATGCCTTAGCAAAGTCAAGATAAGTACCATGAACTGCCGATGACCGGCCTAACAGAAAACAGGTAGTTTTCCCAGTTAATGAAAACAGAATCCATGCTCACAAAGTTTGAAACGCGACTGTCGGGAAACGCAGGCGGTGAAGAGTCAGTGGAAGGTAATGTGAATGTATTATTAAAGATGACACAGCAATCATGAAGTGACACGAAAACAACTGCAGTCAAATTTTAATAGGATGTCTTTTGTGGCGCGGGGGTTAACGACATTTCAAAACTTACGCGGGTTAGTAGATATCAATAAATATAAAAAAAAAGTAAAAAAAAAAAAGTGCGCTTGGCGCAGAAAAGAGCGTGATTGTATTCGGCTGTGGCATACAGACAAGAACACCATCTGTTATTGCAGCGACGAAAGAATAGGTGTTTCTTATTTTGAAGACGTACTTTGACGACATGTTGAACCACGGTGACCGACCCGAACAAGGTAGTCGACGGGGAGGTATATATTTTCTACGATCATATTCTGGGTTTTAAAAGGAGGATTATTTTTTTTTTATGAATCGATTGTTTCCAAAATTGCGGGGAAAGAAAGCAGCGAAATTTTTCATCTCGGCGGTTTTTCGTGGCGGCCGCCATGTTGAATTCTGACGTAGCTGAGTTGAGTTAAAATAGCAAATCACATTTATTTTTCGATTAGGAGGCACTATAATTCAGGTGGTTCGTGCCAATAGTTCTAGTTTTCTCTTGGCTATATTTTTTGTTGTATTTATGCTTAAACTATTTACTTTAGTTTTTCACGCCAAACACAACTACGTTATATTTCAACGTGGCAACCGTCACACGAAAACGGTCAATTGTCTCGAATTAGTTTTTACGTTTTAGAAGGGAGGGGGGAGCTTGACTCCAGAATGAAGTGAAAAAACAGAATGGTTGTTTCGACCCGGCAGTAGAGATAGCGATGAGACAGATTCAGGAGAGGTGGTCAATACAACGTTCAAAGTATTACCTGGTGAGCTAGTAATGCGAGTAGGCTTTTCTACGAGCTGACAGAGGTTAAAGGTAGAACACGTCTCAATGAAGGCGCTAAGCACTCAGATGAACTAGTAGTCACAGTAGGGCAGGATTCGTTCCAAAATATGCCAGGCAAATTGAAGTCCCACAGAGAAAATATTGGGGGCTTAAGAAACGTTTAAAGAAACTTGCCAGGACAATCAAATAAGCTATCACAAAATATGGGCGCATTTTGGGGCGGACGCTAACAAACACACAATATTATGTCTTTGTGGTTTAGACAGATGAACGTACAGGGAAATTCAAGAGGTGAAGGCACGAAAACGTCCTGAGAATTAATGTCATCAGATACAGCAATCGAGATACCACCGCTCGTGCACCCACGGCGAACGTTTCGAACAGTGTAATCTCTCTGACAGGTAAAAATTTACGGCTGTCTACTTTAATGGACAGCCACGCTTTGCAAAATGACGACATCGGTCATTCTGCGAACGTGCGCTAAAAACAACAATATTTCAACGATAAAAAAGAAAGAAAAAAAAAACACTCCTTTCATATCTAGTCACAGATAAATTCTTTTATTTCCAACAGACCAAAAAATACAACAACGTTACGGGGGAACCAAGCATCTTTTGTAGCTGAGTGCCCCCGGAAAAAAATATTTGCAACGAGTACCATTTTATACGTTGGAGACTCAGGTCATCTCGGGGTGCCATACCCTCTTGTCAATGATAGACTGCTGAGTAGGCGAAGACATCGCATCAAAAAGGAACTCTTCACAGCTTCATCACGGCAACGAACTCTTTGGTCTTGTCAATTAGCCTTCGACGGCATCGACGTCAGAAAAGTGAGACCTGAAAAAAAAAAATGTATATATATAAATTTGTTGTTTTATCTCCATAATAGTACAGTGGCGTACGAAATTAGTGTTAAATTAAAAAAAAATATGTTTCTATCCCCCCCCTTTCCCCCCCACCCCAGCCCCTAATATTTTGAGAGAACGTTAAATTAGCCGTGTGCATTCAGGATCGCACGACTGCTAAAACAAAGGCATGCGAGTAAGTGAGTTTGGTGTAACTATAAAGCTGCTGGACTTGACTGCACTTTATGTTTTCGGCAAAATTACATAACAATAGTCTCTTCTTAATAAGGAATATTCTTGGATTACATCCGATTGTGAGCGGTGCCATAGTGGCATGTTAATAAGGTTGAGTTAATTCTTAGGTAGCAAATATGCCTTTTCCTTTCAGCGGCATTCTAAACCTCGAATATAGCCAACTAACTTAAAAAAAAAAAGAATGATGATTTTTTTCTTACATACGTGCACTACAGGATCGATTTTTATTAGTTTTAACGTGTGCTAACAGTCTGAAGTGACTGACATGGGACATTATATTGATTGTACTTAAATTTCGGATAATCGTATTTATCAGCCATTGGCCTGTACAACCTTAACTAGGATGAAAATAAACTCAGTGATCAATCGATCGATAATTGAGAGGGGTGACGAGTGGAATTAAAAAAAAAAGCTTTGCGTGAAAATGATATCGGGTCGATTATTAATGAGAGGACATATTTAATGCAAAATTACCCGCGAGTTACCAGCTAACAATATTTCCCTCTAACACGAGTAACACATCAAAACACAGAATGTTTTTTGGTGGCAAAAATTAAAATTACAGAAGCATGACGAAGTTTTGCTATAAAATAAGTTAAAACGCCTACTATCTAAGAATAATGATAAAAAAAGTTTCTACCGTGCATCCAACAATTGAAAATTTAACTGTTTTTGAAGATGCACACGCAGCTCAGTTCTAGAGAAAAAAAACACACCTAGAATATATAAAGCTTGCAAATTGAGATTCGTATCTCAATAGGACTGAAATACTCCACGAGAAAAAGAAAAGCATTTTAGTGACTCATTAGTCAAATCCACAACACTAGCGTAGAACTGTGTTTGCTAACACATTTCAATACATATTTATATTCACAATTAATGTTTATTAGGGATATGATGAGAGAGAAAAAATAGAAACCAAACCAAACAGCCACACATTACCTCGAAAGAGACAGTCCAAGAAGCTTGGAGAGCTTGTCGGCTGTTGCACTGTTTTTCTTCTTCGCACGGAACTTCGCTGCAAATTCCTGGAGCTTATGAGAGTGAAAAACGGAGTTTTCTCGCTTTCGGAGCATGAATTCACTTGGAAGCATCCACTTGTTTTCGAGACACTCTGAAATTGCCGGCCTTTTTCTGAAAAATAAAACAAAAAAGCGCGAGCAATTTTGGTGATGCTCCTGCCGAATAAAATTAAAACTTGATGTTGAGAAATACGAATGCTCTTCGTTCTGTGTTGTTTCTTTGTTTCCAGCAAAACCGACTCACTTGGTTTTCGCTGGATTGAAACGGGAATTTCGAGCTTATTCATTCACGTTTGCTTCCAGCCAAACCGAATCTATACTTTTCTAGCAGTTCGCTATTCGCTAGAAGAGTCGCGTGTACAAAAAATGTCGAGGCAAAAACTGTGCTAGGGTCTTGTCTCTTTTATAGAACTAGAACGAAACATAACGAATTTATTGTGCTTCATCGCTTCAACACTGACTCTTTTATAAACTTTTTTGTTTGTTTGTTAAATGTATCGATGAATGGAACTGTCTGTCCACAGATGCTGTTAACAGTGACAAGGCGTGTGATTTCCTTGATAACATTTTTAATACTTAAGTGTGTTTCTACTTTTGAAATACTTACGAAGCAGTTTTGGTCTCACGGCTGGCAGTATGTTAAAAATAAAATAAAATAAATAATCAAACAAAAATAAGAATTAACTTATTAAATTATTACGCGATTTCATTTTTTTAAGAGTGCAAGGAGTTGAAACCTTCATTTGCTAGCAATAGGATGACTGATGTATAATTTGGGATTGACAAAGAATTGTAAGAACGGTTAACCTGGCCTGTCTCTCTTCTGCATTAAATTTGGTTAGACCTGGTTTGCGCCTTTTTGCAGCTTGTGAGGCGTCCTATATTGAAACTTGATTTTGGCTTTGTGATATGGAACTTTCATATTTAAAAACGTATTCGCTGGAGGCAGTGCTATACTCCGCGACAACGTTTGTTGGCAATGCAGTGGAAGGTACAGGCACGCGTTCCCTCTCCCATTTTGAGCGCTGAATAAAGCTGTGCGCGGGCTCTCCTCCTCTCCCTGGAAATGCCAAGAAAAGTTGTCGCCGAGTGTAGCAATACCGCCTAGAAGACAAGGCCTGCGCGTTTCCTCCTCTAAACGTCATCACTTGTAGATCGCCTCAGCGCCCCCTAACTAGCCCGAATGAGCACCATCGTCTGCTACATCGCCTGCGACATCGTCTGCTACATCGCTTGCTTCAGTGGTTTGTGTAACAGATAATGAAACAGATGCTCACGGGGTGCCTCAATGAAGGCACCCTACTCACGCCGAGTGTATGTTGCTGTAGCATACGATGAAGTTAGACGTTCATTTGGAGCGGCAAATGCACGAGTGAACATGCCTTACTGCTGTGCGAAAAGCTGCAAAGCCCTTCGCTGGACGCTGACACTGGACGCCATTTTTGAGGGCGTTGTTTATACTCCGTTCACTCTTAAGCGAATAGTGTAGTGAACACCACAAGCACGAGAGTTTGCGGTCGCTGCTTTGAAGCGTTCTTCCTCCAAACGAGCACTCGCGCCAGAAATGCACGTCCATAGCTATGGCACGTCCCAAACTAGGAGTGCGGGCTAGCTCGAGCTTGTAGCTTTGGCTGCATTCTCAGATTAAGTGCACCGTCTCGTGCTCTGCTCGCGCAGACCCACAGCGGCGTTGTCGCGCGTGCAGAAAGATTACAGTTTCCAGGATTCATGCAGGCAGCGACGGTGTAACGAAGCTTAACCGAGATATCAATGTATTTGTATCCATACTTTGTACAAATATGTAAAAGTAGATACATAGCAGAACATGGTATGTCTTTTGCCTTTGTCTGTACCTCACATAAAACGTAACTTTGCTCAATAGTTTACCTAAAACAAAGGTGTTATATCAATTTAGTAAAGAAAGCAAGCCTTCGAAATTAGATACCCACAAAGCTATGCACAATACTGAAAAAAAAAGAAAGAAATTGTACCTAGAGATTTAAAGGCCCGTTCACACACTTGAAACTCTTTAGAACCAAGTGCCTTAAAACCTCTTAAAATCTCTGACGACGAGAGAACACACTGGCACGCTGGCGCCATCTATGGGATGACCCTGGAACTGCATTTTACAAGAGCGAAGGTTTTGCGGTATTTGCGAAATCAAATGTACGTACTACCAATGAGAAACGGTCGTTTATAACGTTGACAAGATTTTTTTTCGAGCCAAGAAAGAATAATGCGCAAAAAAATATAAAGAATATACGGGACCGCCAATGGTTCCACTGCTACTCGATATTTGGCGCCATTGTCTTCTCTCGTCGTAAGAGATTTCAAGAGGTTTCAAGGCACTCGGTCTTAAAGGGCCCTTGAAAAGAAAAATAAATGTTTTTTTTTTTAACAATCTGGTTGGGGACACGCGTGTCAAAAAATCAATTTAAGGCAAAAAAATAATTTTAGAGCAGTATTGACGGCGCAAGACGCTATTTAGTCGGTAGTCACCTCCTTTCCACTTGTTTTCTCTCAGGGAATTTCGGGCGCGTGGAGGAGAGGTGGATCGGCTTCGCCTTCACGTTGAGGGGGAAAGAGGAAATGACCATCTCGTTGAGGTCGAAAGAGCGAATGACCATTCCGTGACGTCATGGACTTTGTGCGCAGAATTTCAAATCAATCTCTCACCGTCAATATTGCTCTAAATTTTTTTTTCGCGCAAAATTTATTTTTTGACACGCCTGTCACAACCAAACTGTAAAAAAAAAAAACATTTTTTTTTTCTTTTATATTTTAGAGGCCCTTTGAGAAGTTGAAAGTGTGTGAACGGGCCAAGAACACTGGCTTAGTTCAAAACTGCCCTAACCGCCAAAACGAAAAGCCATACAGAGCGGAGTTGCTTTTAAACAGCCGTAATCCCTAGTTCCAAATTGCCATAATCGCCAAATAGAAAAACCGTATAGAGCGAAATTACTCTTTAAGCTGTCGTAATCTTTGACCTTGCTGCGGATGGTTTTTCTATTCGTTATTCTTCTTCTTTTAGATTCGTGCTGTATTTGTTGTGTACCACATAGAAGGCCTTGCGTTGTTTGTGGACATGTCAAAATGAAGATTAACAGTATTAAAACGTAAGACAGCCCCCCCCCCCCCCCCCCCCTCCTTACTGTTGTGATCGGACGTCAACAATATCCTGCCCATTCAGTTCTAGTGGTACAGTGCAGTCCACTTATAACGATATTGAGAAAACCGCAAAATCCAATCGTTATAGCCGATTATCGTTATATCTGGATCAAATCAAATCTAAAAAAATAGCGATCAAATCTAAAAAATTTGATCGCTATAAGCGATATATCGTTATATCTGGTATCGTTATAAGTGGATTACACTGTATTTATGTTTTGGTTGCTATTTGTGTTATGTATTTCTGCACGTAGGCGAGGCCTGCTTCGTCACATAAAAAGACAAACAACAACAGCCATGGGAAGCATTTCCAGAAACTTTATGCTCTGGTGCTATCCTTCAGCCATGAGAAGCATTTCCACAAAACTTTATGCTCTGGTGCTATCCTTCACGTTATACGCTGTGGTGCCTGGTATACGAAAATCACGAACTACTGCCAGTTTCCGTTGTCAAGATTTTATGGGGAATGGACTACCCCTTGTTCGAACCCTGCACACATGGTTCAAACCCTGCACTTTTTGCTTCCGAGTCCAGAACAGAACCTCAACACGAGGGAGTCGTCCCAGCGATGCGAGACAAGGTAAAATACAATATTGCGCGTTTGCATTTCGGTCTACGTGAAGGTACGCTAGAAAGTATTGCGTTCGTTTTATTCCAGCAGAAATCAGAAACGAAAACATTTACAATGGACATAGAAGGCACCTGCGCATAAGAAGAATTGCGCGCAGCTTTGTTCATGGTCAAAACTCCCGTGTACTCGTCAGTAAATTTGAACTTCAAAACAAAGCGTTCGAATAGAAAAGACGTCTTATCACATCAAAAAAAATAAAATGGTACTGTAGTGAAGTTATTGCACAGTTTGAAATCGTTGAATACCTTACTCTAAATGTTCAGCCCTATAGTGGTAGAGACGTGTTTTGGGCTCCCTCGAACCACATATATGCGAAGGGGTAAACTAGTTTCTGTAGAGCACTTACTCTGGCGTCCTCTTAAAAAGTTGCATGATGAATCTCGTGGCCTCAGCTGAAGCCTCTTTGTACAACTTGTCGAAATGGTAGCGCACATACATGACGTTGCTTTTTGTATCTTCCTCGTCACTTCCGAGGAATGGTGAGTAGCCACTCAATCTGCAATGAAACGTTGAAGATATGTGCACTGGTCCCCGATTACGCTTCGTTCTTAGATTCCTGAATGCGTAGTCGGTTCAATTGAAGTTCCTAGACAAGAGGTTCCTACAAATAGCGACATTCTTTGAAGGGCTGACTGCGTGACGGTGCAGGTTTTAGGAAGCGAATGGCGGCGCACAGCAGAAGAGTGAACTGTATGACGCCATTTTGTTCCTACGGAATCTGCTTCGTCATTCCTTTAGTTGTCGTTACTTGTAAAAAGAAGCATCAAGAGGCTTCAGGTTCAAACAGTGCGTTTGGCTACTAGGCAATAAAAGGAAGACAGAATGGTACAGCAGATATACTCACAAAATGTAGGTCAAAACACCAACACTCCAGATGTCTGTGGCGTGACAGACTTCATTACCTTTCAGCACCTCCGGAGCTGAAATCAGAGTCAAGCGATCATGAGTAATGCTTAGTGTTGTTTATCCTTGCCTCAAAATTTTACAGCGGAGCTGTTAAGGGCTAGTTTCTCCAGTTCCGTGTCCGTGGACTAATAAATATCGACACAACTTTCCGGACAGCTACCTCCAACTATGAGCGACGGCGGCAACCCGACTTTCGGCTTGCCGGTTGTCTGGTTACCGTCGCCGCTTATAGATGGGGGCACATAGTACAGCTCCGCTGCTCTTCCTTATTCACCAAAGTGGAGAGGCTGAATGTTTTTTTTATTAAGGCGAAAGCCTTATGTGTCTTATTGCTCAGTCGACCTTCAAAGTCCTTCAGCGAAAAGACGTCGGCGACACGAAAGGTACCAAAACGTTTACGTGACCACTCAGTGGATGACTAAGCGAATTAAGATGATGACTCCTCATATTAAGAAGGATGACTCACCACATTGAGAAGGATTACTCAGCACATTAAGAAGGATGACTCAGCACATTAAGAGGGATGACTGAGCGAGTAAATTACGTCCGTCTTTAATGCATCGGCGCTTGGGCTTTCGCCTTCAAGTCGTATTAGGGATAACATACGAGACCCTGTGAATTTTTGTGAATGTTTTTTACACATTAAATACTTGCATTAAATCCTTGCGCTGAATAAATTCGCAAGAAAATTTACAACTACACACAAGGAACATCCCCCAAGCGGCTGTCATAAAAGGACTATGCTCTACATACTCAGTGATTGCTTAAAAACCTAGGGCATGACCTATTATGTTCAAGATTTTTTACTTCGTGATTTCTTCTTCGACGTTATTATTGCCTAATGCCGCGATTTTATTGGTGGCGGAGTCATAATAAAGGCCCGTTCACACACTTGCAACTGAGTAGAATCAACAGAGACAAGACAGGTTTTTAAGCCTCTTGCGACGGCTCAGGACTGGATGTGCTGCTGCGGAGCTGTTCCTTATGGCCCGTTCACACACTTGCGGCCGAGTAGGACCAACAGAGACAATACTGATTTTCAAGTCTCTTGCGACGGCGTAGGACCAGCTCCACAGCAGCGTATCCGGTCCTACGCTGTCGCAAGAAACTTAGAACTGGTCTTGTCTCGGTCGGTCATACTCGGTTGCAAGCATGTCAACGGGCCTTATGCCGTCACAAGAGGCTTAAAAACCGGTCTTGTCTCACTCGGTCCTACTCGGTTGCAAGTGTGTGAACGGGCCTTAAGAGGATTGGGAGTCACCACGCCCTTCGTTTCTTAAGCTGTCAGTGATTGGAGATTAAAGCTCTGTTGAATAGGAAAATAAAGGCAAAACGTACCGAGGTATTCTATGCACGCATTCTTGCCCACATTGACCACCGCCCCTGTTCTTGGTACAAAGCTTGCGGAGCCGAAATCTACAAGCTTGATATTGCAGCTGTTCGCGTCAGTCATCACCACGTTGTCGGGTTGGAGCTCAATATAGCAAATGCCGCGGAAATGCAGGTATTCCAGTCCGTCAAACACCTGAAATTGCAACAACAACAACAAGGAATCGATATTATGGTACAGGATATTGCACGAACTCTCAGAGCACAATAGAATTTATGAACCAGGAATAAACTCTTGTTCCGATGGTCTAATTCCACATAAACAAAATTTCTGCTTCAGTGTAGAGGCGCGAACAGATACTGTCTGTTTTAACATGAGCTACGAATAGCAGATTTTGAACTGAATCAAAATAATGCAAGTATAATTGAAATAAAATTAAATATTAAACGGTTTGTGCAAAACATGTTTTGCCGCTACATTTGCCGAATCCATGGCCGTCGTCTTTCGCATGGAAATCAATATCTTGGTTAACTTCGTTGTTTCGAACGTTTCGGCCGGCCGAAACGTCGAAGATTAAATCGTCCGTTGTTGCTGTTTTCACTAAGGGTTTTTCTTCTCAGTTATATATATATATATATATATATATATATATATATATATATATATATAGTGACAGGACACTACAAAAAATAGTTTTATGCTCTGCAAAAACACCACAAAGCACTACAAAACCATTTTAGAGGGGAATCGGTGGCCGAGTGGGCTAACGCACACCAACTCGGAGCACGTGGAGTGAAAGCTCGCGCTGCAAAACCCAGGGACCCTGGCCTCAATCCCCACCTCTGCCCGTTTCGATCTGGATGAGCATCGTATCGGCGTGCGGTCGTGTATCACTACTGCGTGATGCACGTTAAAGACCTCCGGTTAGCGGTTGTACCGCAGTGGCTAAATTTCTCATCTACAGCTGGGAAGACAAGTCACCCGCTGAGGCAGACTAAGTTTAGGCTGTATAAACATACCCCCACCCCCCTCCCCCCAAGAAAACAACAACAACAACAAAAAACAACAACAACAACAACAACAGCAAAAACAAATAAACAAACAAAAAAACAAAAACATAGTAGACTATGCCACCTTTGATTGCAAAGTCTAGTCTTTATAATCGTCTTATAGATTATAATACGCAAAATACTCTAAATAAATATTTGCCCCCCCCCCCCCACCCTTTTCCCAGGAAAACATACAAACGCAAGCTTTGATATTGGCTCACTGCATTCTTGTAGCAATATAAGTTTACACAACTAATAGCAGAGCTTTAGCTTGAAAATAAATATGTCATATAATAAACCTGTTCATTGCACAATGTTCTAAATCCGAAGTGTTTTTATACCTGCTTGATGATGCCTGCCACCATGTCTTCATTGTAATGGTTACGCAGTGTGAGGTATGTCAGGACATCCATCCCAGAAAGCCTCTCCATTCCGAGAACAAGAAGGTCATCGTGGAGACTTGCTGTTTTGAGAGCAACAATCCTCTCATGGCAAAGACTTTTCATAATTTCATATTCCTTCAGAACGAGGCTTTCAGTGTCGCTGCTTGCCAAGACCGTCTTTAGGGCAAGGTTGCAGGACAATTTCTTCGATGAACCATTCACCACTGCTCCAAAGCGGCCGCTGTAGGGGCAACAGGCGAAAATATTATATTTTGCTCAAAACCAATACTAATTCGTAACTCTAGGGTAATGAAAGCCAAGTTAAGTAATCCCAACCTCGAAAAAAGAAGACGCGAAATGTGGAAATTTCAAATAAATTTCTACGTCTGCAAGCAATCGTATAAATGTACGTCGAAGCATTAACCTATAAAAAAAAGTTAACTAAAGTTTGGAGCTGAACTGAATAAATGTCTGCTCTTTAACGCTAATAATCCCCGGAGAAGGGGAACAAAGAGAACATAGGACAAGCACAAATCTCAAATTTGGAGATTTGTGTTTGTCCTTTTGGGTTCGCCTTGCTCCCCTTCTTCAGGGATTATCTTTATTCTTGTCCAGCTCGCTTGCACCTTTGCATTAATTGCATTATCATCAGTCTATTCTTTAACGTTTGGAATTGAAATGATTCACTACAAAAAGTGGTGGAAAAAAGTAAACCGCACAGTTAATAAAGACGAAACACCTTCTTATAAAGCACGATTAAAAAAAAATGTAGACAAGCCCAATAAGTTATTCTGTTTCACTGAAAGGTAAATAGTTTTATAGCTACCAAAGAAACAAACTTAAAGCTGTAGCTTATTTCCAGGGTATAAATCCTTGAATTTTTCAGTCCCATGCCTCCTCATCTCAAATAAATATTGATTAATAGTCCTTATAAATTGTCCTATTTATTGCGATTGGTATTCATACATGCATTTCGTATCAACACATTCATAATGCATACAAAATCAGTGTTAAGTGCATGAATACTGTATGTCAATATCCTTCCAACAGATCTTCAACATATTCTGACGTATTTGCTAATGAAATCAACCAAAAGGCGACTTGCATTATGTGTGGTTGCCCGTTTTTTTTATATATATATATAATCGCAGTTTTATTGTGAAATTAGTAAATTAGACCAAAAACGCAGTCTGAGTTGTGACATAAGCAATTAAGAGTGACGTTTGGCATTGCTTAATGTCAACTCAGACTGCGTTTTTTGGTCTAAACATATGTTTCGACATCGTCATTTGCTGAGCTGCCTCCGTAAGTTGCGGTGATTGGCTCTCCGAGTGTTGTGCGGGAAAGTAGACGCACGAGCTTTTTTTAGAGTGCAGATGATTTCTGCAGCTTTGATACGTAAGCACCTTAAATTTCTTTGAAAAATTCAAGTAAAGTATCAATAAATAGAACATGACTTTCATAAGAGTGGATTCCTCTCTATATGCATATTACAAGGTTTTTTTTTTTTTTTTTTTTTAAAGGGACTATGAAGTGACCTTTTTACTTTTGTCAAATAACTTTTACATTAAACCTTCGATGATCACTGAGCGCGGAACAGGCATTGTTTTTGTATCGGTTTTTTAACGTCTACACGAAAAATTATTGAAATATCGAGTTTTGCTTCCTCTCCAGCTGACCGGAAAAAAATCCGCGGCGTAATTTTGACGGTCGTGACGTACTACGGCACCGGGCATGCAGTAGGAAAATGTGAGCGTCAGCGGCGGGCTGGTAGTTTGCCGGTAGGTTTTACCACAGGATGTTACTGCGCTGATGGCGCCGATGCCACCGACATATCTGAATGGGCGCCGATGCCACCGACATATCTGAATCGGCGCCTCTCACCACCGCGATAGCCACGGACACATAGCAGCTGAGCGAATTTCAATTAGATATGTTGCGCTACAGCGACAGCGTGGGACTAGTTCCATAAGCAAGTACGAAGCGCAGCAGGTCGTCAGCACGACAGCCGCTTCTCCTCCGCCGTCAGCCGTTTCCGCTGTATCTCTAAAAAGAAGGGGACGCGCTGTCACTCACTGGCGTAGCAGAATATACGCAGTTTTCTATAGGTTCAAGCTTGATTAACTTTTATTTTGTCAGAATAGGCTCGCAGGGCAGAGTGGATTAAAAAAGAAAAGAAAAAAGATGCACTACGCTGTCTTGGACGATCACGGCTTTAAAACACTTTATGTATAGTACAGACCTTGCCACACGCCTTTTCTACGATTGCAAAAGACAATGTAATCTTAACAGAGGTATAGCAACGTAGACATATGATTTCGTGATAACATAGACGTTGTGATCGTTCAAGGAATGCTAGCACTAATAGCTTTTCTCGGGTGATGAAAACGCGTCAAAATTCGCATCCTTCATACGAGCCTTTAAATACAGTACGCACCAGTCATAGGGAGTTTTAGGGAACCGTCTTTACACGTCCGATAGGGTACGATGAGCCCTCCGGTACGAACTGCGCAAGCGCTACCACAGAAGACTCCCATCTGCGCAGCTCGTACCGGAGGGCCCAACGTACCGTATCCGATGTGCAAAAACGCTTCCCTAACACTCCCTAATATCTGGAACTTCTGCACACGCATGGATGCGCAAAATAAGAAATACGAGAGGTGTTCGAGGAGACAAATGCTAAGAAAGCACCGCAGTAGTCGAAGTAGACAAAGACGACAGCACGAGCGTTTCTGCTGTCCTGAGGGTGCCGCCACAGCATCGCCGCACGAGTAGATGGATCTTCCTTTCGAGGACGTGCTGGGTTATCATCGCGACACGCGACGAGAATTCAGTCAAGGATAGCGCTCTACGCGGAATGATGAGCTTCTACCACGCCGACCACGTCAACTATTACCCGCGACGCCATGTTTTTCAGCATAACTGCGCGAAACAGCGCAGGCGCAGTTAGCTTTCTCTTGCTTCGCTTACCACACGATAGATGGCGCATAGCTTCCAGAGTATTATAAAATTCAGCAATTTCGGTCACATCCCTAATTATTCAACAAAATGTGGATCAGAATATTTTTTTTTACAAAACATTTAAGAAATATTCGCCGGCTATTTATTGTTTATGATCGCGGTGCTAATGAGGTAGGCACTTATCCAATAGGTGTTGTGGATTCGGGTGACGTGCCGTCAGGGGCGGATCTAGAACTCCGGTTTGGGGGGAGGGGGGGGGGGGGGGTGGCGTGAAAATTCGTAAGGATACTGTTTTCCCATACGACGGAGTGGTTCTCCAAGTTCAGAGTAAAAGTGTGCCTGCTAGGGTGCGACCTACCCTATTTTGAACCCTCGTCCTTGAGTACCGAGCCTTCTACCACCTGGCAGGCCGGTAATCGGTTTTATTTGGGGGGGGGGGGGGGGGGGGTCGGGTCGGGGGTCTACCCATGTCAAATTGCCCTCCGAAAAGGGGGGGAGGGGGGGGTCGACTTAGTTTGGGAGGGGGGGAGCGGCTGCCCCCCCCCCCCCACCCCCCCCCCCCCCTCCCCTTGGATCCGCCCCTGCGTGCCGTGGCACCGCGGATGCATCGCAGTGAAAAGACAGAGAGCTTTCGAAGGAAAGAAGGTCTAAAAGAGACCGATTTTCTTGAAAACGTTCTATAGCGAAATTGTTTTTTTTTTCTCTCTATTTTTGTGTTTTGGTTTCCTTTTCACAGCTTTTATTAGGTGCGGTGGACGAAATTCGGTTTCAAAATCGCTTCATGGTCCCTTTAATTAATACCACCTTGTTTAAAAAAAAAATAACTATTAACAACTCACTCTATAGTTATGTTTCAAAATACTTTATGCGAAATTGCTTGGTTGTCTGACAACATTAAGAGAGTCACCATTTTGAGTGTTGGCAAGCGTCGTCGGTACCGAAGCACGGTGAAGGCATTGGAAACAACCGTACGGGCAGTGTGCGATGGCGCGGCAGCTGTGTTTTCCGCCTTACGACCATGGAATGTGTACAAACAGTTTAAACAACCCACCGCAACTGTCTGACGAAACTCTCGGAGGCCTCTGCATGCTGGTGACAACCCACAGCGTATAAGCTTCCACAGCGAAGGCGTAGGACTTGGTCCGCTGCTTCGACGAAGTTAGCGCCTTCATGCACAGGCCTCCGAGAGTTTCGTCTGACAGTTGCGGTAGGTTGTTTAAACTGTTCGTCCACATCGCATGGTCGTAAGGCGGAATACACAGCTGCCGCACCGTCGCACACTGCCCGTACGGTTGTCTCCTATGCCTCCACCGTGCTTCACATCGGCGACGCTTGCCAACTTTAAAATGGCGACGCTCTCAGTGCTGTCAGATCACGAAGCAATTTTGCATAAGGTCTATTAGGATTTTCTATCAAAGTCGTAATTCCGAGAGGCTATATATATATATATATATATATATATATATATATATATATATATATATATATATATATATATATATATATATATATATATATATATATATATATATATAGGTTTTTTGTTCGTTTTTGTTTTTCAAAAAGAACGACTTATTTTTTAAATATTGATTGATAGTGTTTTTTCTCGTGCTGCCTTATTCTGAAGCTGTATGCCGAAAGAGCGCTTGAAATCCCGCACACAATGATTCGAAAACAACGGTGACGGGCTTTTTCAACAACGGGATTTTCTCAGAGTATGGGGCCCTAAACCCGTCAAACACAAAGTTGGAGCCGAAAGTTTGCGAAGCGCGCCGATTGGACGCCGGCGACAAAAGCGCGAAGTCATCGTCGTGATAGTCCAATCGGTGCGCTCCGTGATCTTCGGCCCCAACTTTGTGCTTTGACGAGTTTAGGGCCCCATACTTTAGCCCCAGGAAGTGTTCCTTCGTCGCCTAGTTTCGAAATCAAGAGGCATTAAAGCAAACAAAGTTTCGATTAATATATCGATTTAGATTTCAATTTTGTTTGCATTGAAAACGCTATCCGGTAATGTATCTTATATATATTGTCACGAATGACAAGTGATGAGGCGGCGAATAGAAAAATGCACCTTTTAAAGACAGGCATATTGCATAATACTTTAAATTGTACTTACACAGATACTTCTGAGCTGAAAGAGTACAGTTCTTGCAGACTTCCCGACTCAAGCTGAACAGGACTGCTTTCTTGACTGTAGTCCAATGAAACTCTGGTGTCTTTGCGTATAGCGTGCCCTGGATCACACTCAAAGATTTCCTCTTGGTACTTGTGAACTTGAGACAGTTTTATCTTTTCCGCAGAACCTAAAAGAGCCAGTTTCTGAGCTTTAAATTTCCAGGCTTTGAAATGAAAAGTGGGAAGTAACGACTGAATCATTTGCTTCATTCGTTACTGGTTCATACAATAAAACTTAGATGGGATATGTGGGTCGAGCTGAAGCAGATCGCTTTTGGAAGTTACATCTCTACTTGATATTTAGGAAGCGCCTTATACTTCTGCTCCTGTGCAATGTTTGTACTCTAAGAGTGTCAATTACATATTCTGGTTTTACAGAGAAATACATATTGGAATATGTTGCGGTGCGCGTTAAACGAAGATCGATTTTAGCGCACCCTCGGGTTTCGTGCTGCAGGCGTCAGATGACAGACTTTCTTCACTCCATCCAAACTGATTTTTGGCGCTAACTCGGAAGAGGTAAGTCGTCGATGGCTGGAGATCGCGAGCCACCCAGAATTCTTGCGTGATGACATCGCACAGCTTTTTCCATTCGCTTTCTCCTGAAGAAAGAGAGAGATAGAGAGAGAGAGAGAGGGAGGGAAAACAAACGCAAATGAGAAACACCCGAGAAATACGAGGTTCCACTCAGCGGTTTGCAAATATAGCAGTGCGCATATGTACAGCATTTATGCTAATTCTGCTAGTTCTGAGCGCTTAAGCTGCATATGTTTATGTGGTTTAACGAGTGTATGGACAACTGTCCTAAACATACGAGTTATATGGCAAAGTGAACACAGACTTGTACCTTGGGCAAGAATATTTATATTTTATGACTAAGTAGATAATTATGCACAGAAACATGAGTGTTCCACAAAAAAGAGACTATGTCAACTTGACCGTCGGAGATTCCTGCTGCGGTAACGTTAACAATCTTAAAAAAATCATCCTAACCAAGAATGTCAATAACAACAACAGCAAAAAATCCTTAATCGTGAATGTCGTGCCAATTATACGAGAGAAAATGCTATTACTCCATACGGCCTGCGGAAAAGCGAGGGAACTACCTTTTCACAACGTCGTGTATAACCAAAACCTTCTACTGATGCTTCAAATGTTGTCGTTAATGCGAGTTATTAGTTGGTCATTTAATGGTACTTTATACGTTGACCGCGAATATTAAACATACTCAAAAATTAACGAACCACTCATTTTTGTTTACTCACATACACTTCGCCCGCAAAAGTGCGACGAGCAACACTCACCTGGTTCCTTCATTTCCAAGCAGAAGCAAAGCGTGCGAGCGTTCCCCTCGTGCTTTGGGCTGCACCATTCAACGTAGGCTTGGTCAGAGGTGCATTGCTTACAAACAGGTGGTTCCGGACGAGAAGGACGTTCTAAAAAAAAAAAAAAAAAATTGTATCAAAAGACACACACACGTTTGAGGATTTGGTGTCTTGCTACTTTGCCAGATAGTTAAATTCGCCACTTCAGCCCGCCGCTCGCCCTCTGGCGCACGAACGAAGAACCAGGGGAGCGGGAACGGCGACAAAGGAGGTGGCATGGACTGTCGGCCTTGGTGTTGCATTTACTACATGGTTCTAGTCGGCGTGTTCGTACATTATGCAGTTTTAACGGAAAAAAAAGCGAGTGCGTTAAATAGCAATTGTTGTGTTCCTCTTCGCAACTTTTTAAAAATCAACATACCCATTTCCTTAACGCACGTCAACATCTCCGTCACCTGTAATATGCTCCTGCCCTTACCGCTTTGTATTAGTAGCCAAATATATTCATTTTAGCGCACTGACCAGCGTCAGCGAGCAGGCGCACGAGAAATCCTGAAGAATCTATCCCCGTTTCTTCCGCCATCTTGGAAGTACCGTTCCGCCCTCTACAGGGCGTTGGAGCTGCGAATAGTTTTTTTTTTCACAATGCAATAGTTGGCTTGCTTAAAATTAAGATAAAATATACTCTCTTGAGCTTCAAGTTTATTAGCTCAAATAAATTACACCGAAAAAAAAAAGCTAATTTGAACGAAGCGCGATTTACCTAAATTACAAACGTTGGCCATGAAGATATTCATTCTCGTCATAACGTCCGAAAACTCAAAGGCATAAGACGTGTTGAGAAAAGTTTAGAGCTCTAAGGTAGCATATAAATTCTAGAAGCATACAAACTGAACATATGATACTTGTTTTCCATGACCAAAACAAGTAAAACATATTTGTTTATATGAAAATAGGTTGAAATTAAACCCAACAAAGTTTCAAGACCCTGGTCGCGCAATCAACGTGTAAAAGTGGTATGTAAATTAAAAATAAAGACGGTTCCGAAATGATGTAGTGTGCGCCTAGATGATATAAATAATAATTGTATATCTTGATTCCCGACTAGAATCGTGATAAACCGAATCCTACAGTGGCATTAAAGACGCTCTTAAGTTCGTCCTTTTACGGCGATAGCTCGATCTCACGCTTTAAGCGTCCCAAGAACCCAAAATTTCGATCATGCGCAGCCTATTTTCGATGTTAAAAATGCGATCAAAGATTACGACACGCCGCTTTTCGTAGACAAAGGGACGTGTATTAATCGCACATGATAAAAATTTTGGGTTTCTACGGTGCTTAATGCGCGTAGGCTGAGCTATCGCCATAAAAAGACGAGTTCTAAAACATCTTTACATCAGCCTCAAGAAGCACGAGAATGGGTTATGAAATCACGTAGGTGGTATAAACGGTTAATATTAAATTTGGTTTACCGGATTTCAAAATATTTATATAAGGAAATACATTGGAAACAACTTATTTGAAACACCACATAGAGAATACTACTACACTAAACAAAATTACTTTCATCATGCCAAGCAGTGAAGTGGTCCTCGATTTTTTTTTTCAATTATAGACAGCGAACGACAGCGGGCTATTTAAGGATTGGCCTGAACAAATGAGTAATATGCAAACCTGACAAAAGAAGTGTACAGAGGCTTTTTTTTAGACGTTTTCTCGAATAGATTGAGCAATCTCTGCATAATAAACGTTCACCATCTATTTCTTCGCAGGCATCGTCAATGCAAGCTTTAAAAGAATGACTAGAGTGCGCGCCGTAGCAGTTGAGTAGTAAACATGTTTAAAAGGAGTGTGTAGTGAAAAAAAAAATATACAGAAACAGTGTGCTGTCCACGGAACATTTTTTTTCTCGGATGCGCACGAAAGACAATGGAAACGTTTACAACATTGCTTTAAAAACATATCAGTGTCCTACAATAATGAATACTCGTCATGATTGAAAAGCGTCGTGATACTTTCTTCAACCATGAAATACGTAACACAACAATACTAAATCGTAAACACACATAGTCAAAACAAAGCACACAATCCTACCTCCAATTTTGAGTCTCGCATAGCACAAAGCAACACCGTGGCTATTTCTTGCTGCACATTTAAATACACCAACATCATACGCTTTTCCAGGCTTCAGCAGCAGCTCAGAGCGACCTTCAGCATCCTGTTTGATCTGAAATATAACGAAAACCTGACTCAGCGGACACGTCAAATTTTCAAATTATACTTACTTCACAAATTCGCTAGTTCTTTTTTCCTTCAAATTATGCAAAATACCTTCGCTTACGCCTAGGCTTTCTCTCCTTCCTTACTCATGGAACCTCGGACGCGAGGCTGATGCTGACGAAGTATTACTTTTGTCAAGTCCCCTATTAAATTTTGTGGGTGCACCGGGGGGCGCCACTTTGTAAGGACACACTGTTTTAATAAGTTATCGATGTAGGTCATAATTCGTATATGTCGATAAAGATTTGAAGCATTTATTCACTTAATACACTGTGAAACTTAGAAAAAATAGCATTCATTCGAAAAGTGATCTTTATACATTGCAAATGAAGGTTGCAAATAAACTATAAGTGCCTATAATAAGACAACATTTAACAGTAATATTTAATTTCATAACAGGTCGATGCTCGTGTGCGTGTACATATCCTCCTATATAGGGAGCTATGCATGTATGATATTATGGTTTATGCCCAAACCGACCAATTAAGAATACTATAGAAAAAAATTTGGAATGAAATAAGGTGTGAACTGAGACTGAAAAATTTGAACCAATTAAAAGTATATGATTGCACATCAAAACAGGCCTACTTACTTGTACTCTGCTACTTTCGATGAGAATACTGTCGTTCCTAAACCAACTGTACTGCGGGGGTGGATTGCCAACTGCATAGCACCTGAAGACGACGTCATCATTTTCTTTGATCACGCAATCCTCGATTTTTTCTCTGAATAACGGTACCATTCCTGCAGAGAGAAAGAATTCATGCACTGGTCACTCGAGAACAGCAAATTCACAATTGTGGGTTTGATTTAATTAAATTTAAAACAAAATAAGGAAGGGCTGAGCTAGAAGTATGGTAATTAACTGTGCTTACGAAAAGGTATAAATGATTAGTCCAACCTAATCGCGAGGCGTGAATATATTTCTTGTGACCAAAAAAAATGTTTTGACTGTATAGTTTCTTGTTCAAAAAGCAAAGATTCAGTGTTAAAGGGAAGCTGAAGCGGTTTTGTATTTGAGGAAACAGACCTAAATGGTCTTCATTTGACCCCTAAGATCTCGTATATCCAAATCATTTTTTTTAATTTGGTGCATGGAGGCTGTAGAAAATCATTCATATTTAAAGTACCGCTGAAGGCCCTCCTTCCTGGAGCGTGACGTCATGAAAGGTGTTTTCGTAATCTCCGCTCTCGCTCATCTTCTGCGCCTATCAAAGCTATGCACGCGCACTCTTGCTATTTTTAAAAGGGCAGAAAAACACGTTACTGGTGCCAGTGTGGAAGAATATACCTGGCAAGCTTGCGATTGAACACGCGGCCCTTCAGCGGCATGCGCTTGGTGGCCGAAAGATCCTCTGTTGAAGTAAGGACTGGTCGGAGGTTTTTCGTATTTCCTCGCGTTTAATTACATCTTCGAGGAAAACGAACGTGGTATTCAGATTCACGGAATAAAACTACGCTAGAGTCAACCTCAATCTTATTTCTTGAAAGAAGTGTTTCAGCTTCTCTTTAATGGTTTTTGATACTTTTAGCACCGAAGAATATATTTTGGACAAATTAGGGGCTGGAGGGGGTTAACAAAACTTACGCCTGACAACAACCCATTCTTAGTTTGTGAAAACGTCAGCGAAGGAATAATGTTGTTTGGGGGGGGCGGGGGGGGGGGGGGACGAACAATATTTAGGTGCTACATTAGTGATCAGGATTATGTGCTACAAATGTTTCAATATATGATATTCAACCTAGCTCCGTCTAATCATTACTGGTGCACAAGCTTTTATGTAGAACCTGTCAGTGACGTGTCGGCCGATTTTAACCTGTAACCAAGAAGGTGACGATTTTGCAGGCATGGTAGCGTATTGGTAGTAGTTTCCTGTGACATAATATGTGGCTTGATATATCGTACCTACTTTCGCATTTAGCATAAAAGTATAAAGTGTATGTTAAAACTTTGCTCTCTTGCACAAATGAACTAACTAGTTCTTGCAGGAAGTTTAGAAAACTCACGCTCGCGTTTCCTCTTTCTTATTGTATCATTGTTTTTACGAAATGGCATAAAAAAGATTAGAGGTTATTCGCCGAGGTCGGTCGAATGAATGTTAGGGGAGGAAATGATCACCTATTGTTTTGTCCCTGGATGCTTGGTCCTTCCATGCCTCGTATTTGAGGTTCTCTAGCTGATGATGGGCATATCCGAGGCTTCCAACTTCACGCTGCAGTCTCAGAGGAAGAGTGCGCGTTCCGAGACCTTTCTTCTCGTCATCAATTTCTTCATCCATGACATCAACAAACTTTCTTCTTTCTCTGACCACAACCTGAGGATAGGTATTCTTGGTGCCGCGTTCAGCAATCTGAAAGCGCAGTAATGATTTACTGTCACATATTTGCGCAGTTGACCGAACGCCAACATTACCGAAACATGTGATCGACATGTGTCTGCATTTTGTAGGAGCTCCGATTTTATTCAGTTAAATAAATGAATGCCGTGTCAGTCATTTATATATTAATGCTAAAGCATTAACTGTCCCATGGAGCGAAGCTGGTGTTATCTGATGTCTGTAGCAGCGAAAAACGGCACCTAAATACCCATTGGCTAAGCGAAACGGCAAATAAATTCCCATTTTGGCTGAGCGAAATCGCACGTAAATTACCATTGGCTGAGCGAAACGGCAGATAAATTCCATTTGGCTGCAAAGCTTACGCACCTCAGTAAAAATAAAACAAAAGAAGAGTACAGCAACGCAGATGCCTCGTCACGGAAGCCGGCGGGGCGCTCAAGGACAAAGCAGACGCGCCTCAGAAATAAAACAGAAAGAAAAGCACAGGAACACAAATGCATCGTCACGGAAGCCGTGGAGCCGGCAGGGTTGTCGCGCCTGGGCAGTGGGGGAGCGTTATGTCATCGCAGGAGCGCCGTGTGACAAAGGGAGACGTGGCCCGCTGCTTGTAGAAATGCGCTGCGTGTAGGAATGCTTTCGCATTCCTACACGCAGCGCTGTCTTAAGTGTCTTCGTCTGATAAGCTGTCTTAAGTGTCTTCGTTTTTGAGCGATTAAATATTGAGCCATTAAGCATAAACTATACCGGGTGTTTCAGCAAAGATTTTCATTAATTCCTAGTAATAAAGTACTCGATAAAAAAAATCTTTTCGGGAACAATCTGCCAGCCGCGGTGGACGTCAGGAATTGAAAAACAAAAACGAAAGCGAATTAGCTAAAATGTAATTAAATTTGGTAGCTTTCTAAGTAGAAAAAAATATATGGTTCCAATTAAAAACTTGATGAGCGTCATCGAAAACCACTGAATCCGAAACCTGAGCATACCCCCACGTGTGAAGCGGACGGGGGGGGGGGGGGGGGGGGGGGGGGGGGGGGGGTGTTGCGCTAAAGTTTTCACTCAAGGATGGCGATGGCAAAACGCAGCTGTTCTTATAATTTGCTGAAACACCCGGTATGCTATAATAAATTTTACATCTGACTCTGTAGGTAAAATAAAACGTGCATCTTGTATTTTTTTACTCTCCTACACACATCTTAAAGTTATGACGCCGGGATTGGCAATTAAACACCAGCAGCGTACAACCGCTCGCTCGCACGTACACTTGAACGCACGCACGCACGGCTTTTCTAAAAGTGGACGTTTGAATAAATCATTTGCATTAGTTAATACAAACCTGGAATCCTCCCCAATGTCTTTCGCGGAGGTTTGCCGCAAGACTTGGGCTTCGAGATGCTCCAACACGAAGGTACTGACGAATTCGCAAGGGGAAGTCCACGTCACGGAGTTGTAGCAAATACGTGTCGGGGCCGCTTTGGTAGCTGCAAAAGGAGAGAAAAGTGGACGAGAAAAATGAAATTTTGCAAATAAGAACTGCCTTTAAATATAGGTCACAAGGAGGATGCACACGCGTGTAGAGGAGCTTTTTACGCAGAAGTAATGCCGAACACCTTTTTTTATGGTATAATTTATCCTAAAACGCAGTATTTCTTATAGTTTATGCCTCCTGAAATAAACACAAAAGATGTAAGAACATGGTTCATGTGCATATTTTCAGGTATATTTGTGCAAAATATTGCGTCTTGAAAAAAAACAAAAACTCTTGCGATGATTCATTCAAATAGTTCCGCCCCTAAACGCGATTTTAAACCTCATAATTACTTTGAATACCCTTAAACCACCGATGTTCACTGCTGTTGACGTGAGTGCGGCACGATCCTTTCCCCTCTGATAAACCTCAAGACTGAGGAAAGCAGAAAAAAAAGGGACATCGTTTTCTACTGTCCTGAGGTTTTTCAAAGATGAATTGTCACCAGCTCGCCTATGGTATGAAGATTTTATCTGAGATCCTTTCCCGCTTCGTTTGAGACCACATACTTCAGAATTCGAAACATCTGAGGCTGCACATACTTGCTTAACCTGCAATTTCCAAACATCAGCAAAAAAAAAAAAAAGGAAAAAAAGGGGGTGGGGATGTTTTGACTTGGCAGTGAGTATTCCGATGTCCGTTCGTGAAAGTTACCTTAAATGTCAATTTCACGTCTATGGCGTTATAATCGTAAAACCTGAAAATATATATTCTTTTCAAATATTTTGACGTCCCCCATATAACCAATTTGTCGGTGTTTCCCGTCACAATAGTTGCTCATGTATTTTAACGTTTTTTTTTTATGGTGTTGACGTTGTTGCCTGCTCAAGACCTCCAGAAGCCTCGTTCCTACGGGACAGTGAAAGTGTCTTCAGCGAGTGTGGGCTCGACAGTAGGGTGGTTCTCTTGGAACAAATTTCGGACGTCGTAGTCACCGTAAAATCGGTGAAATCGCCACCCAGAGCAGGATTGCGTGGATTTAGTGCCGTGCTCTCGCTTTGGACATGTGACATAGTTTTAAAAGTTATTCCCACGTGAAGATTAAAGATTAAATCTTACAAAAAAGGCGGGCTGGGTGAAAGTTTGTCTTGTTTGCACTCAAGAAATGTAAGTGCGCACACTGGGTAAACGGAAAGCTCGATTTTTTTGTTTGTTTTTTGTTTTGGTCTTTATTTTTGTGCGAGCGCTTCTTTGGACGGTTGCAAAGTCGCGCTCTGCATCCAAACTTCCTCTCTTTGACGGTTGAGTCGTTTTATTTGAAGTTCTTTTTATCGTGGCTGGGTGGATACCAGACAATTGGGACGTCAAAGAAAGCGGTGTGAATGCCAACCTTAATTTTTGTTTTTATGTTTCTTGAGCAGTGATGTTCTTGACAGTTACGTCAAAATAAGAAGACAGTCATTTTAGCAGGGAAAGTCCTAAGAATATAACAATTAATTTAACGCCTTTACAAAATAACGTCACAAACTTGAAAATAACGCGCGAAATTATTTCGACAGTGGACGTCGAAATCTACACTGCCGTCTGTCACTTCTATTCGAAGTAAGCGAGATATGGCACAGACTTACCTGCTTTCGGAACCGATGTCAAGACGGTCCTGAGCGCCTTTTCCTGGTTGAGTGTCGTCCACCTGACGTCTGGCTTTGAGGCCCTCCACCTCTCGCTCGGGGCTTGCAGGTGGCGTGTACATCTCGTCCGGTGGGTAGATCATTTTGCTTGGATGCGTGAAGCATGACTCCATCGGCCGTCGTCGGTAGTGGCGCCGGCAGGAAGCGTTTGCGTACTGCGAACAACCAAACACACTGCACTCACTTGTTCGCACTAAACGCGCATTTCCATCAGAGCGGAATGTCGAATAAAAGGGTGTTTCTTTTTTTACTCCTCACGGTCATGACGAGGTCGGAAAAATTAGGGGGTCTAGTCACTGACAAGTTGAAAACAGCTGCGCGTGCTGCGCGTGCTGCGCGTGCACGTGGGACAACTGAAAGACCATTCTGCCATTTTCACTCTGTCAGGAACTACAGCCCAATAATTGTTGCCGACAATGGAACTTTAGCGTATAAGACTCGTAGATTAGTCTAATCTAGCCCCTGGAAGAAAATGCTTATTCCAGATATGGTGCTATTCGAGCGCCAAGTGAAAATAAATGTTATTGAATTACCCAACTCTTCCATGTTCTCTGGTAGTCTCGCAGCCTGTCAATGTTTGAAAGGCTTTCGCCTCTGTCTGGCCTCTCCGTGATCTGGAAAAAAATATAATTACGGAGGCACCGAAAATGGTGAAGACACTGCTCCCTTTCTAGAAATCCGCAAAGTTTTGTTTAGTTAGCATAAAATGAATACACGGAGTTTACCAGGCTTTGGTATAGAAAATCGGGCTAGAAAAAGAGAGATATTCACCTTCAGCCAGGGATGGGCAAGAGCAGCCCTTACGTCAAGTCTTTCGCTGAGAAAAGAAAATACAGACATTGAAGGTGAATTCCAATGTTTACTCAATTTCTCGGCAAACTGTTGCGCTGAATGGCGGTCCCTCAGACCCTGTGCCACGATTCTTTAATTTTGTTTTGTCATATTTTGTTTGGCACGCAACGATATAGAGTTTTAGAGTAGGGGGCTCCGACGCTTCGGGTGCCCCGAGCAGGTTGAGGCGTCGCATTGCCCATGCGAAGTGCGCCGCTCCAGGTTGTTTTGGGGCCCCCAAGCGTTGGGTCCCATATTCTGAAACCTTCTATTATCGTTTATTATTTCCATATTCTTTTTACCGCAGCGCGCAGTGCTCCTCTGAAACGTACCTCGGGTCAAACACCAGGAGCTTTGATATGAAGTCACGTGCATCATCTGAAACCTTGGCGAAGCCGTCATGGAGGAAGTTGATTTTTCCCGTTTGCACATTTTTCAGAGTTTCCCGGTCATTTTGGCCGAGGAATGGCGAAATTCCACTGAGCCTGGTCAAAATAAAATATATAATTAGAAGTCCGCAATAATAGTCCGTTTTTTTTTCTATCGATGAAACCACATATCAAGTACTTACAGAATGTAGGATATGACTCCGACACTCCTGGAAAGTTGAAAATATCGTATTAGGACTAAATTGGTAATTATGACCGATCAATAGTTCAGGCTAGTGTGGAGCTTTTTAATTGTGGAGAATAAAGTATTTTCAATTTATTTAAAGTTGGAGTTGCAGAAAAGTACAGCATAGATACTCACACCAATCAGGCAAAGAAAAGCTTACTTCAGATATAAACACACAAATATTATTAAACTTCCTATAATAGGAAAAAAGAGCAATCTTTGTTTTTTAGTTATTCTTGTACTTTCAAACAGTACACGATTGCAGGAAACGAGTCTGGGCATCGCCATATTTCTGCTCGTGTGAGCAAGCTCGTGCAATTGTAAGCCCGCCAAATTTGCCTTGACTCACATGTATAAACGGGGCACCTAGAACACAATGCTTGAAATTGTGTATAATATTAGAAAATAATTTTGAGCGCACTCCGGGGTATTGTTTGCAGTTACGGCAACTCAAAGTTAAAGCCCTGCAGCGTGTCGACTCTGCATCGTCCACAGCTTGTAAAGCGCTTCCTCGGACTATGCACTAACTGAACAAGGCTTATATATATATATATATATATATATATATATATATATATATATATATATATATATATATATATATATATATATATATATAATTAAAAATTGGCGTATACGTCATCTTATGAGTTATGTGCAGCGTTGTGCAACACGCCGGGGTAAATGTGTAGAGCCAAAAAGTTTTTTTCTCACATTTTCCAGAACTTTGTACCCGCGCCCGTTCCACTGATAAAAGTTCACACCAATTGTTATATGAATTAAAGTGACCAACGACCAGCTTGAGTTTGTGCTTTTAAACAAAATAGTTATCGGCGCAGATCGGAGACAACCAAATTTCTCCAAAGGGGCAGCGACACGTACGATAATGATCATCCATACTTGTTCCTAGATAATTGACTCTTCCTCACAGTGATAATCACAACAACACTTGAAGTTAGAAATATCAGCATACCACATGTCCGAAGCAAGGCTCGCAGACTTTTTGCTCGCAATCTCGGGAGCCACATACTCAGGATGGCCGTATTCCTGGATGAAAGTCTTGCCCCTTGGTAAACGCGCTGAAAGCGCGAAGTCTCCGATCTTAATGTCCTCACTGTCCACGCGAGTAACCAAGACATCCCCGAGCTGAAAAAAAAAAGAAAAGAAAGGTCGGACAGGGGATTTTGTTTACTTTTGATAATAGGTCTTCTCAACTCTCAGTTAAGTAAAACATTGCATCAGAATATATAAGTAAAACATTGCATCATAATATATGATGCGCATCTTGTTCACTGTTCAACGCAGTTTCACCGAACTCGACATCGGCGATTTGTGTTCCGCTGATCTATGTTAGCGTCGGTCGCTGTACCTTAAAACACGCTGTAAAAAGAGTCGGTGATTTACTGAATGCAGAGGCGATGCGCGAATGGGCAACGAGCAAGTGTTGCCCCTGCGCACATGACATTGTTCCTGCGCATATGACATTCTTTACGTCTAATTGTATTCTGAGCTTCGTCATTCGCTGGAATCCTTCTATTTTTTGCCGTGATTGGCTGTCTCGGTGTTCTGCCAGGAAAGGGAACTCAAAGACTCTTTTCACGGCGTGTATGTGGTGCCACACTGACAGTTGCGAAAAAACAAGTTTTAGTAATACGAAAAAACAACGTGGTAAATCGACGATGTCGATGTTAAGGGTAACAGTGTTTACCTTATGGACATGGATTATGTACCTGCACTTTATTTTCTTAAATTCACTCGAGGCAATCATGTTAATGTTAACAGATCAGCGTTTTTCATCGATACACTTAATGCACCAGGCAGTCAATACAACCCCTTCTTTTAATAGAGTGAACACGCAAACATTTCAGTACAAAATCTAAAAAGGGGTTGTGAATATACAGGGTGTCACAATAAAAAAATTACAGGGTTTTTTTACCGCAAAAATAAACTAGGCATCGCCGAACACTCATTGTCTGCCCAAAGGTAGCGCTAGAGGTCACAAAAAAAAACAAAAAAAACATGTAAATTTTTTTGACACCCTGTAGTTTAACACATCAAAACATAAATAACAAATTACAGACTTGTTTTCTTTTAAGGGCAAGAAGACCTATTATTAAAAAAAGTTTGAGAGGGATCGAAACACTTTGTCTTTTAATACGATTTCGTATTTAGTATATCGATATACACGACAGCTAGATAAAATTGTTTCGCCACATTCTAGTCGAAGGGGAAAGTATAGAAAAGAAACGATGCGCATCTTTGGAATCATGCGAGAGAGTCAAGATAATTAAGTTAGACTATAAAGTGTTTTCACTGACGTAATTTCGTCCACCATTGTGCCGTTATGAGCTGCTGGCGCGTGCTGAAAGCCAGTATTCCGAAGTTTCGCAGGACATCCTCAATGCAGTAGTGCTCAAAAGCTGGTGAGTTTCGTCGTGCCTTCTTTTTTTCTCCTCTGATGAAACATTTTTTTTTTTCACTCACTCACTCTAACAACAAAATGGCGGACTGACGTCATGTAAAAACACCCTATAGTTACTGTCAGGGCTCGTGGATCATTACACTCACGCCTCTTGTTGCCTTCTTTTGGCGTTCTTATCGGCTAATAGAGTTTTAGGAAACCGTGTTTGCGCATCCAACACGGTATACGATGGCCCCTACATATACGAACTGCGCATGCGCAGTACGAACTGCGCATGCGCTACCGCAGAAGACTCGCGCATGCGCAGTTCGTACCGGAGAGCGCATCGTACCGTATCGGGTGTGCAAAAACGGTTTCCTAAAACTCCCTAATGTCAGAATCCCATTGAATGCGGAGCAAACTCAATTGACGATCGGGACTGGGCAAGCCCTGAGTTTGGGTATATATTGTCATCTACTGGCTGGTCTCGAGCTCAAAATACGCCTGCGGATAAATTTACTGACGCAGTTTTATGCGGATGAACACAAAAAGGCTTTTTGTTAGCACACGTGGGGAGAGCGAAACTTTGTGCTTACTGTGAGACCCAGGTGACCGATGTTTTGAGCGTGCATGTAATTTAGCCCTTCCAAAATCTGCCGTATGTAATTCGCCACTTGATGCTCGGTGAGCTTGTCCCTACTGATGATGTTGTCCAGCAGTTCGCCACCACCGCACCTGTGAGCATTTTTGGAGCTAAGGAGTCCCACAACTTTCATCTTTGCATGGTTGAAAGTACGCGATCCAACTGGAATAACCCATACTTTTGGGGCCAATTTTTTTCGCGCAGGATTTTATTAGTTAGTTTTATTGACTGGCAGAATTTCAAAACTCGTTGAGTTTTAAATTAAATGAGGCTCCATCTGAAGCCTTGTCCGCTAAACTAAGCAAAAAAAAAAAAAAAAAACATCGGTTACGTAACATTTGTTGGTGAGGTTATATCTTGTTTCAGAACGTTTAAAACGTTCGGAAACTCAAAACTCCGTCTAAAACACGAGTCGTCCACTCATCCTGGCTGTAGTGCCATGCGCATGCGGCACATGCTTCGCATCGTGGAGTTATTAGAATAATTACTGTGTCCGTAAAAGTTAAGGCTGCGTTGATTTCGTGACTCACTAGATGTTTACCCTATTCTATAATGTTGGCCGGCGGAAAAAGAAATATATTCTAAAATATAGGCTGATTTTAAATAACGTTTTAATTAATTGTTGGGTCTTAAACGTACAAACCAAGGACAGAGTACATGTCTCCAAACTTGTAGCTTCCCTATAAGATTCCTTATAGGGAATCCTATAAGATTCCCTATAACACGTTCGAAATAACTACACTTCCGTTACTATCTACTTTTTCAGACATAAAAAGGATACAAATCTGTTATTAGGGACATGGAATTTTTTGTCTCAAACGCATCCCACAGGCGAACGAGACGAGGGTGGCAAAGCTGGTTCATCATATCCAGCTCGGCTTTCATCCAGTCCTTGAATTGGCCTTTGCCGTGCATCATTTTTGCAGCGTAGTTCTTGCCTGTTGGTCGTTCGACAGCATGATAAACAACGCCCTGTGTACCTCTGAAATGAATTAAGCGATGCATATTAATCCGTAATTTTAGATGATATTGCATTGACTACAATATTAAAGAGAGAAGGTGATCTGAGAGCTCCCACAGAGAAACAAAACAAGAATTACTTATTATACTCAGACTATAACTTATACAAACTTTGGTTTATTCTATTTTGTTAACTTCGCACATTTTGTTGACTACAGAATATGTAAATTGATTGACACGACAAAAAAAAAAAAATCAGGTGCAAGTTCGTGTCACCTTATAAACCCTACTATAATATGTATAAGTAAAAATTAACATAACATTAAGGGTGAATGATGCTATAAAATGAGTGTCGCTACTAACCTGCCGAGTTCATCACCAAGGTTGTAGTATTCATCAATATGTTTGGATCGAGGTCTGACCAGCTTGGGTTGGCGGTAGGTGTTCAGGTCAAATTCATCTTGAGATTCTGCGATGAGATTCATATAATCATCATTTGCAGCAGTAATAATTTCATCACTCTTACATTCTATATATAAAAAGAAAACTACAACAACAACAACACCAACAGGACATCGTATTTGACATTATTTATTGCATACAAGCCTACCTGAAAGTTTTAAGCAATAGCCTCCTGAGAAGCATCGCAATTATTTTACTGAATAAAAATAGCTTCCAAGTATGAATCATGCAGTATAAAGCATGCGCCGCAATGTCGAATAAAGTAATAAGTTCCAAGACAAGTATGGCTGCGGTCCTATTAGATTAGATCTAAAACATGTCATGTGCGCAGGGACAATGAGCCAGTGAAACGTCACGCGCATTGTCCCTATGCACAATTTATTTTGTTTTTGTTTGTTCTACTAGTATGGTGAACTTCGTCGTACGCTAGGATCCTGGTACTGTTCGCCGTGATTCGTTGTCTCATGTTCTGGAGGAAAGTGAACTCACGTACATTTCTTTCTAGAGTGCAGGTGTTAGTTGCAAAAAACGTCCTGGTAGAAAGATATGTCATAATAACTAACGAAAAAAAATGGAAGAGCGTCTGAAATGTTCGGCGACCGCATGAAGCGGCTCTAAAGATTTGTTCCCGCTTGTTTTTTTTTAAATTCTAATGTTACATACACGAATTCGTGATTTACATAACTCTCAGATTTCGCACAAGAGCTCTTTCCCAGTTAAATTTATCAGGGAAAGATAGCTGAGTTTTAGGTTGTTGTTGGTTCTTATGTGTAAATGGGCATAGGACACTCACCTTCAATCGTAAGAATTGCCGAGCATGAGGTTGTACCGGCGATATTGGAGGCTGAGCACGAGTAGAGTCCAGCGTCGCGTGATATAGAGTCATTCAGTGTCAAGGTGCAGATGTCAGGCGCTTCCCATATAATGTTCACACGAGAGGAATTGCAAATGGGCTGCCAGTCCTTGAACCACTTGATCTTCGGATATGGCTTTCCAATCGCACGGCACTGGAGCTCTCCGCCACGACGCAGCATGATAGTGGTTGGTTCGAGCCTCTTGGTGAAGACGGGCTCCTCTGTAATATGGCACAGGTGTCAGGTGAGCACTGTTCCTCAAGGCGAAAATAAGTATCCTCACTGGGAATGAAACGTCCAACTTAAGATTGTTTAGAAGGAGCTAAAACAACGTACAGTGAAGAACACTGCAAGCTAAAACCATCGAGCGTCGACCGAAATTTTCCTCGGCGCGACAAGTTGAGCCATCAAGGAGGGATAGCATGCAGATGAGAGTGTAGTGTCCATTGCTGTCCGAGCCAGGCTGCTTTTTTTCCCCGTTTCTACTCTGCTTCATTTGAATTCCGGCCGCAGCCGGTGCTCGATCCGATAGAGCCGATCACGGAGCGCCAAGAATGCATCGTCACTGCGCTCATTGTCTTTTTGCGCAATGGCATACGCAAGCAGTCGCAGCATCATCTAGATGCGTCCATGTAAACTGCTCCAAGCAATTCAAGAGGTCGGTGTTCGGTCGAGCTGGAGAAACGAGAAGGGCACGCAGAGGGCCGCTGTGTACGCACGGAAATATCGATAGCGAGCGTACGTGCGCGTAGCTCGCTGCGTTGCGTACGTACGGCGCTTGTGCAGTATAGAGCACGGGTCGCTAACGCAAACGCCCAGTACTTGCGTCTGCTCCTGCGCGCAATATAAAACTGTCTTTTTTCCGGATGTCTGTAGCAGGCAGAAGTGATGATATCTAGAAATGCCCCCGATAGCAGCACGTGCGTACAACAGTGCGCAATGTTTGGCAGAATTATGCTGAGTCAGATACTATACACCATTGCAACCTGGTGCGCCAACTGTATACCCTTGACACAAGACCGAGCGCCACCGGTATCTTTCGGAAGTCGCTCGGTCATTTCAACTTCCTTTGTCCACAACTGTACACATGTGGTGTTTTTAATGGATTTACTGGTGCATTTCATGGTTTTGCAGCGATTTACTTGGCGCGGTTTTGGTACCTACCTTCACAATTTTCTTTGCTATCGATGAGAACACTTGAGAGAAAGTTTGTTAATATTGGGAATTGTATCTATTCCTTTTTTACTGTTTAATACCGTTCTTGTTTCTCTGAGTGTGTTCGCGGAGAAAAATGAGAAGTAGGCAACGGCCCGTGCGACATGTGACTCATGTGTTATTTTACGGATGAGAGTTGTCCGGGATCACGGGCACATACCAGCAAGCTCCAGGTAGATGCTCTTCATGGCTTCGCCATGTTCATTGACGGCTGTGCATGTGTAACTACCCACGTTGTCTTCAGTCATTCGACTTATGAATAGAGTTACTTGGCCGTTTCGGTCTTGCATGCAGTTATACCTGCCACCCATTTCAATCTGAAAAAAAAGCCATAGGTATTGTTCAGATATTTTAGTATGGAATCATTTTCTGCGCATGACCGAAAGTGTACGACTAATAATAATTTAAAAAAATAATCTCCACAACCATGTGACGACTTTGTTAGACGAAATTGAAAAATGGTTAAAATAGAGCTGTTTTTAACAGACACAAGTAAATAACACTAGGAATGGAGATACATAGAACATTTATTGAAAATATTTTAAGAACGAAGGATGAAATTGAGAATACCCAAAGGCAAGCAGGAGTCAAGATGTTGATATATTCAGTAGACGAACTATATGGCCATGTCTAGTAACCCACACGAAATAACAGCGTAAAACATACCAAGACAATGAGGAAAAAAAAAAGCATGTACCTTCTGTTTGTTTTCGTCCCGCTAAGTTGGAAGCTTTTATTTCTTGAAAATATTTGCCAACACGCTCATTAAGTTCCTTAAGAAAGCTCTTGATCTGAGTTAATTATAACGAACTTTCTACCACGCAACCCAACACATTAATTAAAATAAGAATTGAATTTTATCTTAGTTATAAATCTAGATACTTAACTGGTGAACATGTTTTGAAATGGCTAGACACCATTGCGATGTCGCTTTACATAAGGTAGAGAAACAGTTCCGTGTAACCAGCACAAAGAGGAAGAAACTACTATAATAATGCGGTTACCTCTGTTAATAAATAGATCGGTAACGCGAGTAGGTGGAACTAGAGAATGATGATGATTTCGCAAGTTTTTAAATTCTCAACATAATCATGACCATGCACCATAGATAAACTAATGTCAACGAGATAGTCACCTTTGTTCCTTTGAAAGTCCATGTAATATTCGGTTGAGGGTAGCCATATACCCAGAATTCAATGCTGACAGGGTGGCCTTGGATGCCATACATAGTATCCTCCTCACGGCGCACGAAATATGGTGCAGTTCCTAGTATGAAATCGTGCGCTATTAAAATCAGCCCTGCTTCAATTCTTGAATACAAGACATTGCATACAAAATTGACACCCCTAGAAAAACATTAACTTCGTTGAATGAAAAAAAAGAGCCCTGTTCCAAGAAAAACAAAGCATAGTAATAAAAATAACCTAAAGCGTACTTGAAGACTTATTGCAAGAACCGGGTTATATTTTTATTTCTTGGATGTTCTCGAAGAACTGAAAAAGGCAACGCGCGCTGATACAATTGTAAATAAAACACAGTGTTAATAGAGACTGATACGTATGGCTACATCTTAAAAAAAATGTCTATACTATTAGAGAAGTTGAGCGTTTCTTTTGACAAAAAATTGGTGCTTGACGCCCTCTAAGTATGTTTTAAAATGCTTTTCTATCAACGAAGATTTTAGTAGTATTTAATATTCAACGATAAATATAATCAGATCTCACCGATATAATGCTATTAACATTTAAACCTCAAACAATAAAATAAATAAGCTAAATAAGTAATTGAAAAAATAGGCCACATTTTTAATAGAACATTCGCAGATGTGGCATATTTTTCACGGTCACTTATGGTGATGATATCACAGGTACCTTGTTTATCCAGTGGAGGATGTTCTAGTTCATAGTCTTTCGGCTTGAATTCCTTCGGGACAGGCGGGGGGCCTCCTAGCCGGCTGCGGTGAGCGGTCACATATGGGGACGGGTCACTAAGACCATACTTATTTCCTACTCGTACTCTGAAACGGTAGTCCTTGAAGGGTTCCAGTCCTCTGATGTCAAGTTGTGTATCTCTTGTGCCTATTCAGAGAATAAAACATAACGAATGTAATTTGTTGTACGGAATTTTAGACAGCAGGAAGTTCGACTGCCCCTAGTGACATGTCATGTCCCTGCTTTACTAGATGAGAAATTTAGCCAGTGCAGTACAGCCGCTAGTCTGGGGTCTTTAACGTGCATCACGCAGCAGTGATACACGACCACACGCCGGTCCGGTGCTCATCCTGTTCGAAGCAGGCAGAGGATGGGATCGAGCCCAGGATCTTTGGGTTCTGAAGCGCCATAGGTATGTGCAGTACACGATTAACTTAATCATGTACTATATCTGGCGCAATAGCGCAGCTTTTTACGTCGTCTTTTCAGGACTCTAACTTAAGCGACATGCTCCAATTATTTGAATACTGACAGAGATATTATAATGTGTCTTGATAAAGGAAACGCGATAAAAATATTGATATGGTTTCTCTCTTTTGCGCCGAAAGGAGAAAAAAGAGGCGCATAAGTAAGAAAGTACAGCAGGGGATTGAAGCGACACTAGTCATTTTCCTCTCAGCATCTCCCCTCCTCACCCTTTGCATTCGGCGATCGGTAATTAAGCCTGTGTTTGTTAAGCATATAAAAGTGAGACACACTTGCCGATAATTTGAAATTCGCTGAAGCACAAGGGAAAAAAATATAGCATAAAAAACACTAATAATTTTACTGCAGTTTTATATAAATACTGTTTAAAACCATATTAATATTAGTGAAAAGACGGTGAGAGTGCAGGCGAGCTGGTGGTAGCTAATCATGTCGTATTACACCTGAGACTGCGGTGGAAGAAATCGCAAGAACTTTCAGTAGAAGGAACAGACACAGAGAACGTCTCAATTGAGACGTTCTCTGTGTCTGTTCCTTCTACTGAAAGTTCTTCCGATTTCTTGAGACGTTCTCTGTGTCTGTTCCTTCTACTGAAAGTTCTTCCGATTTCTTCCACCGCAGTCTCAGGTGTAATACGACATATTAATATAAATGGCTTCAACAATTATCAATTGTTTGAAATCTCTTTAATCCAACGCTGCCTCAATTTACGAGCGTCTAACGAGTTAGTCAACTAAAACAGAATAATTGAAGGAGCGCAATCTACTCATCATGTGTAAGCGAAGAAAAAAAAAACAAAAAACGAAAGCAATTTTGGTGTGTAGTACCTGATTTATACGGAGCCCAGTTGCCGTCCGGAAGGGGCGCCATTTCCACGTTGTACGTTACTGGAACGCGTGAGCCGCTGGGAATGTACGGTTTCCAGCCCAGTGTGAGGTCGCGGTCGGTCATGCGACGTATGTACGGCTTGTCTGTCAACGCCGCTGGAACACCTGCAGAATACGGCTCGTACTGATCCGAGGGCTTGTAGCGCCTGTCGTGGGGTCTGTCAAGGTCGTCGTACTCTGGGTGGGGTGCCTGCCGCGAATGCGGTGTATAGTCAGGGCGGTCAAATGGTCGATGGGACGGGTAGGGTTCTGCCGGAGGAAGCTCGTGACTGTACGGGGCACCGTACGGTTCACGTCGACGATCGCCTCCGGGGTGGGAGGCATAACCATTCAACTGAGGTGGCTCGTATGGGGAGGGTGCACTACCGAGTCCGGGCTCTGGAAGAGATAAAAGGAGCTAGAGAGAAAGACATGCGTGGCGAACGACACAGGGTCTATCTCTATTGTAATGCTGTTTTGAGGAACAAGGGGGTTGTGGCTACAGGACTGGATGCAGAGACGGGAAGCTCGGACTGTATGAAACCGCAGACGACTGTAGTCGCCTTTGAATGATAGTTCTTAAATTTTGATAATCTGAACAAATATTGTGCACAGCTGCGCACAATTCTATGTGCACAAGTGTCCGTGTGCACTATTCCACGTCTGTAGCACTCATTTGAATCAATTGGGTCTGCAATGCGTCATCGGAACATATACTTATTTTGACTGATAAAAAAGTTTGATAACAAGATTCTTTGAATGTTTCAAAGAAAAAAAAATTGGGACCTGATGCATTTTTGTTTTATGCGGAGAGCAAGTCGTCTGTTTCTTGCGCAGGAGTTGTGGTGACGTCAGAACGACACCGAGCTTCGATTGGCTTTGACTGAAAGGATAGTGGGTAGAGTTCAATGCTAGATGACTCGAGGTCTACCCACTATTTTTGTTAGTCAGCCAGTAAAAGCTCGGCGATCTGAAATCATTGCAACCCCTGTGCAAGAAGCAGACGAACTTTCTCTCCGCATTAGACCGGTCTGATTCTCAAAATGTTTAAACAGAAATTGCGGCTATATTTTATAAAATATTTTGGGAACAAGAAACAATCCGGTTGGAAGGACGCATGTGAAATCGCAAGTATATAAAGGCTAAATTGCTAAAATGAGTGGTCTTTTATTTCTTCTTTTTTTTTTGGGGGGGGGGGGGGGGGAGGGGGATTTCGGTTTTGAGAGTCAATGATATATCCACACTATCAACGTCGGCAAACTAAGCACTCTAAAATATTCGTTCTGAACAATTCATATTGTTCATGAACGCGTAGTGCAATGCTCACCAGTTCTATCAGGTTTTTCATACTCTGGATATTTGTCAGCAATACTACGCCGCTTCCCGGTGTCGTGAGGGCCTGGACAGAAGAGGGAGAATTGTTGGCGGCACAAACAAAATAACAAAAATCAATTGCCAATAACTTACCTATCAGGTTAGCACACTAAACACACACGGTGTTTGGCATTAAGTACTACAGGTAGTTTTAGTGGATTGTTTGTTGCAATACATAGATGAAGCATATGAGTTTAGATTTTTTTTGTTAAGTAAACCTTGAATGCAGTTATTTGTTAGGCACGTGTTAGTTTTGAAAAGACACAATTCATTGGTTGTGTTGCTTCGTGCCACAAGACAATTTCTCTTGCTTCTACTATACTGAACCCTGTTTGGAGCAGTTGGTGTCATGAAATGCACGGCGGGAAAATATCGAAGGTAACATATACCACAAAAAAAAAAAAGAAGAATGGGGTGGGGTAGCACAGGGGGAGGCGCATGATGTTGTATTCTTAATATAAAATCAATTACAAAAACTTACATATATTAAAGGAAATATATTAAATAAATCTGCCTTTATTGAGCATTTATGGAGATCACGAAATTTGTGGTGCCGACTTAACTTCTGTTGAAATTTAGGATGTCCCTTAGTCAAACATGGAGACGAGGGAAAACTAGGGAAAGAGTTGCATGCGCATGTTTGACTATTGGAACGAGGTCAACAAATCCCAAATGTTTGAAAATATGTCTTTTTGTTTACTTCCCTAGAACTATATGCACATTTAACTGAGGGAGAGCATAACATGTTTTGTTTTTGATTCAGGCTGACTTCCCTGTCTTTCATTGGTTAATATATCCTTTTTTTTTACCTGAAGTTTTGTATAGCAAAATAAAATGACGAATATATGACCTGGAGAGAAGGGCGACTGTTGATGCGTGGTCAGTGCCTAGCGACTAGGGTTTTTGGTCAATTAGGTTTTCGTGCGTCGAGGAAACCACTGAAGTTTAGTTTGCGTATATCCCTAGCTATCCTTACAGTTTATCGTGTTGTCAACGGTATAGAAGATTTACTTTGTCTTCTGTCAATCTCACATATTTAAAACTTCAGTGGTGTAGTGCGAGCACTCGAGGCAAGTAACATTGTGTGTTTGATTATTGCAAGTTTTAGTCAAGTTGCTGACATTCTAATTGTCAGAAATGCAGGAGAACTAGGGAACATGTATCGAAAAAAAGACTACCATAAAAAGATTTGCATTAGTGTTCGGAGGGGTCTCTTAAGGCTGGATATTAAGTTATGTTTTTGGATTAAAAATAATAGTAGACATACAGCAGTAAGTAAGGAACGTTACTTGTACACCGCAAACAGTAAATAAAATTTGCGAGAAACTGTGTTCTAATAAATCGTCTCATTTAGATTGAGCATTCCGCTTTATGCACTTCCTGAGAGTACGATAAAATACTTAAAAGATAAAGTTTCATACCTTTTGAAGTTTCCCATTAAAACGTTGAAACGATTTGTCGGCGCCATGATAACAGAGTTGTACTGAGCGCAGCACAGTTAGCACAAACACATGATTGCCGATAAAAGCCTCGCAAAAAATTTATACTGCAACGAAATGTGCATATGCGTAGCATCAACTTAGAAGATTCATTTTCATGTTAGATAATAGATAACATGAGTAAAATGTGAAAAAGTGTCGATGTCGTGTTGGTCCACATTGTGTTGCGCAGTATACATTTGGAAAGAGCCGGCATCGAACTTGAAATTTTAACCGCTAGAATGAAAGCTGCGAAACACTTACCCAGCACGTACTAACTTTTAAATACATAGGTCACTCTCAAGTTTTCCGTGAAAGGGTTCTCGCCTGGTTATTTACGAAACTTGTTTGACGCGAAAGTTGTTCCGCTTTTACATGGTGGGTAAAATGAACTAAATTGTAAAAAAAAGTTCCACGCACTAAGACACCGTCACTTGCCTCAACAGAGCAGCGAGGTAATGGATTTCATTGTTAAACTGTGAAGGAAACAACTTGCTGTAAACCAAAATTTGTTACTAAAACCCTACATTTCCAATGAATCATTGTGGATGTAAGACTTATTCACGTCAAAGTGAGTAAACATTAGTCGTGGTGATTTAGGCGTTTGACTCAACAAAAAGAGAATGAACGTTTCGTTCACTTTGAAATCGAATTGGCTCCGTATCAGTTTATAAGAAAATTGGGAGTTTTACTTGTAGGGTTTGATTGAGCCAATGCTTTCCTTCAGTATTTCCACAAAAATCCACAACCTATGGTACTCCTGTGGTTAATCACTGTGTATCCACATACATAGCTTATTTTTGATATGCATTTAAAACGACATTCGTTGCAGCACAATAGAAACTGTCTGAATAAAGAGTCAATTTTAATAAAATAGTAGTGTCACATATATACTATGGTCCCGATAAATAATATTTGTCTCCAAATTTCAAAGAAAAACGCACAATGCCACGAACCCTGAGTACTATATGGCAAATACTTGCGGTTTGTATTGTGCAGCATCCTTCATATAATAGAACCACTTCCAGCCTAATATTATTTTTAATGAATTTAAGGTACTTTTTTTGCACATTAGCATAGTATTACGCATAGTGTTTTTACAACATGAGCGTTTTGTCATCTATTGTTAAAATATCACTATTTTATTTATATTAATAAGTTGCCCTCAAATATTCACATATTGAGATCTTGTTCAGTTTACTACGTAGGAGCACTGCAGCTTATATTGTATGTAACTCAACACATTATGGTTAAATTTTCTTGTCATTTACGTATGTCGTTTATGTGCTGCAAGTATGATATGTGTGTGTGGCACCATTTGCATGGTGTTGTAGTGTTGCCTACACAAAAGTTAAAATGTTATTAATCTTTTCGAAGCGAAGTTAGAGCTCCCGAAGCCAAAGAACAATCAGATATTCTTGACAAGTTGCAAGTCAACGTTTTCGTTTACATCAAATAATTTTGGGGTTGGTGGAAGCTGTCTACAGCAGTGGGTGTAACTTTTGTGTGAGGTAACACTGCTTTGAGAATTAAGAAAGTCACAAATCAAACAGTGGTAAACGATGTAAGCTTTAATAGCACTCGTAGCTTCAAAAAGTGGACAGCATCATACACCCATGTTTTTGTGATACATGCCAATGTCAAATATGACCAAAGTTTATATTCCACACATACTGACACTGTTCGATTGCCTCCGTGAGCTCAACAAATAAACGCTTTATGCAATTTGCAGCTGGCCATGTAGCCTAAATTCCGTCCATTGACAAAGGCCAGCCCCAGTAATTCGAACTTATACACAGAAAATTCTTGTTCTTGAGCAAGCGTAGAGCGGCGTCTAATAAAAAGAGACAGTATCTCCGGGGGCTGCTTAACGCTCATGGCCTTGTCGCGTACATGGCGCTGTATTCTATTATAACGTTTCTACTATTATTATGGCTTGATAGTCCAACGTGCACATGTTTACACACAGTCATCGTGAACATAAAATACGACTTCTGGCAAATATCGTCAATATAGGTCAAAATAGCGCAATGAGAAAAATTGCAATTGAAAGCCACGACTTCGAACCATTTATGTTTAAGCTAACGAACTGATGACAGTAGTGAGAATGTTTAGTTAATTTTCAGTTTTTAAGTAGATATCAGCGGGTTATGTGCTGTCAATACAATAATTTATAAATTGTACAAGTATTGCTGTTTGAGTTTGAGTTCGTAAAAATCAGAGCATAATGAGCTCTGACTTTCTCTCTAAAATCGAAATCGAAGCATTGGAGTGGTGTCCTTTTGTATGTCATTATTAAAAAAATAAACTATCTATTTACAAGGGTGGTCTTCGAATAAAAATTCAGTTAATTGAAATTATTTATAGTATTAAGTTTCGTCTATGATTTACTTGATTTCTTTATGAAGGACACGCCCACAGCCAAACAAGAAACAAGTAACACTAGGATTTAACGGAAGTAACAGTACAAAATGTGTACCAGTTAAAACGGTAGAAAAAATAAAATTTCAAGACAGAGCGATGTTGGTATTGTATGTCCTAGCTGTAAGCTCAACAGGCCAAAGTTTTACGTACGCTGCCTTTTCGTTGCTGTGGACAGGGAAAGGTCTACTCAGTATGGAATGAAAACTTTCTCATTGAAATATATCCAAAACTATATATCTAAGTCTACATAAATGTTTCTTATGAAAGCCATGGTTACAACGCGCTGACAGTCTCATAACTAGTTCAATATTTTTAGTTAAATTGTTTTTTAAATGAAAACTTCTGTTTGTAAAACAAGTCCAAATTAGATGGATATTGCTTAGTCTGAACCATATTTATACTAACACACACATATATATGCGATCTACGAAATCAGCTCAGCCAATGATGAGGCGGAGCCTGAAAATGAAGTCTGCGCTGTGGCATTACGCAATGCAAAGCGTCATGCTTGCATGGCGTAATGCCACAGTGTATACCAAATTTGGAGGTCAAAACAGATGTTCCGCCTCGTTATTCGCTGAGCTGACTTCGTAGATCGCAGAGATCGGCTCTTCGAGTGTTTTGCGGGTTAGTAAGCGCGGAGGAATTTCTTAGAGTTTAGGAACAAAGTAAAGTTTGCCAGTAATTATTCACACCATTTTTATGTAAAACAAAACTAATTATAATATTAATACATACGCGTTCGTATATATTAATGTAGTAGGCTATCTCCGCGAAGGATACCAAAGTCAACGGCAGTTGATCTTTTTATACACTCGGAAGCACCTTTCTTCTGGCTAAGTACAGTAATTCCTTGTGAAATCGAAATTGGGTGGATTGAAATGTCGAGTAAGTCGGAAATTGCTGGGTAAAATTTGTAGAGATGTTCTCGCTGGGGACTACGAGACAAAATTTACAAATGTGTAGAGCAGACATCGCCCGAAAATAACTCTAGTTGAGTGAAAAGCAAGGAGATACGAAGTCACTTAAGCTAATGCACGCCATTTTTACACCTTTTAATGTCATCATCTATCCCAGAGAGCGAATCTGAAAATAATTTTGCATCACCTGATCTTTGGTGAAACGCGATACACTGCGCTGGCGCATAGTGCGACAGGCAAGACATTGCTGTCTGATATTTATCGGGCTTTGGTGCGTGATACTTGAGTGGCTTCTGTACATAATTTATCTTTGCATAAACGCTTTCACATATTATTGTGGCATGTTCTTGTTGAGTTCTGCTAATTATCCGGTAAACAATAAACATTACACCACTCTGATTATCGAAATTAATTTTCACCATGTACTTACAGTGCATTTAAATTTATTTTCATTGATTTGAGTATAGGGAATTCACAACGTTTCCACACCTTAGGACTCCGAGTTATCAAAGACTTGCTGTATAATACAGGATATATGAAACAAAATAACCGTATTAGGCTATTTCTTAGGGTTTCAAAATATAATCTATGTTCGAAAGCACCATGGTTGAAAGAATGTCAAACATTTCGATACTATATACACTTAATACAATAACTTCATATGTTCCACTACCATACAACATATACCGATTAAAAAATCAACACAATCTCCGGCTTAACACGTAAACTAAGTAGGGCTCACAAAATCAGGGCAATTCCTAGGATGTACCACTACACCTAGGAGTCTGTACGTTACATATAAAGTAAATAAATTTAATGCTTTGTTGAATTGCTCAGTTATCTGGACCACAGGCAGTTTTGTTATTATATCATGCATTATTTTATAGTTTGGTACCTTTCATGCAGGAATTCAAATAGTTCCGAGTAACTACGTCAACATTTAAGTGCTCATGTCATTGCGAAGATCCCGTCGTGGAGCGGCCAGAGCACTAGTATGAGCAAAGAGTCAAGGATCACATGAGCTGCTCAAGCACGTGTATATAAACTGGTTCAAGTCTTCGAAAAACGGTACATTATCACAGCGAGTTTCTATACTCCCCTGCTGTGAGAATATGATGAGAAGCATTGACATGGTGATGCCCAGCGCAGCGAGGCCATACACAAGCGGGTCGACGGGAAGCTGAGAATGCCACAAAATCAGACTCTTACTCTTGACCCGCAAGGTTCCCATGCTGCTATCGCTTCCGTAAGGGTTGTAGATCGAAGCTCGGTATTCGCCCAGGTCCTCGGGCCGACAGTCTCGAATGGTCAAACGCAGCGTGCCATCAGGTCCAAGCTCGAATTTGTGGCGAGGCGTGCGCTCAAGTTCTTCTCCGTCTTTGAACCTGCGTGCGGCAGAAAACGCAGAAGTCGTAAGGGCTAAAATTACAGAGGGAACTCTCATCTGCTGCCCTCAACACAGACACACACACACGAAGTTTAGTTTATTGCTGTTTCGAGTTATTTTAATGTTCATGGGCCAGTGTGGTCTTCAAGTGATAGTAATGACAATTTTTATCTAACTGGACTTAGCAGCTTGTCAATTTTACACTACGCAGGGTCGGGTGCACGCGTAATCTTGGTGTATATAGTATAGATTCTCACTTGTCTTTTAAGGTACATACTAATAATATAATTGCCGCCTCTTTCCGTATGTTGGGTATTATTTCTAGAATTATGCGTAAGTTTTCCTGGTCAACCTGCATGTTACAAGTGTACTTCTCACTGGTTCTGTCCAAGCCTCACTCTATCGTCAGGGGTTGTATTGGGTGTACGAGCCTAGTGATGGTAGGAAGTGTTCAAAAGCGTTTCTTTCGGATTTCTATGATATTAATATGGGTCGTACAGTCTGTTATGATTACAGACTTTTTAAAAGTTTCAATTGCCCTACTTTAAACTCAAGAAAACGTGAGCGAGATTTAACATTTTTTTTTGTATAAATGCCTTCACTGATTAATTCATTGCCCTAATCTCACGTCATCTATTCGTATTCCCGTTCTAAGGCGAGTTTTACGAGTTTTTTTCTGCTTTCTTTGTTAATCAAATCATCTCAATGAGTCCCTTGACTGGCATATAGCACTTATATATCACCCTAGGTGCAGCGGATATTGACTGTTTAGCTATATCACTGTTTGTGCATCACTAACAAGGCATCAGGTGTTCATGAGCACAAAAAATAAACAGACGAATGAAATGATTGAACACATTTTCATGACTATTGTGAGTGTTTATGGATCTAACTGACTTTACAAAAAATACGTAACGATAAATTGAGGAATTTGGCTGCTTAAGGGGGAACACTGGTCTTGGAGCATTTTTCCTTATTCTATAACCAAACTCAATGAAACTGCACAAGCTTGTTCAGCTTTTTTCGCTGATTTCATATATCTGATAATTTCTTCATTCAGTAGAATTGTCCTGAAGATAATTAAAACTTGCCGGCCTTTGTTTGGAGGAATGATAGGGAAAAAACAGCTCAGCAAAATATCCTTTTTAACACATGGTCAGATACTATGAAGTGTAAAGAATACAATGTTGGAAGTACTTTTAAGATAAACCCATTATTAGTGATTTCACAACATATTGAAGTTCAGTGCTCAATGCATGGATAACAAGTAATAAAACAAAAGTTCAAATAAAAAATTTTCTAGACTTAAATTAAAATATCTGCTCTGAACATTGTATGCTTTACACATTTAGCAACCCATTTCAAGAAAGGTTATATTTCTGACTGCTGTAGATGCTGAGATATCCGTCCTGCAAATTTTCAACGAGTCCCAAAATTGTGTTATGTGAAAACAATGTTTTTGAGTCAACTTTAATGCACATTCAGCCTGCATAGACATTATAAATTGATTTATAGCTTAAATATTCATCCACGAAATTAGAAGCTTGGTAGATTCAGAAGAACAACAGCCATCGCCGTTTTGAAAATAATCCAGTTTTAGGAAGTTTTTGGCTGCAAAGACCCATGTCCCCCCTTAAGGAACAAAGTTGAAGTACAATTGACGAATATTTTATGACACGAATAATTTAACGCGCGTTTATAATTTGACATAACTTTACATCACAACTGCTTTTTGTTTTTGTGCATTTAGATTTTAGTTGACCATTGCGATTTCGAGACCTGTAATTACTATTATGTAACTGTGTTGGTTTATTTGAACGTAATTATACGATCAGAAGACTACCTAAGTATTATGGCCCTACTGATCATTAAATGATTTTAGTATCGCGATGTAAAGTGACCAGAAAATTCAGTTAAAGAGTATTCGGTTTTGATTAATTTGGAATTGGGTATCTTTCAGTTGAAAGTACTAAGTAAATGATTAAAGTAAATCTAATCTCCTGAGCTCCGAGTTGCTTGTTGATATTTTCAGATCAACTATGGAGTAAAAACACTCTAAAAAACTAACGCTATAAATTGTTTTTAACCTGCTTTAATATATATATATATAAAGCGCGGATTTTATTTTAACAAACGTATACTGCGCCTGTGTCTTACGAATGAGCGACATTTGTATGGTAGATGCACATACATTTTTGCTCTGTCCCCTAGATAAATAGTTCAAAATGTTAATTTCGAAATTACTCAAAACGCTCATCTATGTCTACTGTATAGGGCTATAGAACACCCATATTAAATAATTTTATAAATAATTTACATCTATAACGCATGCGTGCTTATAGTGTTCACGTTTTTGGTTCCTATTTAGCTCGATCTTTTGCGAACATTATTATTTGTTACGTCAGATTAACGAATAGCTATGCGCTTTCTAATTCGTAATTATTTCGAATTTACCTGGTGTGAAAATAAAACAAAATAGCTTTGTGTAACCAGCTAGCCCATCAGTTTATTTATTTATCATCGGTTATCTGAGAAATTTTCAGCGTTCATACAAAATGCCTTTCAGGCATATTTCCCGTGAAATGCACCACGATAACAAAAAATTTTATTTCAACGGCTTTCGGAACCAGACGTGTACACGCCACTAAGAAAAGTAACTGAATACCATTATTTGTTACTCCTTCAAAAAAGTGACTAATTACGTTACTCATTACTGAGGTTAAAAAAGGCTCAAAAGTAACTAGCTACTTTCTCGTTACTCTGGAAATGTCGTTTTTCTGAAGCCTTAGCCACCTTCCAATGTTTTGTATAATTAATGACGCCTTGCTTTATAAGTTATAAAGCATTCATGGACGTTTTCTTTATTTTCTTGTTGGCGCTTTTTTGCCGTGAAAGTCACCGGCGCGATCTGGGCAGATAACCCAATAGGGTCACTTGTATTATACTTGTTCCCCTTCTGGAAAAGTAACTAGTCGTTACTTTGTTACAAAAAAGTAACTAGATACAAGTAACGCGTTACTAGTTACGGATTACTAGTAACGCGTTACCTGCAAGTCTGTTAGACCCCATTTGTATGAAACTAGGCGTCGCACTAAAAAAAAAGCACAAACAGGAAACATGAAGTAGGAAATGACCTCGCGCCTTATCTTGGTGATAAACAGACAAGGCAAGGACTGTGGTGAATTACATAATGAAACTTTCATTTCCACTAGAACTTTCTTAATATTCGTGGAGGTAAACATATTTGCATGGTGAGAAGCAAGCAACAGAAATACCATTTCACTTCCGGCAGAGGAGATCCTGCAATACGCGCCGTGAATCGGGCCGTATCGCCTTCAGGGACTTCGACATTTTCGAGCCTTTTCAAGAAACATGGTGGTTCTCCCTTATCCGCCTTCTCACTGAAAGAAAAATTAGAAGGTGTTAAATAGCCATTTTTTGCAAATAAGGTGGCTACCACAACAAGGCTTTCAAGAAAACGAAACAAAACCCTTCAGCTGTAGGCAGAAACGCAAGGCTACATAAAAATTGCGTCAAAGCCTTTACTCAATTTGCCATTAGAACACACTGGATAATGAAATGCACATGTTGCGAAATTGTATAGAGTTTTAACACAAGTTGTTATTTGGGGAGCCTTTGCAATCAAAAGTGAAGCAGATTACACACAAATCGGGGCTAATTTAAAACAATGATTTTTACAACAAATGAGCAATATATCAGAAAGAAAATCTGGATTTTAAGTATAAAAACACGTAAGGATTGACAATTTTTAAGACTAGAGATATAGAAACATTGGTGTCGCAAAACAAATCATTATCATGCATGTGCAAATTAAAAAAAATAACACCTGACGTTTTTTAAGCATTTGTGGTTTTGGGTTACAATGAAAATGACATCATTCAATGAAATGCGTCCCAAATAATGAGCATAGACGCGCGACCTTTTGCAGATATCAACAGGAACGCACACCATGCGTGAAAAATAAATGACGTGCTTGCGGGCATGTAGCATTTCAACTTTGTGGATAAAAAGTTTACATTTTATATGGCACAGATTGTATGAGATTGCAGTTGGCAGAACTCATATCACAAAAGATACAGAGGAACGCATACAAAACGACGGCGTCAAACAACTGTGTCTAGAGCAGAGTTTACGCTCCACGTATAGTTCGCGTAACGTAGTTCTTTTTTGCACTCGTTACCAGAACGTTTAACCAACTCGTTCTACTTTTTCTGCCACTAAGAAAAGCTGTCACCATAGCGGCTACAACGTACCGCATGGTGACTTGAGCTTGACACTTGTCTTCACCCACTGGGTTTTTGGCAAGACACTCGTAGACGCCGCTGTCTTTGCTCTGTGGCCAAGGGATGGTGAGCGTACAGGTGTCTCCTTCCTTGCTCATGTTGTATTTTATACTGGGCTCGATCACCTTGCCGTTGTATTTCCAGGTGATTTCGGGTTCCGGGTTCCCTTCCACTTTAGCCACCAATGTTAGCGGTTCATTGGGAGATCCCTGGAGTCATAAAATAGAATACGACGCACAAACTTTTAATATATCGTTTTTTTTTCTTCAAAAACATCGAGGACGACCGTACAACCCAAAGTGAAAATCAATTTGGATGCTTATTTTGGGTTATTCCCGGATGACAAATGATTAATTGAGCTGCAATAATACTTAAAAAACAAGCGAGCTGGTGATGATTCATGGTAATAAAACCCGAGACTCAGGAACACACAAGTGTTGCGTTGTGTTGTGTTGTGTTCTTCCCCTTCTGTGTTCCCGAGTTTCGGGTTTTATTACCATTAATTGAGCTTAAAGATTTATATGTCGGGTAATCATTTTTAAAATGAAAACAGTATATTACCATTTTATGCTTAAGCCACAAAAATGTCAATCACGTGATATAATACTACGGTGGCAAATTCGGTATTACTATCCAAATTAGTGGTTGGCCAGCATCAGCTGTTTGTTTACCTCAGCTTATTAGACAAAACATAGAACGTTTATTTAAGAGGTGTTTTAACTTGAGATGAATTTACCAAAGTTCGCACTGATAAATACAACGGTGTAGTGAACAATACTAATAATAACTTACCCAATAGCGGTAGAGGTGGAGTCTCGATTAGTAGGGTCGCAGTTAAAGCTCTTCCAACGACACTTGAATCATTAAATACAATTTTTATACTTAGTAAAAAAAAAAAAAAACGCTTGCAAGGAGCGAAGACGTCCACATAAGCGTTTGTGTGTTTCGATGTTAAAAACAAAGATATATAACCACCTTTGAAAGTTCTGTAACGCACTTCGGTAGGATTGAAAAAGCGCATGTGTGAAAAAATTACAGTGTTGCGTCATAAAACCACGAAATGGGTACCTCAGTATCCGTTAGGCGCTTCGTAAACCGTGGTTTGCTCATGGCAGTGACGCCGACTGTCGATGTTGCCGATGCCTTCCCGGCAGGGTTTGATGCCCGACATTCGTATTGGCCTGCATCTTTCGGTCGGCTGTTCTTCACGTAAAGTTTTGCCTGCGAAGAAACAATGCGTCATACTCCGTGAAGCATCCTAAGCATGAGTGAGATTGCTTATACGGAACATGTTAAAGCGATACGCCATTTTGACTAGTCCATAAAATAAATATAGAAACAAATATCAAAGCTGATCTTGATTTCGTAATTGGGATACAATTATGTATTAGATGACATAACCCAACATCTTTATGAGCCACTGTAGATCATACAAGATGTATAAAAATATATTTCATAAGTATGATATTCTTTGAGGACTGACAATATAGTTCTTGGAATTCCATTTTTAAAAATGTGCGCTGTTATTATATGTCGACTGTTTTTAAATTTAAACTCCAGTAATTATCTTTATCTTGTGACGTAAACCAAGTTATACGAAATGTCAAGTAAAGCGATTTTCTGATTTTGCACTCTTTGAGGTTTGTACACATCAGTGAATTATTTGTTTATTAATGTATTTTAAAATTACTAAAGTAATGACGGCCGTCCATGGGGCATCAGCCGTAACGTGACTACGTAAAATATGCTTATCTACCTTCCGACCATCAAAGCTCTGTTGCACGTTGTCCGATGTTGAAACTGGCTTGCCATCTAGGAGCCACTGGACCTCAGGCAGGGGTTTTCCCGTCACCTTGGTTTCCAAAGTGAACGGCTCGCTTTCCATTACGTTAACATCCGCAATTGGAGAAACTGTCGGCTTTTCTTCTGGTTCTCCAGATGTGTCCGCTCCTGCAGAGAAAACGATAACGCCACTTTTTATATCCAGTCAAACATACTACGTCCTGATCTTCAAATGATAAGGGTATTTTTAAATTTGTCAATATAACGGGCGTATTTCATTTTGGATATTGTACTTCTGCGCTGCGGTAGACTTAAAATCTATTTTGAGGAGGTAGTAGGGGGGGACTATACCCATGGTGAAAACCAAAAAGAAGTGGGTGTGTAACGTCCCTAGTGCATCATGGCTCGTCTTTTCGCCTTATAACCGTTCAACTAGCTGGTTTTGTGCAAGGCAGAATATTCTCTTCGTTTTCTTCTTTCCCAAAATGCGAGTCGTTCAAAATTAAAAAAAAAAAGAACGCTAAAAGAGATTGACGTGGTTTCGCGTGCTTTCAGCTTAGAGGGGTGGACGTGGAGGAGCCAGGGGGGAAAACCTCTGGGGTAGGAGAAACGAATGAGGGAAAGAATTTGCATATGGAGGAAGTGAAAAGGGCGAAAAGCTCAAAGTGTACGTCGGCTTTGAAGCACTGTTTAAAGTCTATCTTACTTCTCTGTTGTTTTTTTTTTGCATGGTGCTGCATGGTGCGAGACAAAGTAAAAAGGTAACCGCAATATTTTATCTGCACAATAATAGGGACAGCATGAAAAGTAAATGACCACTTTTGAATGTAACAAGTTTCAGCAAGCCGCTGGGCAGGCGTGCGCAACTTACCTTTAGTTGAGGGCCAAGCAATATTTGGAACAAAGCAGTCTATCGCGGGAGTTAGACTTTTTTATAACTAATGTTCGGTTACATTTTGACTCTGCCATTAAGATAACAAAACAAAATGAAAGTGATAGCCAACAAATCCTAACGGGCGCCAAATCGGAGGCTTCCAGTGGCACTGTCAAAGTGAGTGAAGGCGGATATAGCCATCGAGCGTGACACAGCACGAACAAATTAATAGCTTATTTTTACCACCTTTCGCTTGGAATTAAATGGCACTCTACAAACCTAATACTCATTTGGGGCATCAGCTTCAGCTGTAGAAGAATGTCGAATATATTAGTACACTTGAAATAGTTCTAACATAACGAACTGATCAACATTGCGGGTCAAGAATTTCTACTTCATTACGGAGGTGGCCCTAATATTTCTCTGCGAACATACGAGGGCTGTTTTATTTTAACCTCCAGTGAGCTGGGTAAACAACATCGATAAAATGTCTTAGCAAACAAAAATTCAGATACACAATGGAGCTACTTTTCCACTCAACCACCGCGCACATGTAAGTACGTATCATTACGTGGCACGAGCTTTTGGATGCAGTCCTCAAAGAAGGTTGCCGCCTGGACTCTCAGCGATTCCATTACGTGCCAACAGGACTGACATTCGCCACAGGTGTGTAATGTGTATACAGAAAACTACACGAAATTTCGGGGAGGATGGACAGACGTCCATACACTCTAAGAAATGCCTGCGCGTCTACTTACCCGCAATCCATCTTGCTTGTCCGCTGTAATCCCATTGTGAAGGATACAAATTGCTTACGATTCAAAGAAAATTTTACCTCGACATCTTTTTATCCACTCAGGAGTTTATGTTAAATTTGCGTGACTGGATGTCTGTGAACTAATCAATTTTTGCATTATGATAATGTTGCATGAATTTTATTGATTTAACTTTGTTGTTTCCTGTATTTTTAGGTTTTACTCCATGCATATTTAGCGCACCACACTGTAAACGAGAGGTTGTTTGTGGGCACGAGAAAAATAAAACAATTTATTATTTATTAGTTTTTATTAAAACACTCGATGCGCCAATTTCTGCGATCTACGAAATCAGCTCAGCGAATGATGAGGCGGAACATCTGTTTAGACCTCAAAATGAAGTCTGCGCTGTGGCATTACGCAATGCAAAGCGTCATGCTTGTATTGCGTAGTGCCACAGTGCAGACTTAATTTTGAGGTCTAAACAGATGTTCCACCTCATCATTCGCTGAGCTGATTTCGTAGATCGCAGAGATTAGCTCTTTGAGTGTTTTGCGGGTAAGTAGACGTGCAGGGATTTCTAGAGTGTAATGAGTGTAATGTCAGGAAAAAACGTCTGCGGCGACTGACGGCCGTGTTAACGCATGATAGAATGACTAAGGATCCCGGCGGCAACCGATGTTCAAAAGCTTATGGCACGTCATGATGAGTGCTAAATCTTCGCTGTGACTACGTGGAGAGGAAGCTACTGTATGTATTTAAATTTGATGTATCTTAGAACAATTTTCATCGCTCTGGTTTATTTTATTTGTTTACCCAGCTCATCGGAGTTTAAAAAAACAACAAAAAAACACCCCTCCTCATATATGGTATTGATGTTGAAAGAGAATCGCAAATAACTACAAAAAAAAAAAAAACAATAGGTGCCAACATAATCCAGATATTTGTTTAAATTGTATAGACGCTTACCTGCTACAGTCAGCGGAGCTTTTGTCTCTTGTTCACCGAAAGGATTTTTAGCTTTGCAAGAATAAACACCTGCATCCTCAGGCTGGGTTTTCGGTATAATAAGGGCCACATCCCCAGAAGGTGTTTTTGACTCCTTTATCTTCTCCCCGTCAGGTATGAAAGGCTTTCCATCCTTCTTCCTGTAAGTGCAAAGCGCGTGACATTTAAATGTAGTTTGTGTAAGAGGTTTCAGATAAACAGCGAACAAATAAACTATGTCGACGTTTTATCTGAACACAAGCAATTAAAACATTGCTTCTGGAAAACACTTTAAAAGTATAAACATTATTTCACTTCTGCGATATAGATAGCCATAATAGGAACTTGCACAGCAGAGATTGTTAGCAACAGTTCTCTTGTGAAGCTATATAGACACTTTCCTATGTTCTGATTTTAATTTGAACAAATTTATTTATAAAACGATGTTTGGAAGTGTAGACTAGTGCGGCCCGTGCAGATTAGTTATACAGTCAGGGGGACATATTACACGAGTGTAATCATTACGATAAGTCAAAACGAAAGCGCGAATGAAAAGATTATCTGGGTTTTAGGAGCGCCAGCATTGCGCCTGGTGCACGAGTGAAAACTTTAGCGTACCCCTGTGATTACCACGGGCTTGAAATTTTTCTAAAATTGAATGCTTTAGTGGTTTTAGATAGCGCTGAGCGAGTTCCTAATTGGAACCATGTGCTTATTTTCACTAATTAAAAAGTTATTTAATAAATTTTACCTAATTACTTGACTTATTGTGATGATTAGCCCCCGTATTACATCCTCCTGACTGTATACAACTCACCTGCACAGATCGCATTAGTTTACTTTTAAGGTTTTTTTTTTCCTTTTTTTTAAAAATAAATCTGTTCGAAAAAACAAATCAATCACTTTATAGTAATCAAAATGTTTCGCGTCCGAAGTGGAAAAAAATAAGAGAAATTTACACCTTTTTTTTTGACCTGTGGTCGTGAACAGGTGATTTCGTTTCATGACACACTTTACCGGTCTAGTTGAAAGAAATCAACCTTTTACTCACCATTCTGTTTCCGGCGTAGGCTGACCACTAAGCTTCGCCTCTAACCTTGCTGGGTAGCCTTCCACTGCCTCTACGGGTTCCAACGGCGTGGTGAACCTAGGTGGCTCTGTACACAAATAGATTGTATGTACAAAGTTCTGAATAGTGGACTCCACATGAAGAAACTGTTTCCTTCCGCTTTCTAGATATAAAAAAAAGTTTTGAGGTATCTACAATGTGCTTAGTGGGTTTTTATGGAAACGCGAAGCTAATGCATGAAATGCATGTAGTCTTTAATGAATTCTATTGGCGCCTGGCAAATTTAGCTTCATCATTGCAGCTTTGCTTTCAACGTTAATGCATATTAAGAAGACGGACCTATTTTTAACATACTTTTAAACTGACTGGTTCTGTACTGGAAAAATTTTTATAATCATACATCTACAAGGTTTGCACAAATTTCAACTTACGGTTCACCGTGACTGGGGCAGACGTCCTACATTCTCCTTCGTCATTAGCTGCGACGAGGGCATATTTTCCAGCATCTTCTGGCTTAACTGGATCAATTGTGAGGGCCACATCTCCACCAGGGGATGTAGTGGAGCGAATACGGCTGTCGTCAGGAAGCTCTTGCCCATCTTTTATCCTACAATAAATGTTGGAATATTACGACGTTTACGGTTATATCCTCATAATAATTAAAGAATACTGCCATATGGCACATCTTATTCTAAAAGTCAATAGTTACAATACTTAAGAACATTTAAAACATACAATTGAATTACTTTCGTGCCCGCCTGCAGGCCAAACACATTTTACTATCACAGAGTCGGAGATTGAACCGTACTATGGTTAATTAAAAAGGGTTGCATATGTGGACATGCCAGATTCAAATGGCATTAACGCTGCCCCTGAAGCACCCAAGTGATGTCTATTGAGACACTTATAAAAAAAAAGTTAATTCTATTGTCCCTCAAGTTGCAGCCAGGTTCTGAGCATTTCTATTGTGTTGCAACGGGACTCAATTCCACAATAGATGGTCATAATAAGAGTACTTGCCATTTAACATCAGGCATGGGCTCTCCAGAGACCTTTGCCTCTAACTTTCCAGGTTCACCCTCAGTGAAAACAGTGGGTTTAAGTTCATCCACGACCTCAGGTTTATATTTTGGCATCTCTGAAAGAAGACAACAAATGACTTTAGCTTCTAGAGAGCTGGAGATTTCCATTATTACAGCCACCTTGAATTTGCAGCTGTATTGTAGTAGGAACCTTTTGTACATGTCCCAACTGAAAGGTCCGTGTCTTAAATTGAACTGTCTAAGCGCGATGATGAGTGATAAGTTTGACATACTGAATGGGGTATTCATTGGATGCCATATTGTTAGTCTTTGTTCGCAGCGCATACCCAGAACAAGCTCCCATTTAATGTATGCCAAGAACAAATATTTTGATTGAGAGGAAGGCACGATTATGAGCGTTCAACGCACATTGCACCTCATCATGACCGTTGTTCATGGTAGACTGTAAATAATATCTTGTTCTGAGCATGCCCTGAGAACAACGATCGACCAACAATATACTGCCCCGTTAATACTACATGTAGCAAAGGTTGTCTCTTGAATGTCGAACAAATTAATGTCAAGCTATCAAAGAAATGTAGGTCCCTTGGCTGATAAGTTTTCTGCTGACTATATTGCGTAAAATTAGGCAATTCGCTCTTGCGGTACTCCAGAAAAACACCCTCATTAACCTAATAATTTATGAATGTTGATTTTACACAACAATACACTTGATGTCTACGGGGGAGTAAGAAACTGACGAAACAAAACACACTACAAGTGCACTGGTTTTGTATTACTTTTTTCGTCATCCCGATTTATGCATTAAAAATAGCGATTGCATATTTGATTACGAATGACGCTTCTTTTAAATGTTTGATACGTATTCAAATAAACAATATATAACTAATTATTTACTTAAAATTGTGAGCAATAGCTACCATTGTACATAACTTCAATAAAACAATAGAATGGCATTCTTTATGCATGGCAAAAATCCAACGCTAGTAATTTTATTAAGCAGACGCACTCGGTGGTTGTAGTTCACAATAAAGCCCCGAAGCGAACAACTGCTTACCCTTGACATTAACTGTGCTCGAACTTCTCGCCTTCCCATCGGGATTTGTAGCGACGCACACATATTTGCCGGAGTCATCAGGGGTTGCGTGATCAATGGAAAGTATCACTGTGCCATCCGGTTCTTGGGAAAATGACAACCCGGACGAAGTCTTCAGAGGTTCACCATCCTTCAGCCTTAAATAAAATAAAACTCGACTTAAATTACTACTTAAAGAAAAGTAAACGTATGGCGAATTCGACCAACGAGACAAATAAAATGTAGGTATACGAAAACATAACAGTAACGCAAAGACAATTACGGAATTAGGCCAAACCTAGTCATCGCTATTTGCAGAAAAAGCCAAGCGAATGACGCGGCATCGATACGGTTGAGACAAAACAAAAATCGCGATGGGTTATTGGATTTTGAGTACGTGAATATACAGCATATTGCACCTCTGTAGGCCACATCTTTAGATGCGAACGCTCTCAGTGCACCGTAATTCAACGTGCCCTATAAATGGAAATGGTTGGATTACCCCCGTAATGCGGAGAATGCAAACATAGGAATTCAATTCATAAAACGGATATCTAAGTTTCGGGTCAATACGATACTTTGTTTGCGAACAGCATTCGTGTAATAAAAGTTTCTCTCACCATTCTACTGTGAAGGGACTGTCACTCTTGACCTTTCCAACAAGATGTAAAGGTTGCCCTTCGAGAAGTTCCGCATTTTTCAGCTCAATCACAAATTCAGGCTTTTCTCCGGGGACACGTGCTGTAGGTTTAGCTGAAATGAAGTCAAAACAAACAGAATGACTGACACACACAAAAAAGTTGTATCATGTATCACGCAGGCAAAATATGTATTTTTTTTATAATTTATAGGCAGCTAGTTGTTCGTTTTTGATTTGTTTGCATGGCATTAACTTTGTGGTATAGTAGCATTTCATTGTAAGTTGATGTAGAGTTTTTTTTTAGAATGATTGATTTATGGTCTAAAAATCTGGTTTTGTCTTTTACGTTGTAGACAGAAAACCCTGGTAGACAGTATTACCAGTCTCTAGTTTCTTCTTTCTTACTCAAGTGAGATCACAGGAATACACACTCATATTATTTTCTTAGTTTCTAAATATTAACGAAATGAATATCCAAATATATGATGTCTTATAAAACTAGAAACTTGAAGCATTCATACTTTTAATGTCAGCCTCCGAATCAGCCTCTCCAGCATCATTTGCAGCGACCACAGCATATCCACCGGCATCTTCGGGTTTAACATCATCGATTGTTAATGCCAGTGTACCGTCCGGATTTTCTTCTAGCTTCACCCGTTCACTGGGTCTAATGGGCCTGTCGTTTTTATACCTGAAAAGCAAAAAACCGTTAGGTCAAAGATGGGGACGGACACCGACCAAAAATACTAACACTAAAAATCAGGGCATGGTTCCTGCATATAAATATTAAGGAGATATAATATAATTAAAGAAGTTTTTAAAGACTAACCGCACACCTTGTTATCTAAGATAAAACCTAAAATTCGCTCGTTCAGAAGAAATTAATTTAGCTTACATACCCCTGGTAAAATCCCAACTTGAATATACATCATCGATATGGTTGTCATTTTAAAAGGTTCTCACCAAGGAGGTAGAGAACATCCAAAACAGGGCATTATTAATATATAAATGGCAGAAAAATAAAAGCCGTTGACAACTCCTGTAACGCCGATTTAGAGCGCAGCTCTTGAGGTGGAGGAGGGGAGGGTACTGAGGGGAGGGTATGCCCCTCGTCCTCATCGGCACCCTCTCCTCCTCCTTTCCCCCTTCATTCACGCGCGAAACGCGAGTCGTCACGTGACGCTTCGGCGCGGTGCCGAAACGTCACCTTGGCGAAGCGTAACCGCGGTGCATAACGGGAAACGTCCCCTAATGCAACGCGGTGACCTTTCGGCACCCTGCCGAAACGTCTGCGCGGTGCATTATGGGAAATGTCCCATAATTCACGATGATGAAAATAATCCCTGGAGAAGGGGAACAAGAGGGACAAAGGACAAACACAAATCTCCAAACACAGCTAGGTGACTGGTGGGCGACCGAAAAAATGCGCCTGGTCCGGGTATCGAACCCGGGACCTCTCCATTACAGGTATTGCGCTCTACCAATTGAGCTAACCAGGGGTTAGACATCAGTAGAGCAAACGGGTTTTATCAGCTGCCACCAGTCTAACACCAACAAGGGTGAAGCTTGCAATTTAAGGTTATAATTAGAATGCAATTAAATGCAAAAGTGCAAGCGAGCTGGACAAGAATGATGAAAATAATCCCTGGAGAAGGGGAACAAGAGGGACAAAGGACAAACACAAATCTCCAAACACAGCTAGGTGACTGGTGCGCGACCGAAAAAATCCGCCTGGTCCGGGTATCGAACCCGGGACCTCTCCATTACAGGTGGAGCGCTCTACCAATTGAGCTAACCAGGGGTTAGACATCAGTAGAGCAAACGGGTTTTATCAGCTGCCACCAGTCTAACACCAACAAGGGTGAAGCTTGCAATTTAAGGTTATAATTAGAATGCAATTAAATGCAAAGGTGCAAGCGAGCTGGACAAGAATGAAGAAAATAATCCCTGGAGAAGGGGAACAAGAGGGACAAAGGACAAACACAAATCTTTAAACACAGCTACTGATGTCTAACCCCTGGTTAGCTCAATTGGTAGAGCGCTCCACCTGTAATGGAGAGGTCCCGGGTTCGATACCCGGACCAGGCGGATTTTTTCGGTCGCGCACCAGTCACCTGGCTGTGTTTGGAGATTTGTGTTTGTCCTTTGTCCCTCCTGTTCCCCTTCTCCAGGGATTATTTTCATCATTCTTGTCCAGCTCGCTTGCACCTTTGCATTTAATTGCATTCTAATTATAACCTTAAATTGCAAGCTTCACCCTTGTTGGTGTTAGACTGGTGGCAGCTGATAAAACCCGTTTGCTCTACTGATGTCTAACCCCTGGTTAGCTCAATTGGTAGAGCGCTCCACCTGTAATGGAGAGGTCCCGGGTTCGATACCCGGACCAGGCGGATTTTTTCGGTCGCGCACCAGTCACCTAGCTGTGTTTGGAGATTTGTGTTTGTCCTTTGTCCCTCCTGTTCCCCTTCTCCAGGGATTATTTTCATCATTCTTGTCCAGCTCGCTTGCACCTTTGCATTTAATTGCATTCTAATTATAACCTTAAATTGCAAGCTTCACCCTTGTTGGTGTTAGACTGGTGGCAGCTGATAAAACCCGTTTGCTCTACTGATGTCTAACCCCTGGTTAGCTCAATTGGTAGAGCGCTCCACCTGTAATGGAGAGGTCCCGGGTTCGATACCCGGACCAGGCGGATTTTTTCGGTCGCGCACCAGTCACCTAGCTGTGTTTGGAGATTTGTGTTTGTCCTTTGTCCCTCTTGTTCCCCTTCTCCAGGGATTATTTTCATCATTCTTGTCCAGCTCGCTTGCACCTTTGCATTTAATTGCATTCTAACCATAATTCACCTTGGCGACGTTTCGGCATGGTAACATTTCGCCCCCGTGCCGAAACGTCCGCGCGGTGCATTACGGGAAACGTCCTATAATGCATCGCGGTGACGTTGCGGTAGGGTGATGTTTCGGCACCATGCCGGAACGTCGCCGCCGTGCATTATGGAACGTTTCTCATAATGCACCGCGCGGACGTTTCGGCACGGTGCCGAAACGTCACCTTGCCAAAATGTTGCCGCGGTTACGCCGACGGCGACGCCGACGCCGCTCAAGTCAGAAACGGGTGCCTAAGAGCTGCGCTCTAAAACGTACTTGAGGCGGTTGTTTCGAGTTCCATAACATATTTTTCGTAAAGTCAGTCGACGTTTCGGCCTGAGACAGACCTTTTTCAAGACTGGTTACATGAGACGAAATATTTACACACCTTGGCTACAACACGTGGCCCATGGCATCAAGAGATTATGCTACTTCAAAACACTTTATTCCTTCAAGAGCCCCACGATAGACGCGACAAAGTTTTCGCCACAAACGCCGATCATTTGGGGCCTAGCCCGAAGGGTAAGCCTCCAGCGTAAACCTGGCCGGGGAGAAAACGACACGTACAGCACTGGAAAATCTGACTTAACGAAAACGGAGAGGCAGCCACAAAACAGCAGGCACCAAATGCTCGGCGAAGGTCAAATTCAGTAAACGCAAAGCCGCTCACAAAAAAAAAAGAAAAAAAGAACAGTCTTGAAAAAGGTCTGTCTCAGGCCGAAACGTCGACTGACTTTACGAATATGTTATAAAACTCCAAACAACCGTTTCAAGTACGTCATAATGCCGTTTATACTTCTCGGCATCCTGCGCTACTTTCTCTCTCTCTCTCTCTCTCTCCATATATATATATATATATATATATATATATATATATATATATATATATATATATATATATATATAATCAGCCTCTGCTGCGCTGTCCTCGCGCAACGCAGCAGAGGCTAATTACACTATTTCTCCGTGGGGCGCGGTGTGCAACAAACCTCTGCTGCGCTGTCCTGGCGCGACGCAGTAGAGGCTGGTTGCACTATTTCTCCACGGGGCGCGGTGCCGTCCGGGCCGAAATGCGCTCCGATTGCAAACCGAAACTTAAAAACCCGTCGTCGTTGTGAGGTTTTTCATAAAGCCGTAAAATGCTGCACGTGCCCTCTATCGTTCTGCAATTTGTTGATTTAGTGTTTATGAATAATGTCGAGCAATTTTCTTATTGAAACCATGCCCTTAAACACAATATTAAAAAAAGTTAATTACGCAAACATAATTAACAATCTAATTATCCCGGTCTGTGATAATTTTCCTAAATAGGCCCCCTGCCGAGGACCAAAACGACACAAGCCTTTTTTTGTTGCGACGCGCAGTTTTCGCAATATCGAATTTGTCCTCCTTTCGTGAAACACCCTGTATATATATATATATATATGTATGTGTGTGTCTGTCTCGGGTAAAGTTGCCATTCATAATAAAAGTTAAAAATGTAAACCAAACCGAAAAATTATAAAGCGGGAGCAACACGTTGAAGAGTTTGATGGTTCGATAATAATGCATTTTGTGATATCAATATACTCTGTGTGATGAATGCAAATTTATATTTCTTATGGCAGAACGGCTAAACATAAACCGATAATTTTCTTAAGAACTACTGGGATCTTTAGGCATATCGAAAAATGGGCTATTTTCCATCTGCCCTGATCAGCTGGTGTCCTGTATAGTAAATTTTCCTCTCTAATACCCTTAAGAGAAGTTTAAATGGCAGGGCACCATTTTTATTTTTTTTTCTGAGTAAGTTGGTGCTTGTTTTTTTTTTTTTTAATACGCCAACTGGACCAGTAAAACACCTCCGAAGAAAAGTTTAAGATGCTAGGTTCAAGCGCCGATTTGTGCAGTCGGTTTTATGCTGAAAACTTCCTTTTCATATATGATAGTGACTGTCCAACAGTGAACCTCCAAAGGTTGTGAACACCATGCGGTGGCATCGTTTTTTATTATGATCATTTACATTGAACGACTCCTGTCGTTTTACTTGTAGACAGGAAATAAAACCATGAATGGATGCTTATATGTTATTTTAGGAGCCCATAGTTTTTCTCTTTCTTTAGTACTTTATCTTTCTTCAACGATACATCCGACAATATTGCAACATTCATATGGTGGAACTGCATCACCTGGACTAGCTGGAGCGTTGCGATTTGTGATGCCCTCTTCATATGGAATTGAAAACTTCCGAATTACTCGTATTTAAAATTTGAATGTGGCTAGGGAATGTTCAAGTTCCTCACCACTTGATACTTGTGGGCTTGCTTCCAGGAGCGAGCTTTGCTTCGAGTCTCGCTGGTTTGCCTTCGGCCAAGGTCATCGGTTCGAGCTCCTTCTCAAATGCAGGCTTCTTCAGTTTACCCTCTCCATCGGCAACCGCTTTATGTATATAAGTAGAAGAAAGTAAGAACAGGTTAAAAACAATATTTCGGAAAATATTTCAAACTTTTTTGCACGGGTAGTTTAGGTGCTTTATCATGCATGTACTCCAGGGTCCATTTTTAATGCATTTACAAACTGGAAGGAGCATTCCGCGATGGCAAATAAAGGAAAAACATTAAAAACGAGCGTGTGGGAAATTATGCTTAAACAACCGGAAAGGATAAACACGAAAACGTCAATTCTCGTCCCGTTTTCATGTTTATTCTCTCCGGTTGTTTAAATAAAAATAAAGGAAGCTTGCCGATAAGGTACTATCGCGTTTAATATGAGCTGAAACAGTACTTCATGCTCCTTCGGCATACCTACCAGTTTTGGAGTGGGTTTTGGTCCAAACTAGGAACAGAATGCCGAGTTAAATTCCCATACGTCGGACTTTTTTTTTTTGTTTGTTTGCATAAAATGAGAGTTAATAGAGCTTGTGAGGACTGAGGACCTGATACTCATAAAAAGGATTGATCGGGTGTTTCAGTTAATATTGATCGGATAGTACATTTCTTCAAGAATATGACCAGCATTAGAAATTCGTACTTTTAACAGGCGCCTCAGATTCAGCCTCTCCAGCGTCATTCGAAGCCACCACAGAGTAGCGACCAGCGTCTTCGGGCTTTACATCATCGATGCACAACGCCAATGTCCCATCGGGCTTCTCTTCTTGCCTCACCCGATCACTGGGCCTGATGGGTCGCCCATCCTTAAACCTGAAACAAAATCAAATGGAATGTAATAAATTCAACAGAGAAGACTATATGTGTCTCTTTAGGTCTTGCAACATTTCAATAAGAAAAGTGGGAGACATGTTACTTCTCATGATTTAAGAACACTAATCGCTTTCATAATGAAGTCGAAGACATCTAGGCTACAAGCAAACAACTAAAGCGTATTTTAGAATTCGGTACTTCAGCATTGCAACAAAGTAATCATAGCTACACTGCAATAAGAAAAAAATAAAGCAACTATAGCTCAGTGCACCACATATTAAGAAGCCACCATAGCTCAGTGGCTAGAGCACTGGTCTCGTAAACCAGGGGTCGTGAGTTCGATTCTCACTGGTGGCAGTTTGGTCTCTTTGTTTTGAGCCGTACTATCAAATTCTGAACTCTCCACTTTGAATTTTACAACGCGTTGCCCCCGAATGTAATATAAATTGCAGATAAATCAAGCTTGTAAATTGATGTTTTTCTGATGATGTGATGTGATTTTATGTTTCCTGGCGTTGCCGTTGTAGTTTTTTACAACGGCAACGCCAGGAAACATGCTGAAATAATCATTTCAGTGCAGTACAGCCGCTAGTCGGGGGTCACTTACGTACATCACGCTGTAGTGATAGACTAACGGACACAACTGAAATAGTAGTCACTGAGCTATGGAGCTACGGAAAGCAGCAGCTAAAACGGTTTTAAAAAAAAAAGAAAGAGGAAATTTCTTTTTTTAAATTATATTAGTAACGCTAATATCGCCGGCTTCTTGTGCTTAACGCTTCGTTTAAATCGTTTTCTGATAACTCTATTAGTACGAATTTTTTCGTCTGTTTAGTTAATTTTATGGAATGGGATGAATACTTACCACTTGACACTTGTGGGTTTGCTTCCTGGAGCGAGCTTTGCCTCGAGCTTAGCTGGCTTGCCTTCGGTCAGGGTCATCGGTTCCAGCTCTTTGTCAAATGCCGGCTTCTTCAATTTACTTGCTTCATCAGGCGTAGCTTTATGTATGCAAGTAAGAGAGAGGTCAAGTGAAGCACTATAACACGAAAAACCAACAACTCGAGTTCCGCACCCCAAATACCCTTTTTTTTTATGGTCGTAACAAACGCAGTATTTTATACACGCGAATGAATTAACAATATAATTTTGTTGGGTGAGACCATCTGAACATAAAAAGAAAGGATATATGAGATAGAGGAAAGGACAAGCTGCCGCTGGACTACCAGCTATTTTAATGATTGCAAGTTAAGTGGCACAGAGGCAACTAAGGTCATAGTGAAACTATTGTGATGAAGAAAGCATCTTCATCTTTAACTAGATTTTTTTTCTTCCTCTTTCTTTTCTGTTTGATCGATCTATGGCATCTACCATATTTGTTACGTCCTCCTCGTTGTAATTCTTGTCATCAAGAGGATTCAACTTATTCCCGTCGTAAGTTAACACTATAAAAACAACCATCAGCAACGCCGAACAAGCGACTTGCCGATAAACTATGTATCTTTAAAAATATGTTAATAACGTTTTTGTTTTTTACAACATACTTTTAACAGGCGCCTCAGACTCAGCTTCTCCGGCGTCATTTGAAGCCACCACAGAGTATCGACCAGCGTCTTCGGGCTTGACGTCGTCGATGCACAGCGCCAATGTCCCATCGGGCTTCTCTTCTTGCCTCACCCGATCACTGGGCCTGATGGGTCGCCCATCTTTGAGCCTGAAATAAACAATAAATGAAACTAATACAAATAATGACCATCTGAAAGAAACAAGTACTCCAACAGCTAACCTTATAATAATAATTAAAAAAAATCAACTCCAGCGAACATTAAAAACAAATCCACAAATTTAAAGCTTAATTTAATCCTATCTTTAAGAATATAGGGCGTGGCTTGATACGTGCACGCCTCCGGCTTTGTGATTAGTTCTTTGGCGCTCTCGTCGGCGAATGCCGCAACCTCATTGGCTGAGGACGATAATGAGATGCTCGGGACTCGCCACGCCCCAAGTGTCTTAAACTCTCGGTGGCTATACATCCAATCTAAAGTTTGGAGGATCAAAAGAACCGCAGTTTATTTAATTTCACCTTCGTTCTAAAATCCCCGGAGCGACTACTTTCACGCAAAGCGCTTGGGAGAGCCAATTGCTGCAATCTGTGGAGGGAGTTCGGCCAATGACGAGGCTGGATCGTTTCTTCCTAGTGCTTTGCGGGAAGGTAGACGCTCAGGACTTTAACAGCTTTGAATTAAAACGTGGAAGGTGATGATGATGATTATAACGATGGGGCATAGAAGCCAGAAAAAACGGGCCGCTTTTTGTGGATAATATTTCTCAAGGGAAAAGACATAACGTTATTCTTTTCGGCCTCGTGTGAATATTAAAGAACCACTGAAAAGAGGAAAAAAATGTTGTTTTTAAACAGTCTGGTTGGGACACGCGTGTCGAGAAATGAATATTACGCGAAAAAAAAATTTAGAGCAATAATGACGGCGCGAGATTTATTTGAAATTCTGCGCTCAAAGTCTATGACGTCACGGAATGGTCATACACTCTTTCCACCTCAACGAGATGGCCAAGCCGATCCACCTCTTCCCCATGCGCCTGAAATCGCGTCTTGCGCCGTCAATATTGCTCTATTATATATATATATATTTTTTTTTTCGCGCGTAAAATTTTTTTTTTTTTTTTGGCACGCGTGTTTTAGCCAAACTGTATAAGAAAACTGTTTATTTTTTCTTTTTCAGTGGCCCTTTTAAGGCTTTCGTTTTAATCAAACAATGATGCTTGGTTTTCTCACAAACGGACACGGTACGAATTGTTTCGTCTGCTTAGTTTGTTCTGTGGCAACGTTGTCAGATCTTACCACTGGACACTTGTGGGTTTGCTTCCTGGAGCGAGCTTCGCCTCGAGCTTAGCTGGTTTGCCTTCTGTCAAAGTCATCGGTTCGAGCTCCCTCTCGAATGCAGGCTTCTTTAATTTACCTGCTTCATCCGGCATAGCTTTGTACATGCAAAGAAAATAAATAAATGTGAAGTAAAGTACTACGACACGACAAAACACATTTGTCAAGTTTTGCAACTAAGATTTACTTTCTACTTTTAGGGGATAAAAATGGTGTATCAAGCAATTTAACGAATCAGCAAGGAAGAAACTGGTATAAACTGGTAAGACATCTTTCATTAGGAATATGACCAGAATCGTTTAAAAGAATACACACTTTTAACAGGCGCCTCAGACTCAGCTTCCCCAGCGTCATTCGAAGCCACCACAGAGTATTGACCAGCATCTTCGGGCTTGACGTCGTCGATGATCAGCGCCAATGACCCATCGGGCTTCTCTTCTTGCCTCACCCGATCACTGGGCCTGATGGGCAGCCCATCTTTGAGCCTAAAGTAAAAACAAAGAAATATCAATATAGACGAACTACAAAATAATAGTTACATTGCAGTAAACTTTGGAATACTTATATATATAAAAAAGGCATCTCTGTCGTGAAAATTAAAAATAAAACAAATTGTCTCGAAGTTCGAGGTATTTTGTTTTCTCTTTTTATTTTTTTTCTTATTCTCGTGGTAGTTGAGATAGGAAGATTATAAGAAGCGTACGACATGTATCGGCATGTCGAACACAATGCAAGCATGGCGCTTTGCCTTGCGTAATGCCACAGCGCAGACTTAATTTTGAGGTCCAAACAGATGTTCCGCCTCATCATTCCCTGACCTGATTTCGTAGATTGCAGAGATTGGCTCTTCGAGTGTTTTGCGGGTAAGGAGACACGCAGACATTTCTTAGAGTGTACCGATGAGCCGTGAAGGCTGACAAATAGAATAATGAAGCACTGTGAAGCCAAAACGGGACTCCTTTGAGCGATTAGGACGTGACGTTAAGAAATTTAATATTGTTCTGTTCTTTCTTGCGCGGTTATTATTTAGTCTAAGCCAAACCACAATGCATCATTTTTGAACTTCCAAAACGTTTATATCCTTCCCGCCTGTTTGGTTCATACTTTGGCAACTTGGTCACTTCTTACCACTTGACACTCGTCGGTTTGCCTGGAGCGAGCTTCGCTTCGAGCTTAGCCGGTTTGCCCTCCAACAAGGTTGCTGGTTCTAGTCCTTTCTCAAAAGCAGGCTTCTTCCGTTTGGTGTCTTCGTCAGGTTGCGCTGTATTTTTTAAACAAACAAAAACACAAATGTCATACTTGAATGCGCGATGCACACTACGGGACAGTCAGCGTAACTTGATTATACAGTTTGGACTGTTGCTTGGCACGACGCGAAAGAAAGTACGATGTAAAGGAGTTTATTAAATGTTGGGTATTCGACATGGTTGACGCATTCAGAGTTAAATCATCTGCAAATGGCTCACACCTCACCATGAACTAGATTTAGCGACATCTTATGAAAGGCTTCTTCCTTCGTGATTGGTTCTTGGGCGGTCTTATAGATAATGGCGCAATCTGATTGGCTGCGGATCAATAATGAGATGATCTCTCTCCGCCCTGCGTTGATGAGAGGTGTGAAGGATGCGTACTTTTAACGGGCGCCTCGGAATCCACCTCTCCAGCGTCGTTCGAAGCTACCACCGAATAGCGTCCAGCATCTTCGGGCTTCACATCATCGATTAAGAGAGCCAGCGTCCCGTCTGGTTTTTCTTCTTGCCTGACTCGATCGCTCGGCCTAATGGGTCGTCCGTCCTTGAGCCTAAAAAGAGTAAGATGTGAAACGCATAAGCAGGCCTGTCAATGAATTCAGAGAAGAGCCCCTGACATGATAATACAGGGCTATTTAAGCTTAACAAATTTATTTTTAAAACAAGCCGCGAAAGATACACTAACGCGGTTTGTACAGGTGAGTTATACGGTCAGAGGGACATGATGAGACGGAAAAACTGCGCGGGCTCGTTATCGCACCGGTAGCCTTGCTCCTGCTTCGAGAGGGGTAACTTGAGCACTACACCGGTGTTCCCACGTGCTCCAAGTCTTTCTAAGATGGTTTTCGATGATGCTCAGCAATTTTTTAATTAGAATCTTGTGTTTATTTTCAACATTTAAAACTTTAATTGACATATTTTAGCTAATCAGCCGACTGATCGTTACGATTTGCCCCCTACACTATGTCCCACTGGCCGTATAATTCATTTACACAAACCGAATCAGTGTAGCTTTCGCGGCTTTTTTTATAGAGTTGTGTTAAGCTTAAACAGAAACACCCTCTATAATACTGTGAAACCTGAAGATGGATAGAAACAAATTATTTTTTACTCGCTTATTGTCACGAAGAGTTTCAAAATTCTCGCCACCCAAAGATATTTAGAATAACGAACGTTATGTGCGAATAACGGCGCATAGGCCTATTGCGGGGAAGACGCCGCCTAACTGAGCTTTCGGTTGCACACCTCAAGATCTACAGGTGACTTTCTATTTTTCGCCGCGATTGACTGTCCGCGAGTTCTACGAGAAAGTGAGCTCACAGACCTTTTTGTAGAGTGAATGTACACTGTACCTTAAGCCCTCTTTTAGTGAGTTTATGGAATTAAGGTACCGTGAATGTAAAGTTGCTTTAGTTCAATATTGAATGCGCTCCTGCTCAGAAAGTTTCACATATTTTAATAAAAATAAGGAATTTTTTTGTCATAATTTCCTCCCGCATTTTATTTGCCATATAAAACAACAAATCCCAATCGAGACCGCTTTCGGGGACCCCTTCGCTCGACAGCACTGGCACAGTTCAACTATAAGGGCACCTCTATTGGGATCCGATGCCTTTGTAGCGAGAATATGGCTTACCACTTAACACTCGTAGGTTTACTCCCTGGAGCAAGCTTGGCCTCAAGTTTAGCAGGCTTGCCTTCTACCAGGGTAGTTGGTTCCAGTCCTTTCTCAAAAGCAGGCTTTTTTGCCTTACGGTCCTCATCAGGCTGGGCTTTAGGGCAGAGAAAGGAATAAGGGTTCAAATAACAGCACGTAAAAGAAACAGATTTGCGTAGATTTCGTTTACTTTTTTAATTGTGTGGAATCATAATAAAAATGTGTAGGTAGCTGCTCAATATCTCACATGTTAAAAACAAAAGTAAGTTAAAAGAAATGGAACGAAATGGAACTTGAAAACTAATCAAGACATCCTGTGCATGCACAACCAACATTGCTTCCTTGGGGATGCACTCCGTACAACGTTTATATTTAACAACAAAACGCAGAGCTCGGTGAAGCTGCTCCTTGCACAGTTTGATTACGCTTGTTGCGACTTAATTTGTCTCATTTGCTTTGCACGCGTGCAGCTGGGTGTACACTCTAATACACATTGGAATGTTTACGAGTGTCAAAAAATAAATTAAGTTGATTGGAGTAGCCATCCAGCTTTACGCAGCAATGTGCTAGCCCTGAGAGAGGTAATTAGACTTCTTTTTCTAATTTAGACTCGTATGCTTTTGTTAACTTCGTATGCGTATTTTATCCATCTCATTAAAATTTCAAAAAATCGCAGCCGAGAACTTAAAAAGAACACACAAAAAACAGCACGCATGTTATGGTCTCCAACTTTGATTCCAGCGATTATGAAAACCACGATATCACCAAGCATAGAATGGCGACTCCGGATACTGATGGTGGTTCAGCTTTACAAAGATATCTAAGGCTGCGTGCAGCAGTAGCTCTATCAATATCGGCGATCGGCATATAAGTGTTGTGACTTCATGACAGTCATCGTGCATGTCGATCGAGTTTTATTTTTTTAGAGCGCAGCTCTTAGGCGTCCGTTTCCGGGTTGAGTGGCGTCGCCGCCGCCGTTGGCGTTGGCGTCGGCGTAACCGTGCGCTTTGCATTATGGGGAATTTCCCCCTAAATTTAGAGAAGAAATTTTTGCTAAATTTAACCGGAAATTTAGCGAAGGTTTCCCTCTAAATGGGAGGGCAGCAGGCGAGGAGAAGGAGAGGGGAGGATGGAGAGGAGGGGCATACCCTCCCCTCCGTACTCTCCTCTCCTCCTCCTTAAGAGCTGCGCTCTACACTCTAAAAAACGCCCGTGCGTCTGTATTCCCACACAACACTCGGAGAGCCAATCACCTCAACTTACAGAGGCAGCTCAGGGAATGACGATGCCGAAACATATGTTTAGGCCAAAAAACGCAGTCTGGGTTGTGGCATTAAGCAATGCAAGAAGACGTTTTGCATTGCTTGATGTCTCAACTCAGATTGCGTCTTTTGGTCTAAGCGTATGTTTCGGCATCGTCATTCGCTGAGCTACCTTCGTAATTTGCGGTCATTGACTCTCCGAGTGTTGTACGGGAAAGTAGACGCAAGGGATTTTTTTTAGAGTGTAAAGAAACTGTTTGCGCTGGGGTACTGAACATGACGCTTCGCCGTGCTCAGTGCCACCGCGCAGACTGTCTTTTTCTCTTTTTATAGGAAGGAAGGGTGTCTAAGCATATTATAAGCTCCAATTTTTGCCGAGATCCCTTTGTAGATTACAGCAATTTTCTCTCCCACGTACTTTGCGGGAGAGCAGATGCTCCAGATTTCTTAGAGTGCATATCCTGCAACCTTATTGGCTCCCTCGGTTCGGAGGATTGCGGGCAAACGAAAGGTATGTCGAAATGCAGTACTTATCAGATGCCGTACCAGGGGCGGCACTAACTATTGAGGCATGATGCTCGAGTGTTTTCTAATATATTTTTAGAATCGTCCCTTCGCTGCGAGGTAAAGGAAACAGACAACCCATTTTCTCATATCCGCTCTTTTGCGTTTCGCCGAGCACATCGGGTAAAATCTAAAACATTTCAGCGAATTTCGTTAATTGATCTTTTGTCTATAGTGTGAGTACATATGAACTCGTGTAAGCATCATTACTTTTCACATCTCCTTCTGAAGCAGATTTTCCGTCATCATTTGAGGCAACCACAGCATAGTGACCAGCATCTTCGGGCGTGACATTGTCAATCTTGAGCGCCAGTGTGCCATCGGGCTTTTGCTGCATGGTAAGGTGATCACTTGGCTTGAGGGGTTTCCCATCCTTTAGCCTGCAGGAAATTTTATATTTAATCGATTAGGCCATAATTGTTCCAACATGCATAGTAAAAGGTGACAGTACAAATCGTGCACACCACCACTCTGTAATGTACAATATTATCGGTGATTTTAACTGCGAAAGTTGTATTGGGGATGGAGATGGCATCAGTGTTGACGTCCCATGTGCGAACCTTTTGTTAAATTAGAAATGCCACCGGAATCGACTTTCTTAAATTCATCAAATACACTGTGCTCTGTTCTCTATCTGTCTTCGGCGGGGACAACGCTGCCATGCCACCCCGCACATTCACCCTTTCTCTCTTTTTTTATTCCGATAGAAAACGTTTGTGTTCATGTTTAACATAATTCTACATGGGAAAAGGGGAGTCTGCCTAAGCTGCAGTCGTGGGTACATAATCAACATGTTTTTTGTGTCTGTGTTCTCCGGTTTAGGTTAATTTTCAAGACATGAGGCAAAAGCGGTATTGTAGAAACTTGAAAGATATTTGCTCTTCTGAATAATACTCTTCTCAACAATAACAAAAAGAAACACACAAGACAGTACAGTCCTTTAAACGCTGTTTACTTTCCATTATGTTCAGCGTATACCAAATAACCCAATTCTCAAGTTCGTTGACGTAACAAAATTTCCGATTGAACGAAGGCTCCGACCCTTGCTTTTTAAATTATTTTTTAAGCTCTTGGTTAAAGATCGAAACCATAAACACCAAATTTTATGTAGCACATAACGTGGCTTCAAAACGCAATAGTGTTACTGACTTGCCTGGCGATCGACAAGGCATGCATTTAATAGACACTAACCGTTTTATGGAGTCACTGTGTGCTTAATTATAACGTTTGAACATTGTTAGTTATTTTCTCTGCCACTTCAGCTCGCCTTAATTCCGAATGTCTTATGATATAGTTTATCAAACGGGATCTACGGTGCTTTCAATTCTGATTTAGTTTTTGCTTTGCTCTATGTTTTTTTTCTTCAATAATTTGTTTCATCTACGACTAAAGAAATATACTGTATGTAGACGGAGAAAGATTGGGCGATAGAATGAGATAAAATACACGAATAAATTAACGCTCAGCACCACTTTTATTAAAATGTTTTGATCATGCTCTTTGAGCAACCTCGATTATTACCTTCCTTTATGCGTGCATTAATTTAGCAACGTACTCAGGATAGTCAGCATAATTCGTATGAGAAGATTTCGCGAGAGTTTGTAAACTCTATAGTTTAAACCTTGTGTTGACAATGTGGAGAGTTCGAAGTTTTTTTTCTGCTTAAAGATATGAAGGAAAGAAATACCCCTCTACTACATTTCAATTTAAATATTTAAAATAAAATATCAGTACCATTCAACCTTCGTCGGCGTTCCTCCGGGAGCTATTTTAGCCTCCAATTGCGCCGGTTTACCTTCAGTCAGAGTACATGGCTGAAGACCTTTTTCGAAGCATGGCTTCTTGTCAACAAGGGCTGACTTTGGTTGAGCTGAATGGGGAAAACGAAATCGCAACTGGTCAGTCCCACTGTCTGTTGTCTACACGGAACGCATATTTGTCGGACTACTCGAGAAACTGTAGGCAAGTGCACCTGAAGCAGCCCTTACTTTTGATGTCAGCTTCGGACGATGTCTCTCCCTTGTCGTTGACAGCCTTCACGGCATAGTGCCCGGCATCATCGGGGCCAACTTTGTCCAACTCCAGGGCTACAGTTCCATCGGGTTCTTCGACCAACTTGACGTGATCCGTGGGACGCACGGGTGATCCATCTTTGGTCCTGTTTGTGGTGAACGGGACAGAAACGCACACAGTGAATTGGTATAACGCTATTTTGACTCTGCTCGTCTTATTATTTGGTCTATCGTGAAAAATACGTAGGAAAATTTAAATGTGTGACCGCTTTTCACTCGTAGTTTAAGCAATTACGTTAACATACGAAACGTTTAAGGTCAATGAAAATATAAGGCAAATAAACGTTTACATTCTTTATCTGAATCCTAAAAATATTCTGTTCGACATTTGTTTTATCAAGGCATATATAGCTTATTACATTTTAAAACGGCGGAGAGGAAAAGGGACGAGGACATCCCGAGTCATATCGAGTCATCTAAGTACGCTTCGACTTGAGCAATCCGTTATAAGGCAACTGCCAGATATTGTTTAGTTTCGTAAAGGGTCTGGATAGTGGGAAACACTATCTTTCCAGCCGGAGAGAAAGCAGTTCAAGTATTTCACTCGTACCACAAAAAAGTAAATAATGCGGAATTACTATAATAATTTTATGTAGGAACGCGCATTACAAAATAAATGCAGTGTCTAAAGTGCGTGGATTTTGAGGCTCTTCAAAACTACGCGATTCAAGCAGTAACGTTAAAGCGACGAGGAGGATAGCGACGGAAAAATATTACCATTCCACAGGAGAAGTAGCAGGCGGTGACACTTTTGCTTCTAAGCGTCCAGGAGCCCCCTCTGTTAGGGTTGTCGGCTTCAAACCCTGCTCAAACACCGGTTCGCCTTGGACCGCCTTCTTTGGCTGAGCTGTAAGATTGAACATATAAATGCTTCAAACTATAAAAGACGTCCAGTAATACTCGATACAAGTTAAGCAGGGGCAAAGAGAGACATGTTCGCATTAAAGGAAGTTTTCAAGATGAATCTTCGTTGGAATGTTACTCGACACTCTAAGAGATGCCTGCGCGTCTACTTTCCCGCAAAACATTCAAAGAGCCAATCTCTACGATCTACGAAATCAGCTCAGTGAATGATGAGGCGAAACATCCGTTTAGAGCTAAAAATGAAGTCTGCGTTGTGGCATTACGCAATGCAAAGTGTCATGCTTGAATTGCGCAATGCCCCAGCACAGACTTCATTTTTAGGTCGAAACGGATGTTCCGCCTCATCATTCGCTGAGCTAATTTCGTAGATCGCAGAGATTGGCTCTTGGAGTGCTTTGCGGGTAAGTAGACGCGCAGGCATTTCTTAGAGTGTAGTCATGAACGTCAATAGATAAGATAACGCACTCGTACCCCTCGGAGTTTGTTCGGTATTTTGGCGAGTGAGTAAGAGGGATCGTCCCCAATCCACGCCTGGTTGTGGTAAGAGTAAAAAAAAAATAATAATATGCTTCCAAAATTAGTTTTAAGAAACGCAGGGAGTGGCGTCTTCTCTTCACGCTTTGCGCTTCGTGATGGTTCAAGGCCGTTCTTCTCGGCCAATGTCGCAATATCAATGGCTGCTAAGCGATAATGAGGTGCTCGACGCTCGCCACGCCCTGAATTTTTAAGCTCTCTGTAACTCGGTAACTGTGTGCCAAATGACCCTTCCCGTGGTTCCTTTGATCTCGTCATCCTTATTACTGGGGGATTTCAACGCAGAACAGGTCATAACAGGTAATAATAAGAATATAACTCAGATTATATAGGTCTCTACAAAATAAAATTTAAAAAAAAGTGTGTGAGTCAACTTTCTGCACAACAGAGAGACGGCCAATCACGGTGATCATTAGAAGAATCCTAGCGAAAGACCAAGCTTGGAATACAAGTCGATCCGAAAAATGTGTCGTGCGCGGGGACGATGTGCGAGTGTAACGTCGTGCTTTATGTTCCAGCGCACATCGCTTTTTTTCTTTGTCTAATCGCATTCTTAGCTTCGTCGTTCACTGGAATTCTTCTATTGATTCCCATTAATTTCCAAATGGCCTTTCCAAGAAATTTCCACTTGATCCAAGGATCCAGTTCATTTTACTTTAAATTGGCTTTAAGTCTGCGGTGCGAAAGTGGGAGCGGACCAGAGACACAACATTTTTCTTATTTCTTTAAGTCTCAACATAGCAAATGTCCATGTGTCCGATAGGAAAGTGAGCTCACAGGGGCTGTTTTTAGAGTGTACTGTCTTCAGGAATATAGATTGGGTGTTATGCAGCATGGCGAGAAAGTTACGAAATAGCAAAACAACTTACTTTTGACGTCTGCATCGCTGATCGCTTTTTCCTCATCATTGCCAGCAACTATGCTATAATGACCAGCATCGTCGGGGGTAACTTTGTCGATCTTTAAAGCCACTGTGCCGTCTGGTTCTTGTACAGGCTGCATGTGATCCGAAGGCAAAATAGGTTCACCATCCTTCTTCCTGCATAAGCAAAGGGAAGAACAAAACAAGGAATCGATTTTAGTTTTAAGGCTATTATTAAAGCGGTTAGCTTTTTTAGGACCTTCTGGCCACTTTGAGGTATGTTACTGACCGTTTACTTCCCCGCTAAATTTAGCGGGGAAAAGGACGTCACATGACTTGATGTCACGTGGCCTATAAACAACTTCAGTTTCCCTTGTAGATTTAGCGGAAAAATTGACGTCACGTGGCCTCAAGACCAATTTAGTTTCCCCGCTAAATTTAGCGGGGAAAAGGACATCACATGGCCTGCTGTCACGTGACCAACACACAAATTCACCTTACCCGCACTGTAAAAAAAGCCCGTGCGTCTACTTTCCCGCACAACACTCGGAGGACCAATCACCGCAACTTACGAAGGCAGTTCAGCGAATGACGATGACGAAACTTATGTTTACACACGCACAAAAAAAAAAAAAAACGCAGTCTCAGTTGTGACATTAAGGAATGCAAAACGTCACTCTTGCATTGCTTAACGTCACAACTCAGGCTGCGTTTTTTGGTCTAAACATATGTTTCGGCATCGTCATTCGCTGAGTTGCCTCCGTAAGTTGCGCTGATTGGCTCTCCGAGTGTTGTGCGGGAAAGTAGACACACGGGCTTTTTTCAAAGTGCACTAAATTTAGCTGAAAAATTGACACGTGACCGGCCGCAGCTCCTTCATTTATATCTGCAGCTAATCGCTTAATCATACAGTAACATAGTTGGTTCTGCCCGAAGTTGTATTCTAAGAATTGTCATTATATATAACTGAATGAACTGTCCTAAAAATGTTCCGATGACACCCAGGTGAGCGCGTTTCAACTGACATATGTTAGGTTTTTTAGGCACTTTTGTACTGACAGGTAGATTGAAGGAGCCAACACGGTGGAATATCTGGACGCCGTGATCAATGACGCTGTCTGTCCATACTTCATAACTAGGCTTCTGAGGAATCGCTCCCAAGGATCGATTAAGCTACTGTATGTGTGATATCACAAGTGATCGTGTGGGGTCTTCAAGAAAGTCCCTCTGCAATGCAGGGTAACGGTCTTCGCTCAGCGGTAGCCGAATCGATATCCTGCTAACCAGTTATTAAAAAAAAAAAAAAGTTCTATCGGAAAAAATAATCCAGACCCCCACATAAATAAATTATTTTAGTGCTTCTGCTATGATCGTTGTCTATCGCAACGATCTCATGATGATCGCTTGGAAGAAACGTTAGGTAGTATGTGCTCTCAGCAGATCATAATACACAATGAAAACCACCCGAGGCTAGGGTTACTTAGGGGAACTCGCAAACGCTTACATGTCTAAGACGTCTGCGTGTTTCTGTTGTCTCTCAAGTAGCCCAAATCTCGTGAGCCTTTTCGCCACGCTTAACCTCCCCCTGGTCACTTACACTCTTACATCTTGTTTTTTTTTTCAATAATAGTACGTCGTATTGGGCGATGCTTTTCCAATGAAGCGTCCAAGCACATATGAACTCCGGTGAAGAGTTGGGGCTCTATAATACTTTATATGCTACCTTACAATAATGCCCAGGAAAAAAAAAAAATTCGCGACTGCGAATTTCTTCTTTTCTGTGTATACGCTCTCAAAAAAGCATGTTCGTCTGCTTTCCTGCACAACACAAGGAGAGCCAATCACCGAAACTTACGGAGGCAGCTCAGCGAATGACGATGCCGAAGCATATGTTTAGACCAAAAAACGCAGTCTGAGTTGTGACATTAAGAAATGCAAAATGCCACGCTTGAACTCAGACTGCATTTTTTTTTGTCTAAGCATATGTTTCGGCATCGTCATTCGCTGAACTGTCTCCGTTAGTTGCGGTGATTGGCTCTCCAAGTGTTGTGCGGAAAAGCAGACGCAGGTTTTTTTTTTTTTTTTTTTTTTTTTTTTTTTTTTAAGTATACGCCTACTCTCTTCATTCGTGAGATACCGCTCCGAGGTTCTGGCGGGAGGATTCGCACATGCTCCCGTGCTCATCCTCATATTGAAGGCGACTGTACTACGTGCCGGTGTATGTGCGTGTGCGTGCGTGTGTGCAATTAGTTTGTCACGTTAACCCATATGTAATCAACCACTTCCCAGCAACAACTCCGTTTGAATTATGGAGGGCAACAGGACTCCATGAATGAATGTATAAATAAATTATTACGATAACAAATGAATAAATGCGACGGTCCAGATTAATCCATAATTTGGTTGCGTAACTTTGAAGAATATAAAATACTACGTTGTAAAAAAACATGAAACCTTGTTGAATACGCCTTTAGCTCATCTTGATACGTACCATTCGACATCCGGAGGAGGACTACACCTCGAGAGTTTGGCTTCTAACTTTCCGGGGCATCCTTCGGTGAGTGTCGCGTCCTTCAAGCCTTCAGAGAAGGCTGGCGTTGAGGGAACTTCTGCACCTTTCGGAGTGGCTGTAAACAAAAGGGTTGCTAGAAGGTAATGTCACATTACGCGAGACCTGGTTGCGCTATAAAAAAAAAAAAAAAAAACGCTAAGGGAATGACGATTCGACATGGAAGCTCTGTACGGAAGCGAACACATCGCGATAAAATTTCGCGCATAACAAAATATATCGAATTTTGAAACAAAACATTCACTTTTGGCACTGTTACGTAAATGCGAAAGAGATGTTTTATCTTGTAACACCGCCAGCCTTGGTACTGTGATACTTCATAATATAACAACATCACAAATCCTACAAAAAGGAACACGAGACACAAACAACGAAAGTTGGATACGTCGAATGAAAACCGCAACCCCTGAGAACCAGCAATGTACCTTTGTCCCAATACTCTATCAAACCGCCCCCCAATTTGACACGCACTAACGGCTATTTCTAACGTCCTTGTGCACCGCATCCAGCGAATTTTACCCCAAACATACGGGGCACCCTAAATGCTAATAGCGCCAAAACTCAAACGGCTTTTTAATGGAACTTAAGAGACAAAAGTACAAACGCGCAACACGAAGGTTAAAGGAACCCCCGCTAACACAGTGGACGAACATATGTAATAACCGAATATATTTAATTACAGCTTGAATGTGACAAATTTTGTTTACATTTAGTTTTACAGGTAGAAAACCTGATCTTCCATGTACGCGGAGGGCGGCGCAGTTAGCCAGAACAAGCATTCGGCAGGTTTTTCTGTTTTCTTTTTAGAACTGTAGGGCTATCATCAAAGCTGGAGGCGAACTGGAAAGGGGGGGCGGGGAGGGGGGGGGGGAGGGGAGAGGTCGCAAGTGTTTATTTTGTGCACCACCCTGAGCGGTAATATAGAGCTCTCATGAACACCCTGTTTGTAAACTGCGAAAAATGCACCGATGCCGTATACGTATGGGAACTTACTTTCCACGTCGGTTTCACTTGTGGCCTTTCCTTGGTCGTTCCTAGCGACAACAGTATAATGGCCAGCGTCCCCAGGCTTAGCGGAATCCACTTCTAAAACGACTGTGCCATCTGGTGCCTGTGAAAGCTTGACGCGGTTTGATGGAACAACTGGCTCACCATCTTTCAACCTATAGGTGGGATAGTAAAATTTTTTAAATATAAAACACCGTAAATGAAGTGAATGAAAGCAGTCTATAGAAAAACAAATTTATGTAAGTTATTTGTTCACCATGCAGTTCAAAAGATGAAATAAGTTCGGGTTTATTTTATATTTTTTTAACGAACCTTTATGTTACGGTACGTATGTGCAAACACACTTTTAGAAAATGACGCCATTCATATGATATAAGCCAGGTAAGGTAAAAACAATGGTATTTAGAACAAAGAAACGTACGTTTCTCTCTTACGCTCTAGTAATTGTATATACGGAAAGAAACTGAGATAGAGAGGAAGAGAGAGAGAGAGAGAGTGCGGTGACGTCAAAGTGCCGAGCTCTAATTTGGAAGGACGGTGGGCAGAGAGCTCTAAAGGCTCGGTCATAAAGTTGCGTTTGACTTGGTTAAGACTGCATGCATCGAGCTGTAGCAATGGCGACCCTTGCGACGAGCCAATGGGGAGGCGCTGTGCAGCACGACGCAGGGCAGCGCAACGCAATCGACACACTCTCACGTCGCCGCACGCTCTCATCTCCTCCTCTCGTTCCGTTTCTTTCTCCGTGTAGCGACCTACAAATATCTGAGGCAGAGGAGTTTTGCGGTGGTTCCGGTGGGATATACAAATATATATTACGTACCACTGTATGTCGGGAAGAGGATGTCCGGGGATCTTGGCTTCTAACTTTAAGGGTTGTCCTTCGTCCACACGAACTTTGCTTGGAAGGCCCTTGTGCACCACAGGCGCACTGGCTAAATATATAAAAAAATACAGGGTCCTTTGTGGATATGCTCGAGTAACTTGTGGTCAAAAATAGGAGTCAGAGAATAAATAATGATAGGCATGTATCGTCGAGTTAGTTACAAGTGATTTTCTATAAAAAGAGGACCAGTTTCTTGTGGTCAAGAATATCACAGCAGTTTAAGTCTATACTTAAAAAAAAAAAAAAAACGCATATAAGGCGTACCGGTGTTTAACGCGTACTTTGGCGGAAAAACCGCAACTCAAACACCGGAAAGTATGGTACATTCGTATCATTTATTTAGTTAGCTGGAATGCTACCTGCTGGAGAACTAACCATTTGTAAATTTTATAAGGAGAATGTTACCAAACCCTACACTCTAAGAAATGCCTGCGCGTCTACTTACCCGCAAAACACTTAAAGAGCCAATATCTGCGATCTACAAAAGACGCGCAGGCATTTCTTAGAGTGTAGTGCGGGTTGTAAACCGAGGTGTGCAACAACTGGAGGGGAATATGGTCTCGGAAATACGTATGTAATTGTTTTGTCAAATATAAAAGTGCTGCTTTTACAACGCCGTTTTTAAATTTGACAACAAAAAAAGTGATTCTGGTTAATGAGATAAGCACGGTTTCTATTTTAAATCCTAAGCAACATAATATCACGAATATATATTAAAAACATAACTCCGGCATGCCTCAACATTTGTAAAACATTATAACGCACACGGTAAAAAAAACAAAAAAAAAACATAAAGTTTTATAATATCGACGGCACAACTAAAATACCGTTCATATACATGGCAGTTTGTGAACGTGTTAACTTCATTGACAGTTCCAGAAACGCAGGGAGTCCATAACATCTTATGATCGCTTCTCAGCGAACGAGATTGCGTGATTGGCTGATTAGAACGTCCATGTCAACATATCACGAAGCAAAACGCGTGAATATAAGCTGTGAATGTCTATAATATCAAAAATAATTTGACGAAACGATAACCTGAGAAAACGTAGGACACATTGTTTACTCACAAGCACATATAAAAGGATAGCTAGAAGAAATGTGATATATATATTTTTTTAAAATGCAGTACCTTTGATAGAAAGTGCGGCTTCAGATTCCGCCTGCCCGATGGAGTTTTGAGCTCTGCACACGACTTCTCCAATCTCGTTGGATGTCACATTGCTAATTTTAAGGGAGTAGCGTTCTCCCTTCTCGGAAATAGAAACGGTCTCCGATTCCCGAAGAACCGTATCATTGAGTAACCTACGAGAAAAAGAAAGCATCATGCTCGTCAAGTACAGTATTAGGCTCAATAGTTGGTTTTATTGAACAAGCTTTTAGTGACAAAGATTGATTTGTCTTTTTTTAACGTGTTTTAATATTGCGACAAAGAATAGCGCATTTTAGAAAGAGGAAACATTTCACTCAAGCCGTCATAATTTGAGACAGGTGCAGGCTACAAAAGTATCATAACACTATATACGAAGGACAGTTTCATTCATTGCCGACTTTAAAAATCGCCCATAAAGCGTTTTTTAAAAAAGTAGAAAACAATAAAAAAAAATTACCTAAAAAAAAAAAAAACTCGCGTGCCTGCTGATGCCTGCCCTTGTCGCGTACAAGTTCATTTAAGAAAAGCAAACGGCTTTTCTTGCGTCTAAGATTGTGTTTACAACGTGCTTTCGAAAACCGTGTGGCATTGGTACATCCCTCATGCATTCGCTAACCAGAATAGGACTTGGTAATCCTAAATAAAAGCATTGGTAAACAGTTCAATATCTAAAACAGTCCCATTAGAAAGATCAGTTTTTTTTTTTTGTAATAAAAACAACCGTTCGAATTAAATAAAAATAAAACCAAAAACGTACCAGGTGGCTGATGGAGTTGGATATCCCTTGATTCGAGCTTCGAATGATGCCTCTTCTAAAATACCGACCTCAGTATTCACGAGCTTTCGGATGAAAGAGGGTGCTTCACCTACAGTGCACAAAAAGGTGTTGTTATGAAGCGCCTTGTCACATGTCCAAACGATATTTGAAATTTTTCATTGGAATAAAAAAATAACGGATGTACAAACAAACACACCAAAAATGAGGTAGAAACGATATTAATTACGAAAAAATTTTGCGTAGTTACTTTGAGGACAACAGAAGAATAACTGACTGATTATATATATTTCAGGATTGTTCTACAGCAATATATCTGGCTTAACCAAATAAAATATGTAGTTCAAATATTGAGAACGGTTTACTTACAACACCTTAAACGATGTACTTTTAAAACTTACGTGTGTTTACAAGAAAAACAAAAACAAATCTAGTTCAGACTGGTATTTACCTTTCATCATAAGCTTTGCTTGGGCTTCGTCCTCCCCGGCGCTGTTAGATGCATGACATGTATAGGTTCCGAAATCGTCTTCTACTCGCCGAATCACAACCGTGTAGGATTCTGTCTCCACGTCGGCGGAAATGACAACATTTTCGGAAGGAGTGAGGACGGTGCCATCTTTTTTCCTATAAATTTAAATCACAAAAATATAAAAACGTATTGTAAAAATCTGCATTGATATGTCTTGGTTCAATCAGTGTTTTCCCAGTACCGATGCTTAAAGTTGCAAGTCATTGTGAATCACCAAGACCGCACACGCAAATAATTCACAAAGAAGAGAAAATGGCTCTTCACATATCCAGCATTTAATACCATACATTGGTATTAAATGCTACCTTTGCTATCTTTGCTATGCTACCTATCGGCTGCCTTCGGGTACGGGTGATATTTTATACTAGAAGACATATGGTATGTAATTTGAGGCCTCAGAGAAATCTAGCGCTACTCAAAAATATGATCATCGTGTTCATCTGCAGAAGTACAAAATATTAATTTGCATAATCATACACGGCCTGTCCCCTTATTTAATTATGCGTTGCCTCCAAAACGTTTTCTGAATTAGCCCTTCTGTGTAGCATTCACATTTTAGTTTACTTACCAAACTACATCAGGCGCTGGAAGACCCGAAATAGTTGCTTCAAATGTTGCCGACCAGCCAATACGTGCCTCCTGATTTCTGAGACCGTCTATGAGAGGTGCGACCGGTTCTGGAAAAATAAATAAAATAACTAGTTAATTCTACTCAAAGAGGAAGTACAAATTTTACCAAAGGTCAGAAATCTCTGTCTAGCGTGGTTATCTCTATTAGCAGCAGTATCAAACACAAGTTTGCGCCATGCTTAAATAAAATAAAACCCGTCTTTTTGGTAACTTTAATAAGTGAGCCAAATTAAATCTGAACATAAGGCGAACTATGTTGACCAGAGTCTTTCCGGCCCATCCAGGTTGATGCGTGGGTCTGCAATGCTTGCCTAGATCATTAGGGTGCTCTAAGTAACAGTGAAATAATTTACTCATATAAATCCCCGTGTCACCCCTAGTTAAAGTAAGTGAAGCTACACCACTCGCAATGAAATGTGTTATCTAAGTGGTGCTGCTAACCACGTCTGTGAGATAGAAATGAAAAGTCATAAAAAGCTGGGGCTGAGTTGCAGCACTGGTCCGCTGCAGACTACGTCGAAATTCGAGAGCATTGCTTCTCTTCTATGAAGGCTAAAACATGCCGGCGTCCCTAGCACGACGAGCAGGATCATGTCCAGTACATTGCCCCTTTTATTCAGCTATCTCCTGTTAGTCCTCTCCTTCCTCTCGCGAGGCATTGCGAAGACTGCGGCTCATGAAGTAAGCGCCTCGTCCCGCGATTCTCTCTTGAGCGCAATGAGGAGAGGATAACGGCGCATGGTAGAACTCACTCTACAGCAACCCGCGCATGCGCGGGATAAAGAGTGGACGACGGCGCGCCTACCTCACTCTGCCACGGCAGCGACTAAGTTTTTATCTGACGACCGGAGGCTTTCGGAGGGAGGGTTGACTCGAAGACATTTTAATATTTGATTCTTCCTCGCAGGTATCGTAGCAAACATAATTGCAACACCGAGTATATGCGGAGCAAAAGTTCGTCTGCTTCTTTTGCAGGGGTTGTGGTGACGTCAGAGCGCAGAGCTCTGATTGGCTCTGATTGAAGGATAGAGGGTAAAGCACTTGGGAGAACCAATCGCTGCAGAGTGAATCGAGTGACGAGGCTGATGATATGTTTAATCCCCCGCTCCCCCTCTCCCCCACCCTCCAAAAAAAAACAACAACAACAACCAAAAAATTTGCTCGGGGTTTGAAATATTATGCTCAGTGCCACAATGCAGATTGCTTTTCATACGTTCCGGCTCCAGGGTGGAACAAATGAAACGCGTCTGTGACATTTTCAGGCTGTCTGCGACTACCCTCTAAGAAGTGCCTGCGCGTCTACTTACCCGCAAAACACTCCAAGGGCCAATCTCTGCGATCTATGAAATCTGCTCAGCGAATGATGAGGCGGAACATCTGTTTAGACCTCTAAATTAAGTCTGCGCTGTGGCATTAGGCAATGCAAGCATGACGCTTTGCTTGGTGTAATGCCGCAGTGCAGACTTCATTTTTAGGTCCAAACGGATGATCTGCCCCATCATTCGCTGACCTGATTTCGCAGATCGCAGATATTGGCTCTGGGTGTTTTGCGAGTAAGTAGACGCGCAGGCATTTCTGAGAGTGTATATAGTAGCCATCTAAAGGCATTTTATTTCAAGCATGAGCATGCTGTTCTAAAAAAATGCAATGCATCTGGAATGAAATGGCGCATAATTTCAAACTACACGAAAAAAAAATACTAAGTGCTTGTAAAAATATAAATCATGCTATTAGAAGGTCTTGATATCCTGAAATAATAACAGGAAACGTATCGACTTCATTTCAATTTAAATGTCAGAAGCATCACTTGCCTTTTACAATTAATTTCGCATTATCTTCGTCCTCTCCTTTATCGTTTTCTGCCTTGCACGAATATTTTGCGCCGTCACCCTTTACGATGTCCTTAAATGTAACCGTGTGTGTGTCCCCATCCTTCGTGATGGTTACTTGCTTGCTTTCGGTCAACTCCTCTCCATTCTTGTACCTGTATATACGAAACAAAAACGTTTGTGTCAATGCTGACAATACTCAAAATCGTAAAACTACCTCCAAAATAAATCGTGAATGTGCTTTAAGCAAAGGTGTGAAATGCTATAAAAATTGAAAGTCGTTTACACATCCCTGTAACGCGAAATCAAAGCGCAGCTCTTCAGATATATATATCACTCTAAAAAAAGCCCATGCGTCTACTTTCCTGCACAACACTCAGAGAGCCAATCACCGCCATTTACGGAGACAGCTCAGCGTATGACAATGCCGAAACATGTTTAGAGCAAAAAACGCAGTCTGAGTTATGACATTAAGCAATGCAAAATGTCACGCTTGCATTGATTAATGTCACAACTTAGATTGCTTAAATTTTCACGTCAATTTGTCTACTGAATACAGCGGGGAAAGTGAATTTGTTTATAAGTCATGTTACATGAAGCCATCTGACATCATTTTCCCCAGTAAATTAGAGGTCACGTGACGACAAATTTCCCGCTAAATCTAGCGGGGAAACTGAATTTGTGTATAGGTCACGCAGACTTGTACCGTACGCATTACAAGTAATCAAATTACTTGTAATCGATTACTTTTTGGAGTAATTTTGTAATCAGTTGATTACTTTTATTAGGCAGTAATCACAAGAGTAATCTGATTACTTTTTGAAGTAATAAAATTACTTGTAACCGTTACAATTTGTCCACGGGACCCCCCCCCCCCCCCCCCCCCCCCCCGCCCCCCTCGGCACACGCCTTTTTTTATGAAATGACAAAAATAAAATTTGCTTTTTTTTTTCTTCGGACGGAAAAAAAGAAGGATTTTTGCGGAGCTGTAGGAAACGAGGTCAATCTCTTTTTATTTACAGTTTCTGTGGACTGTCCGTTTTTTTTTTTTTTCGAGCTGGGACTGGGAGTGGGAAGCCCCAGGGAAGCCACAGTGCATGACAAAGGCCATTCAAGGCGAAGTTTGAGGAAGCAGAATAGCTTTGTGAGTCCTTCGTTCAAACTAGCCCCCTCACGCACACACACACACAGAAATAAAAAAAAAAAAAAAGAAATCCTGCTTAGGGTACCTACTCGCAGCCCGTAGGAGAACCAGAACCGAAGAATGCCTAAAGCGGATGCAAAATATAACAAAGGCAGTTGAAATATTTCCCCATTTCCCCTACGTGGTCTTTGTGTCAAGCAATGTTTCGAGTTGAGAAGTGGTCGGGGTGATCTCTTCCGCTAATGGATACTACGCATTATCCGTTTGAAATCCTGGAGCTGCTGCTCTTTTGTATAACATGCGAGCTCATCCACATGTGAATAATAAAATGAGTGACGCAAGCTTTGAGCGACAACCCTTGCTCAAGCTTAACAAGATCCGCTCCCCCCCCCCCCCCCCCCCCACACACACACACTGGCGAACGCCCAAATCATTAAACGTCTTCAAACGAATTCTATGCTTGTGTCTGCATTGTGAAGGTGCAACGACCACGAAGAGGGAGCCAGTGTTTCTTCAATACTTGTGCAAATGGGAAATATAGGTTGGAAGTAGTTCATTGTTATGAACGCTAAAGACGTGTCTTCACACAATAAAGTAATCGGAAAAGTAACGATTACTTCTTTAAGTAATGTCCAAATACTTTTGCCGTCGAGTAATCAAGTAATCTAATCGAATACTTTTTAGCCAAGAGTAATAGTAATTGTAATCGATTACTTTTTCTTAGTAACGTGTACAAGACTGAGGTCACGTGACACGAAGTCAAGTGACGTCCTTTTTCCCGCCAATTTTAGGGGGGGAACTGAATTGGTGCTGAGGTCACCTGACATCAATTTTCCCGCTAAATCTATCGGGTGAGAGGCTGTTTGGGAGCAGTCTCTCCGCTAAATTTAGCGGGGAATTGAATTGGTGTATAGGTCAGTGACGTCCCTTAACGCAACGCGCGGTTACGCCGACGCCGACACCGACGCCGACACCGACGCCGACGCCGACGCTGGCGCCGACTCTGTTAAATGCGGGAACTGGCGCGTAAGAGCTGCGCTCTAATAGTAAAAAGTGTGAAGGATCACAGCTTGTTCGATGCATAAACCTATTATGAAAGCAGAACACGACACATCCTGACGTTTGTGAGGATCGTTTTAAGCATCGTTCTGAGACATATATTACTGAGTCATTCGGAGTTTTGTATTTGAAACAACGTTCCAGAAACATTTCAGCTATGAAAATGTTACACGCCAAAATGTTGCAAAGCGTGATTCTGACGGATGCTGAATGAGCATTTTTATCTTCTTTTAGAACGCGCTTTGATATTTGAGCATTATGACGGTGTTTTGTGCGCGGATCTTTTAGCATGATATACAATGGGAGCGCTCTGCTCACATTGTGCACTCTGTTTTTCATCATGATTCATGTAAGAATAATGTGACCGGTAACAAATTTAAAAAAAGGTGCCTACTCACCACGTGACAGTAGGGGTTGGCTTTCCTGCGACCCTCACCTCTAGGCGGGCCTTGTCCCCAGTAATGGCAATGGTATCCACCATACGGCGAATGAAAGTTGGGGCCTCAGAATCCTCCGGCACTTGGGGAAGACAGGTGAAATTTATTTATAGTGTTTCTTTAATTTTAGTGACCATTTCTTCGTCATGTTAATGCTTCAGATACTGCGTTCGATGTATAGAACTAGTAATCAAAGCGCGCTTTGAAGGCAGGCATTATAATATTATTAACTTGTGCTAATCTAAAATTAAATAACCAACAACAATGCAACGAAAACCACGTCCCAGTGAAACCCAGAAGAGGCCTCGGGACTACTATATTTTAAAGGTAGCGAGCAAGGTGAGCGTATTAACAAACAAACCAATTTCAATATAACAATGAGTTTTTCGTTACATCTGCTTGCAGAGTACCGTGGTTCGTTTAAGAAAAAAAAACAATTAAATGTGGCGCTTGTGTGTTTTTAGGTTAGTTTAACATTACGACAGAGTCAAAATTTTAGTAAATAATCTACTATCTCTATTCCACTGCACGTCGAGTGTCACTTTGAGAGATACGCTCATATTGGTTTCCAGTTCTTCACATGTTCCGATCTTGGCGATTTGGTCATAATTCTGGATATAAATATAACAAAATGCGAGAAATGCGGGTACGGTTCTGCCGGCGGATAGCAGTTACATACGAAAAGCAAGTAAGACATTTGTGAGACGTACCTTTGACTGTGAGTTCGGCTTGTTCCGACACCCTACCCAAGCTGTTCTTCGCGGTACAAGTGTAGTCAGACTCATCTTTTCGATTGCATTCCTTAATGACCAAGCGATGGGTGCCGTTGTGCGTTGTGATGGAGATGCGCTCGGTTTCTTCTATCTTTACGCCGGCTTTGTACCTGAAATAAAATATATTTTACAGCGTGAGTGTAATATTCTTGTTTCTGAAGAATATTTTTGACGATAGGGGTAGTTTGCAGTTTATTCTTAAAGTACCAGCAGCGCAACGACACGGACAAAATAAAGAAAGAGGGACAGACAAAACCAAAACCCTCCACGCCAATCTTCTAAAGATTAACGTGAAGGATTTGCCAAGAACTTTGAAAATGACACAAGCTGCGCTCAAAAAAAGAACGAAAATATACTATGTTGAGTCTAAATTAAGCCGTAGAAAATATATTTGTTTATAAAGGGAGAGTAGAGCGTGTGAACTATCACAGTCGAAGGGGTGGAAAATTCTAGTAGGAAATATTAACATTTTGTAATGAGCGCTGAAAAACTACAATGATAGAAGTCTTTTTTTATCTGAGTTACAAACTTGTAAAAATAATGTTTGTAACTCGGTTGCTTCCTCTTCGCAAACCAGTCATTTGAACAAAATTTTGTGTTTGCGCCTATTATAAACAAGCTAATCTGTATAAAATAAGAAATACCAGTTCTAGTTTATACATTCAGGTTTTACAACATAATTTGTCTTGAAACGGACACTTGACATTTCTGTAGAGTAGAGAAATGTCAAGGAGTAGAGAAATGAAGTCAAATGTATAGAAATGAACTGAGAACTCATCAGTTACAGCAAGATAAATTAAAACTTTACGGGGAGCTGCGTAGACCATAGCACGACCTTTTTGTCATTAAAATTATTTAAAAAAAATTGTGGACGCATTTTATTTAAAAAGCTTGCCAAATTTGGTACCGTTTGCTCCCCTTTGGTGTCTGTGTTAAGGGAGGGAAGGGAGTGGGACTCGGGAATCTTCAAACCTTCAAGCCTTACAAATGAATATTTTTATATTTCGTGTAAAAAACGTTTTTCAACATTTTGAAAGCTTACATTTTAAAAAGTGAAATCTTATTAAAAAATTTCACTGTTTCTTTAGAATTTCTTTTTAATAAAAAGAGCGACCATACAAAAACCGCCACTCACAAAACTGGAGGCTCTGAGCTGCATAAATACGATCATCCTAAGCATAACAACAGTTTGCAAAGGCATATTATCTTCAAAGCTCCTTGTACATCCAGCAACATTCATAGCATTTAGGCAACACACTTACAAAAGAAGACACTAATGCTCTTTGTTGCACAGGTTGCACAAGGAGCTACAGGTCCCCTGTGATGCACGTACCAAGAAACTTCTGGGGCCGGAACACCTGTAACCTTGGCTTCAAACACGCATTCTTCGCCTGTGTAGATGCAAACATCTCCTGGCGCTTTTGTGAACTTGGGTTTGCCTAAAAAAAGTGGAAATACAATTTCAAGTTTTACATTTTGAAAAAAAAACAAAAAAACTTGAAAAAGGTATCATCGCATCACCTTTGAAGCAATCAACTATAAGTACTCGAGTGATATAAGGAAGCCCAAAACACTGTGCATATCTAGCTAAACCATGGTGGTGACTGAATAACGTACGACATAGTTGGTGGAAGGTATATTATAAGACTGGGATGTAGACAAAGAACCCAAATCGTGCTTGAAAGTTCCTTCTTAATTGCCTGTCAAGTGATCGAGAAAAAGAAGGGGCACATGTTCTCGCGTATCGTGCATATTATAAATAATGGATCTGCTAAACATCTCTGAACAGGTTGGCTTTGCTGTTTGTCATCTTAAATTGTCTCACAGAATGATTCTAATTGCGTTGCATTTTTATTCCCGGCAGAGCCAAGTTTTGGTGATAACTCTAGAACGATATAAGTTTTTTAAACCATGTTTTCTTGTTACGCTACAAAACTTTAGATACACTTACTGTTCACAGTTAGCTTTCCCGCCGTAGAAGCAGTGCCATACTTGTTCTTTGCGATACACTCGTAATCGCCGGCTAACTGGATGGTCAGCTCGTCAAACGCCAGTGTGTAGGACGGTGCCTGGTCCATTACCTTCACTGTGGCTTCGACGGAAACCTCTTCGCCGTTTCTTTTCCTAAATCCGAAAAAAAATAAGCCACGAGTCGCGTGGCAATGATGGAACGAGAAATGAAAGGAAATTACATGAAGAAAAGGAATAACGACGAATGAAAGGAAATAATACGAACCACACAATGTCTGGCTTGGGCGAGCCGGAAATTTTCACATTAAAGGAAACAGCTTCGCCGACTTCACCTTCTATATCCTTCATGCCTTGGATTATTTCAGGTTTGCCTATAAATAATTAAATATATCAGAATTACAAGCGTACGAACTATGAAAAATTATACAGTGCGTTACTCGGGTTCGACGGTGGAAAACTAGGAAGTACTTGCTAACTTTTCAAGTTCTGAAATTTGAATAAATTAATTTAGAGGTCTGTCAAATGCTTTTAACAATGCCAGACTTTTATAACACTTAATAATGCTAAAACTTAAATGGTATACAGTAATTTAACCTTAAAGTCAAAACCAAAAGAAAGCTGACTCACTGTAAATGGTAAGGCTCGCAGAACTTTCTTCCTTGCCACACGAGTTTTCTGCTTGACAGGTGTATTCTCCAGCCAGTTCCTTGTTCGGTTTCTTCACCTTCAATGTGTAGGTTTCTTCGTCCGAAGTTATCTTATAGACGTCGTCTTCTTTAATCTCCCTCTTTCCATGGAACCTTAAACACGACATAGTCAAGAATGAAAACCAACTCACTTTCTACATACTTGTCTGTAGAGCTAATGTGATAATAACAATAAATGTTGTGTTTATATGCCATCATTTTTGCTCGTGTTAATGACATGAGTTTCAGAATGCATCATTTTGCAAACGTGTAAAATATTGTGCTTTGCGTTTAGGTGTGTCAAAGTCGTTTTAAAATAGGTGAGATATATAACCCTAAAATATATGTAAAAGTATAAATTTTGTTATGCATAATTTAAATTAAACAATTTTTGTTAGAGTAAATAACTTGAAATGAGCGTATATTTTACACCACTTCAAACAAAAAAATTCAAAATATGAAAACGATGAAAAGTCGCAGAAATACAGCTTAATATAAGCGTCGACTCCTATGAAAACTAATATTTTAAAGATATGTACATCATTTGAGTTTCCTTGAAGTCTGCTCTTAAAGTTATGTTCAATAAATTTAGAAAATGTTTCCGAGTTAAAAATGTGAGAACTCGACAAAATGATGACGCAAAGTAGCTTTTCACTTTGTAGCGGTCGTGTAGGCGAACATACACTAACTGAACTCTTTGTTTCAAAATCAGCAACTCTGAACAATAGGAACGAAAACTAAACATTCGTGGTGTTCTTACTATTTCTGAATTGACAGAATTGTTTTCTTGTAATTGTGTGTGCTCGATAGCGCATAGTTAAAAAATGCCTGTTGCACATGGAATAATGCGCTCCATTCATGCCGCAATTCCAGTCCTTGCATCTTTGAATGTCAATGAGCTTATACCTAAGATAGCTGTTATCTTCTTGCATTATTGCAACAATACCTGTGGCATAGTACGACAAATATGTCAATAGGTTCAAGTTTGGAGGTATCTGGTAATGCTCCTAATCAAAGTATTAAATATTTAGAAATCTAACTGTTATGCACTATTTTGGACGATCGCGAACAAGTAACTGATTGAAATGTGCGTGATAAGATTAATATCTATAAAGTAAATGAGCAAACTTAATGAAAGCAGTTGGCTAATTATGAGGTTACACTCGTACCCTAACGTCGGTCACATGTGACAACCGAAGTAGCGCAGTCCTTTGGGTCAAAATTAGTTTCTTTTTGTCTGGGAATTAAGGGCCTCAAGAAGGCCGAAGAAGCCAAGGCAGAACAAAACTTGACCTACTTAGGCATAAGCCTGGGTACCTTGTCCCTAATTCGCCAAACAAGTGCCAAAGTAAGGCTTCACTGCTGATAGCTGACTGTCATCTGGCACTTTTGGACCTAAATCGCTAAACATGCGTCAGAGTTAGCTGCTTCACTTGGTTTTCATGTGGCAAATTGGGCCTATACTTCCAAACAAGTGCCAGATTTAGGTTTCACTGCCGGTTGCTTAATTTATACGTGGAATCTTTGGATGAAGCCCTTTATTTTGGCAATCATGTGGCGAGCCAGAGAAAATCCATAGGAACGCAAAAGAAAAGCACTTGGACACTAATTAACGCCTTGGAGCAAAATCGTAGTACGCCTAAGTTAGGTCCTTCCCTAGGATTGCCAAGCTTGTGCCAAGTTAAGCGGTTCTCTGCCATGCTATCAGGGAACGTTACAACCGAAATATTATTTCGTTACTTCGAGGTCACTAGTTTTAAAACGTTTTCAATGTAAACGCAATACACTCATGTATCATGTCTTAAAGTTTAAAAATGCGATTACATGCTATTACAATTTTCAAGATTTTAACGCACCATTTGACGCTAGGCTTGGGATGGCCTCCCACTTCGGCAGAAAATACAGTTTCCTCTTCTTCTGAAATCTCCTGGTTTACGAGATGCTTTTTGAAGAATGGCTTACCTGAAAACACAAAACATGGTAAAGCATAGAAATACGACTTCACTATTTAACCAGGAAGGGTTTTTGTATCACATGGGAGATATATATTGCATGTAGAGATTGACTCTGCGCACATACAAAAATGAAGCCAAGGAGAACAAAAATAGTTATTCGGATGAATAATGATTAGTTTTATACCAGCGAGCTCCTCTGAGATAGAAACTCTGTGGGCACGAAGAGCGAGAACAAGAGAGAGGGGGGCGAGGCGTAAAGAATCAAAATTGTCTTCGCTCTCAAACTGAGTGAAACTAAAACCAGAGCGTAAACCGATACATATGCAGTATCTAGACCATCACTTTTTTGTACTTATCATGACTTTTCTTTACTAGAAAATAAACCTACTTGATGAATTGGAGATATATGTGTTCTCATACGGGCAGGCAGCTAAAGGGAAAAAAGTTATTGAGCCCGAGGAAAATGTTTAACCTACTTTTCGTGGACATGCGGGCTGTGCTTGAATCTTCACCCAGCTCGTTCTTCACCTTGCAGGTGTACTTTCCAGCGTCTTCAGCTTTGACATTTTTAATTTGAAGTGTGAATGTCGCGTCAGCCTCTTCTTTGGCATAGATGTTCTTGTTGTCCAGCACAACGTCACAGTCGTCTTTGGACCTGAAAAGTTAGTGAAAGGGAATATTAAATGCATAACTAGTTGAATAAAATTAAGGTTAAGTTCACAAGTGGACTCAATAAAACAAGCAACGGTAATATTTGATATGAAGATGTTTCAGCAGCAAAACTGTCACAGTTATTTTTGTATACTTCCCCTATTTTGCTTGTTAGTGTTATTACGGTTACAACTTCCTTCAATTGCGAGAAATAAGACAAAAGCTTAGGTTAAAATGGGTGTGAGGATGCTCTGTTGGAGTTTTCATTGTTGGCGATAGAGGATGTTACTTTTGTCATGATTATGTCTCTCTCTTAAACGCTAGTCTCTCGCCTCTTTCTAAAACATCAATAGTTCGCAATATGGCGCTCAGGTATGAGGTGCTGTGATATATTCTGCCCTTCTACTGAGCATGATATTGTTTAATCTTCCCCGACGACAAAATTGTTCTAAAGCCGTTTTGTTACACATGTAACTTACAACCTGATACTCCATTCACTCCGATGCCACTCAAGTAGGACAAGTGAAATAACTAGGGAGGGGCAATTGTTCGATTCACCTACCGATTAATCGACTAATGCTTGAATCACCATTATATTTTTAACCGGTAAATTGGTAAAATTTGGACGAACCAAAAAGGAAGTAAAAATCGAACGCTTTAACCACGTAAACGTGGACGACCACACTTGTATGAGGAAACAATTTTAGGTCAAATATTTTTATTGAAGTAAGCTGCAGGGGCGAGTTATGTAACTCCATACAATTGTGGAAGGTTACACGTGTCCCGGCCACTTCGACGCCGTGTGAGTGTTCGTCCAGCGCAGCAAAAACTATTGTGAACAATCAAAAAAGGTCACTCTTGCGGCTGAATATCAACGAAGCTCTTTGCCTCATGCAGCTGAAGTATGAAGGCCCATTCATACACTTGCGTTTGACTACGATTAAGTGAGACATGAGAGGGGAGGGGGGGGGGGGGGGGTTAAGCCTCGTGTGACCGGCTGTGCATGATTACAGCCTGTTGTAAGCCGTCAGAAGAGGCTTCAAAATCGGTCTTGACTTACTCGGTCGTGGTAAAACGCAAGCGTGTGAACGGGCCTTAAAGGCGCGTTCACACGCTTGCAACCGAGTGCGGCCGAATGAGACAAGTCCGGTTTTTAAGCCTCTTACGAGCGGATGCGCTGCTGCGGAGCAGGTCGTAAGTCGTCTCAAGAGTCTTAAAAAACCGGTCTTTTCTCAGTCGGTTGTAGTCAAACGCAAGTGTGCGAACGAGCCTTAATCAGGGAGTGTGAGTGTTTTTGAACTATTCTTAACTACATATCGAGACTGATTCATATTCGAAGTTGTATTTTGCGCCGTTTATCACAGATTCAGCAGAAGCAAAAATAAAAAAAAGAAGTAACACACTTTTAGTACTGTGCATATAAATAAACGAGACGGATTCATTGATTAATTCAGTGGTTCTCAGCTGTTGTTGTTTCGCGGACCCCTTGTGGATTGACGGAGATGACGGAGGACCCCATTTGTGGTAAGGGGAAGGGAAAGGTAGAGGTTAAATATGGTAATCATTCAGCAAATGAATATAGTTAAGGGCTGGTGTGAAGTAGACCTCTTATTGGACACATACATGAGCCAACTCAACCAAAATTGGAACGTTTCTTTTCAATCTGCGAGAAGACAACTTTTATTTCCTGGCCTAATTGATGAGGCTGGGATTGGCGGACCCGCGTTTGAGAATTACTGGATGAATTAATCAATTAAGTTGTGGTGATTAACTGGGTTAAAACTTTTAATCGACGCCCAGTTCAGAACACTAATATTTGACGCAAATTTTTCTTGTTAATGCTGTTACAATTGTCGTCGATCAGCGGAACGCAGTCTACTTAAGCGTGTTCTTATCCGAATTTTCTACAACATGCCTTCAACAAAGGGACACAGTAAATTAAGATATCCGTTACTTAAGTTCTACCGGAATGCAATGCAGGAGTACTTACCATTTTACGTCAACATTTTTGCCATCAGCAAGCTTTACAGTGAATGTAGCCGGCTCACCAACTTCAACTTCAATGTCTTCTAATCCTTTTATTATCCTCGGCTTAGCTGAAAAGTCAAATCTGCCGGTAAGTTTTTTTTAAAGGAAAGACTAGCGATTTGCTCATAGAGAAGCCGATAGACAACCGGCCAAGCAAGGAGGAAGCAACGTAAAATATTTCTCGTATCCTTGATTTCCCAGTAAACCATACCTCACTTTTGAACTTGCACCATCATGCTACATCTGTGCTGTGATACATTTGAAAGCTCAAATTAAGCGCCCACTTTGATAGCCTCATTTCAACAGAACGAACACGTAATCTCTTCATTCTTATTCCTCAACTCTATAGAACAACACACAGTTTACAAAGAAGTGAGTGTTTGGCCACACCAGGAGTGGGCACTGCGCGTACGTAGAAACCAAATTCGCCAGACGTGAAGCATCTTTCGATGCGCCGTGCCGACAGCAGCGCTACCACAGCGGCATGACGCCAGACCCCGGTAGGGGTTTATAGCTTTAGTTCACCCTTCCGTCTTCTCCTTGCCCTCTAATTTTGTAGCGTGAGCTACACTGGCCGAGGTTGAGCAGTTTCGCGTGGCTGTTAAAGAGCCGTGCCGCGCAAGCGCGAGGGGCAGTGACGTCACACGACGCACAGCTGGCGCGCCGGAGCCGCCGCCGTCGCGCGCTCCACCGCCACCGCGCGCGCCTCGCCGGTCTGCGCATTCCAGAGGAGTGACGTCATAGCCGCGGCAGACGCACTGGCCCCGCCGCGTGCCCAGCTGTGCGCCTCCGTTGCGCAGTAGCCAAGTCTGACGCTGCACCAGAGCCGCTTGATAGTGCCTCTCATTTTGTGCGCATAAGCTCACGCTACGTATATCCTGGCATAGCCGAGCTAAATTTTTGTTTCACCCGTTCTTCTAAAACATATTTGTTATTTCTCTGGCTACCATGACAAAATTCTTGCCATTTTATCATTTTTTAATGTTTTATCGCTCTGTCTCGCTTTTTATTAATTAATGAGGTAATGCTTTCACTAATACTGTGGTGCAACTTGTGCCTTCGAGTCGAATGGTGAGCAGCTGAAAAAGACAACGTAAAAACGTAGTCCTAATGTGCATAATCATTTTAATGTTACCAGTTATCCAAAATTGCTCAAATTATATTTGGCACATAAGACAAGGTTTTAGCACAACTTGCCGAGTTTTGATTTTTAAATATGTTTTGAGCTCTTTTTATGACAGACTCTCCTTCGAGTGTAAACAGCCCTGTAACGAAAATTACAGAAGCCACAAGGGAACGTCGACCATGCGACTGAAACATAAAAAGTTAAAAAAAAAGGAATATGAGATTTCTGCAGAAGAATCCTGGAGTGAATACAATATGCTCCGCTTGCGGAGGGTATCCTTAACCGTATTCAATGTGAAGCTAAACCGTGCTTCATCATGTTGCTCTACGGCCCATAAACACAGAACTTCAACTCACATTTTACGGTGACGGACCCGGTGCAGGAGTCTTTCCCCTTTTCATTTTTAGCTTCGCATGTCAAATTTCCTGTCATGTCCGATTTTGCTTCCTTTATGACGAGGGTATATTTACCGCTATCTTCCACAGATTCAAACTTAAAGCTTTCGTCTTCGCGAATTTCGGTTTCATTCAAAATCCTGCGAAAAAAACAAAAAAGAACATCATCAAGTAACACAGTTTTCTTTAGCCGCATTTTGAGCTAAATAAATGTTTTAGTGTCCTCGCACAGCAAAAAACCACAAACCGTCGTGCTAATTGTTTCAGGTATTCCCGTAAACATTTCTCTGAATTAATTAATTTTTCGTTATGTGAAGGTGTAGATAGAAAAAAAATGATTGATCTTGATATGATAACGAACTCGGTGGATATAATAAGGGTCATCGCAGAAACTAAGGCACTGTTTGCTACTGATATTTCCACTCGGTTTCTCATCAAGAGCCGGATATAAAAAGATTCGACTCCTCGTGAATTAAGATACCTGTGAGAGTACTTATGTTAGTTTTTTTATGAAAACGTACAGTATTTAAACACAAAACGCATCATGTTCTTCTTTCTCAACTAAATTTTGTAACAACTAGTACTTCAGGCAGCAAGCTATGTTTTCCTTGAAGTGACAACGAATATTGAAATAGAGCACAAATGTCAGAAAGAAAGATCCGCTTCGTAACTCCCGAAATATTTCTTTCTGTATTCGGGATTTGTGTTACGTGCAATCACAATACTTATAAAACAAAATTTAACAAAAAAACCTAATATGTCAAATTACGTATATGGCAGTTACCATTTTACTTTTGGAGCAGGTGACCCTTCAACTTCAATGGTCAGTTTAATGTTTCTTTCCCCTTCACTGCATTCCACATCATCGAACTTCTTCTTGATCTTGGGTTTACCTGTGAAGTGGCAGAGGAACAATTAGCATAACTACATAGGCGCGACTTCCCAAAGAAACGATCGTATCCGCCCTAAACGTATAAAAGACTTTTGGTCTTTACCCAATATAGGTGTTTCATTCCTACGATATTGTTCTAACTCTCTGGAGCCAGGGGCAGTAGCCCGAGGGAAACATTTTAATGGGAAAAGCAACATACGTCGTCCTTTTTTTAAACATATGCTTAGTTTTATGGTGAAATGGCAAATATTAGGTCAACAAAATAGATGTAGGCAACGTATCGCCCGTGACGTCAGATTTCTCCGCAGACCCCCCTCCCCCCCCTTCCTTTTCCCTCCCCGCCAAAGTCTGACCCATAAATCCGCCCCTGTCTGAAGCCACCCGTAGTTCTCACAACAGTCGCAGAACGTATGAATAAATATTCATGTATCTTGAGAACTTCACAATTAAACGACCCCAAGTTGTGATCTCGCAATATTAAGGTGTCTGTGATTAGATTTGTCTCCATTTACGTTAGAGTTTCAATTTACCTCCCGAAACATTAAAAAAAAAAAAAAAAAAAACAGTTAAAACCAGTGTTCCATTTAGGACGAATATCTAAGCCGATATTATGACAAGACCCGAAGGTAAACATCTGGAATTAGCAAAAAAAGAAAAAAAAATATTTTGAAACCTAAAGGGCTTGAAGGTTGATCGTTCCTCTTCTATATTATTATGCTACTTCATATACTTGATAAACCGACCCGTGATGACGTTTCAAGCACTTCTCAATACTCACACGTGATCGTTAGTGATGCATTGTCAGTTTCCGTTCCGTACTCATTCGAAATCTCCACGGAGTACTCCGCTACATCTTCCGATCGGACATCATCGATAATGAGGCAATGCACATTTTCCGCTTCTTCGAGAGTTTGATATCTCTCCTTATTTGATTTGATTTCCTTCCCGTCTTTTTTCCTGCAAATTAGGAAACAGAGAACGTTTTCTCACAATTTAACAGGGGAAATACTACTAAGAACACTTACCCTTAGGTTACCAGAACATTTATAATTTGTTTCTACTTAGTGGCCTGCACAGAGTTTACTTCACATTTTATTCTACCCGTAAAATTTTAGCAATTATAAAAGAAGATAGTTATGTTTGCATGATTATTTTGTTTTCTATTGTTGGAGGGTTTTAGCTCGAACAATGGAAAAAAAATAATACTGCGAATAAAACTACTTCCTTGATAATTACTAAAATATTTTGGGTAGAATAAGGTGGGAAGTAAACTCTGTGCAGGCCACAAAGCAGAAAAAAAAAGGATAAACATTCTGGAAACGTAAGGGACGTGGGACATCTATTTTACAGTGTTTGATGGAATTGAACACCATGGAAGTTAATTGTATTCCTCGTTGCCAAAATATAGAAGGTTTTATAAACCACCACAAAATAACATTTACATTAATATTGTTTTTTCGGGGAAGTATTTTTATTGTACATGCAATAACACCACATTTTTTAATGCTTTATGCTGAAGGAATATTCGATTATCTACTGAATATATTTTTGTCAAGATCTTAGTCAAATAAACCGGTGAACTAACTCTGATTTATTAGAAGGCCGAAAAATATTGCTATTATGAATTTAACCCAAGACTGGGACAGGAGGGAAACATATTCCCGCAGGTAGAAGAAGAAACAGGGACAAACAATTAATATGTCCCTGTTTATTCAGTCATTATGGTAAACTTCCACCTGGTCGCCTGTGCAATAACTGTATTTTCGAAAAATATTATGCTTAATGAAACTGATCAAGAGGGGTGACAGGCGTTGTAAGCATGCAACTTACCAACACACTTTGGGCTTTGGACTTCCCGATACTTTTATTCTAAAAGTAACATTCTCAGTTTCAGTTGCTTCGTAGTTTTTCAGTTTTTGAATGAATCTTGGTGGAGCTGAAATAACATAAAAAACGGTCAATACAAGGTTAGTGTCACGCTGGAACACAAACAGCGACATAACAAAGTAAATTATTATTATTATTATTACTTCACACTACTATGTCAAACAATACTTGAAATAATATTTCTCAATGTTTTGAATAATCAAAAGTGCTTCGGGAATGAATTTTGAGCACTCCGTGCCACTTGAGTCGGCTGGTGGCGTCTCGAAGGGGAGAGCGCCTTTAGAGCGCGCGACACTAGAGCGCCGACGTTAGAGCGCACGACACGAGGACGCATGACCAGTTGAGCGCGCGACACGAGAGCGCACCCCATTTGAGCAAACACCGAAAAACGTGTAATGTACCCGCGGCTCCACAGACAGTACAAAATTGTGCGACTCATCGAATTGAAGCATTGGTGATTTTTGATTCATTAAATATACCTTTAAGAAAAATAAAAAGGGTACGACTCTTTCTAACCAATTGTTCACTGAGATCGGAGAGAAAAGGGGGCAGGGGAGTGGGCTGGGGCATATTGGTACCGGTAAAAGTTGAGTGTAGCAGCGAGTTTAAGATTTCTTCACAGTGCTGCGATGCGCATCTCGGATATTCTATCAATAGTTTACATTTTGCAATATTTTGTCTATTCTTGGCATGTATTTGGGCTCTGACCTATTTGGTGGCTATTTAGACACCCCTCGCATAAGCTTAAATGGTATGCTGGCGTCGATGTCCGTAATGAAGAAAGATCCCCCCCCCCCCCCCCCCACCCAATCGCTAAAAAGTATCTGTAAAAAACTTATCGAAGGAAAGCTGAGCGCAATTTTATCGCATGCAGATCTTTCCAGCCTTTTAACGGATACAGGAAAACCTCCCTGAAAATTTGTGACATACAAAATCAAAGAACTAATGAAGCCTTCATCAGTTCTTTCATTTAAAAAACGTTAGAGAAAGAGTTAAAAACAAATTAGAGAAAAACATGGCTGCTGACATTGGCTAGGTCACCGGCAATGTTTTTTTTTTCTGCAAAATGCACGCTACAGATATTTTTTTTTTTTTTTTGCTAGCGTTTTGTAACACATTTTGGTTTGTCACATGCAAACATTTCGTCGACTCATTTCGCAATGTCACTGCTAAATTCCGCGGCATACATCCCTGCCAATTTTACATAAAACACGCGATGCCCGAAGAAGTGGTCGGTCCGGTCGGGCCACTCGCGCTAGACTGGTTCTGCGCTCTCGTGACGGGCGCTCTAAAGGTCTATTCACACAACGCACCTTGTTGGCGAATCTTGTCGCGAAACTAGGTTTCGGGAAACAAATTTTCTGTCTGAACTCGACCGAAAAAGTGGCGCGCCTTCGAAATAAGTGGCGCGTGGTCCTCGCTTCTGGAGCAAGTTCTCGCTGAAACCTCACCGAGGCCTGTCAATTACCCGAAGGAGAAACGCGGACGCCGCCAATGGCCGCTTGACTTCGCTATGACGTCTGACCTTCGAGGAGGAGCGAGCTTTTGGAGGAGTCTGATTTTTGGCCGATTCCGTATCCGAGCCAAAGCCGAAAGAAAAAAAGCGAACATGGTGGTCGACATGCGGAGAAGCGGTGCGTACGCGCGACGAGTCTTGTTCCTACTCGGTTGCAGGTAACGGCGCTGTAGCAGTGCGGGTTAGTGGCGCGGTGCAGCTTCATCAGCAGTCGCGACGAGTGCGAGCACCGCATATATAGACCTTTTCTTCAAGTGCGCCGCCATCTTGAATTGACGTCACTTCCAGTGTGGGCGAAAACACTGTTTTGCCTTTGCCACGCCAATAGAAAGCATTTAGGATATAAGCGTGACCGTCACACTTTCTCGTTTTGCCTCCTCTTCATTTTTTTACTATTTGCAGGTTGAAACGTTGGATTATATTTTCGTCGCCCATACCGGATACGCCTATTAGGTGGCTGGAGACGAGAGTACACAGAAAAGGTCTATAGCCTCGTTTACATGAAAGCGACTTCAGCGCATCGACTTCACTCGTTCTTCGAACGAAGCCGACGCGGCAACGTTTACATGAATGCGCACCGAGTTTATTTTGATGGGTCATTGTTATAACTTTGTGATTTACTAGATTTTTATAGATGTATATTTTCTATATCTTGTATTACTGCGCAGCAGTTTTTCCACCATTGTTTTCTTGTTTTATGTGCGACCATTGTTTTTTGTAGCGTTATTTATGTTTACCGCCCACCCTGCTTGCACCTCGAAAGGTCCGCAGTATGTACTAAATACATAAAAAAATAAATACACGAAGGTGGCGCCACGCCGTGTCAAAGCTCGAAGTTATGCAGTTCCGGCACCAGCCGCACCACGTTTTCCGGTGCATCGCACTGGAGGCTTTCGACGCGTTCAGTGAACGTAAAGATCGTGCCCGCTGTCTTTGGTGCTGTGGGAAAAGTTACGAGACGGAAGAGACATCAAAACCCAAGCGTTTCGGGCTCGAGGCCGGGCCGCCGGGTCACTCTGGACCAAAGGCGACGTGTGTGCGCTCGCTTTGAGGAAACCTCCGCGCTTTGCCGCGCCAGACCTCGCCGCGACCGGACCAACCGGACCCCGAGTCCGAAAGGCTCCTGCGCAGCCAGGAACGGCACCGAGGTAGGAGCTGCTCGTTCTGCGCTACCATGCAGTGCTCTACAGTGCTCGGAGCTCTCGGTGTCGTTCGTGCTAGCGCCGAAGCCTTTGGGACCCCCTGGGACGCGCAAGTCGTACTTCGCAAAGCTTGGACAGGGGCCGCCCTCATCGAGCAGCTCCACTATATTCCGCTTACTTATGATGGCAGTAAAAGCTCGCGTTTGTTCTCGGGAAAAAATTTCGGGCGACCATACGGGACCGCTCTCCGCGCCGCCGACGAGGTTGGCCGCCACCATGTTCTCAGCTGTTCACTAGCTCCCGCAGCGAGCGCCTTCCCATAATCTTCCCCGTTCCAAAATGCGATGCGACCTCCAAGCGCGCTAACGTCGCTGCGCTCTGAGTCGCGCGCTCTAACGTCGCGGCGCTCTAGTGTCGCGCGCGCTAACGTCGCGGCGCTCTAGTGTCGCGCGCGCTAACGTCGTGGCGCTCTACTGTCGGCGCTCTAATGTCGGCGCTCAAGTGTCGTGCGCTCTAGTTTATTGTAATGCCTACTGAAAAAAGTAATGTACGGTACAGTACACAAATAAAGGTAGCGGTAAAGACGAGGACAAGTGGAAGACACATACACTACTTACACTGCACTAATCACAATCTTTTGTCTGAGAACTTCGTGTCACTAGCGTAATTTTCAGAGGCCTCTTCTTTCTTTGTTCTTTTTCTTTCTTTCACTTTATTGGAGCAGGTTTTTATTCCGATTTGTTTTTGCAACTTTTTCCCATTTTTTCATATGTTTATATCACTGTACATTTTTAATTTTAACCCCGCTTCTTTTCTTATTTCTTCATTTTGAAGTCAAAATAATCTTTGCTTTCTTTAGTCTTTGTTAGTCCTCTTTCTCATTTGGTATATGTCCTTGAAATTCAGTTTTATCTTCCTTTATACTTCACTAACCGTCAGTTGTGGGTCAGCGCTTGTCCGTGTCTGTCTTCTACTTGTTCTCGTCTTGAGCGCTACCTTTATTTGTGTAATGTGTAACCAATTAGCCCGTCATATGATCTTATGGTATAGTGGCTGTATAAAAAGTTACCAATATTTTACATTTGAAGACAACGCCTTCTTGTTCAAGTCTAACTTGGTCAGTGAAAACCACCTCACCATTGACAGACACTGCAGAAAATCCAGTCTGCGTTCCAGTAGTGTTGCTGATAACGCAAGAGTAGTTCCCAGAGTCTTCCACCTTGACGCGATCAATAACCAGTGCGTGTTTGTCTTCTGCTGGATGAAGAATTTTTACTCTGTCATCCTCAATAACGGCTTGTCCATCCTTGTACCTGAAGATCAAGGATGAAGGTAAGTACAAAAGAGTTAAGTGTCTTAGCTGAGATAATCAAAGTACACGTAGTCACCAGCATTGTCTACACTTTAACAACAGAGGGGTAATATCAAATTGCCAAGAGCTATTTTAATTTCCAAAAAGCCAAACATACATATTAGAAACTTCACTCGTGGTTGATATAAAGATTCCTAATTGTTACAATGCTATGTTTCATAACCTCCTGAAAATTAGATCAATGGACATTTCAGAATAATTGATTTGAAAGTTTATATGAATTTAAAAAAAAAAAAAAACAGATCGATTGCTTACCATTTGACATCAGGTTGGGGACTGCCTTGAACTTCGACGTCCAGCTTCAAAACCTCATCAGTCATCACTGAAACGTCTTTCAGTTCCTTCTTGAATGCTGGTAAGCCTGTTTGACCAGTTTCTTTTAGTTACATGCGTATATGTTTTAAGTATATGGCTGCTGAAATTTACTTTTCAAACTGGCGACATATTTGTTTAAAAAAAAGCAGTGGTAAATCACCGTTATGCAAATCGCAACATTTTAATACTGGTTTAGAGGACGTAGTAAAACAATTAAGACCTTGGTAGGCCAAGTAAAGAAACCAATGAAAACAGCCAGACGTCGTACGTCGGACAGTAATAATTATGAATAAATGTTTTAGCCTTTGTGGAATAATATAAAATATTTTATTGTAAAGCCGGCTTAAAACAAGCAGTCAAGTTTGAAAAGTAATGTCTTATCTAATATAATATGCAGTAGGCCGATATATTGCGTCGAACTTATTCATTTATTACAAAATGGTGTAACCCCAGAAAGAGAAAGTGTATGATCAGATATGTGTAACATGGTAGTGAACACGAAACCACATAACATATTTGTGCAGCAACATTTTCGATAGTGATGAAGCAAAAGTACTCACTATTCACAGTGAGCTTGCAATCAGTGTTGGCACTTCCAAGCTCATTTTCTGCTACTACGCTATATTTTCCAGAGTCAGCCTTGGTCACGTTCTTTATGATGAGAGTCATTGACTCTTCATCCTCAAACAAAAACCGGTATCGTCCTCCAGCTTCAATAACTTTGCCGTCGTGCTTCCTGAAATGTCATTTGGAGACTTAAGCATGAAGAACATAATTCACAAATAGTGAATTGCAGTCCAGACAACGTCAGGTTGCTCGAAAGTGACGACCCTACCATGTGATCTTTGGTTTCGGGTAGCCAGTCACCTTCAGCTCCAGCATGGCAGAAGCACCTTCATTGACTTCAACATCTGAAAGGCTTGCGTGAATGGTGGGAGCTTCGGGTGACTTCTTAATGACCGAACCTGTGTTAAAATCAAGGAATGAATACTAGAATTTAGGATCGTTATTTTGCGTTAAGGTGCAATATTTTGTGTTGCGTCCGAGCACACCAATCCTAGTGCTCTAAACTGGGCAATTTACGCGAACTTGAAGTAATCCCAAAGATTTAAGGTGCGGTCCTTCATTCAAACTAACCACCGCCATAAAAAGGAAGCGCACTCAGTGACTATTTTAGTACAGCCGGACATAAAACGGAAGAATAACCATTCTCATAAATAAATGACAACGTACCGCTTAAAATGAGCTTCAGTCTGATTTTTCGTCTTATCAAGGTGTGCAGAAATGTTCTAAAAACCGAAATAATTCATGGTTAAAGAGTCAACGCCTAACTATCAAGGTCTGTCTGCTTTCAGTGTAAATGATATTTATTACTGGTTTATGTCCAGTTGTACGCTTTAAACATTTGTTACCATTTGTCGGTCACAGAAAGGATAAGCCACCCAGCTTAACATTATTAATGCTCGTAACGTAAGAAATGTGATTAGCACTTGCTGAACAATCTAAATGGAAATCAGAGAAACTCTCGGTAGGTTTTCAAATTGGTTATTTAGAACCCAGTCACTCGGAGTCCGCAGATTGCTTCAACGTAGGATTGTAATATTACCAGTGTCTGCGCCCTAAAACGTAAAAAAAAAAAAAAAAAACGTAAACTCACAAACAATAAACCCAGTTCAGTCAAATCTAACGATTGATATATTTTATTATTTGTGAACTGCTTGCATTGTTATCACACCGTCTATGGGCGATCTTGGCGATATTTTTCTAAACTGACTCCGTTTGGTAAAAATAATTGAAGAACTGGAGATATCGATTTCTTTTGCATATTGCAGATTACTATGATATAGAACAGACAAAATGCTTATGAGACAAGTTTGTCTGCGAACCAAGTGGTTGGTACTAAGCTTAAGAAATTATTTGCCACGAATGATACCGAAGGCGGTGTTTTGACCACCACACCCTGAAGTATATCTTCTGCTAAATTAGAAAAAATAGTTTACTACTAATATAATTGTGTTTCCGTCATGCTTAAATCAGAACCAAAAAAAATCATGCCCCATTTTGTTGGTGGCTATATAGTATACGATTGCAGCTGCTGACATGCTTGCGGGTATAAATATATTTAACTTTTGTAGTTGGGCGAGTCGTTATACTCTCCACAAAAAATAGCGCGCAAACACAAGGACAAGTAGAAGACGGACACAATACTGTGTCTGTATCCGTGTTGTATTTATATTTATGTCTTGCAGCCTAGGTTTCGCAAATTAATTTATTTGTTTTGGTTAGTGATCTTAAGAATATCAGGTTCACAACTGAAGGTAACAGGATACAAATGTATCAAAACTACAGCATAGGATTTCGTTCTATTCAAGCCGCGATTCAGTAACCTATTTAGTTAGTTGGAATGACTCAAACTGCAACGTAATTGTAAAAGATAATAAAATCGAGATACAAAAGAGCACGAAAAAGGTCACATCACGCCTTACCTCACACCACTGAGGTATGATATGAAATTATCGAACGGCAAGTAATATTCTTGCACTAAAACACATTAGCACTCTATCAATTGTTACCTTCAATAAAGTTAACACCTTAAATAAAATTCCCGTCGAAGTAAAAATTAATATGAACCGAGGCTGCAATTAAATGTTTGCTGCGATTAGTCGGCATAAAGCACATGCCAGGAATTTAAAGGCTATCATGAGGTGAGAAGTGCGCCCTATCACTAAGTGTTACCATGAAATTTGAACATTAAGACGAAACAACGGCTTTTGGGAAAAGAACTAATTATAAGCAATGTATGCTGCACACGAAAACAAATACTTTTATCAAGTATACTAACTCACATATAGCTGGCGCGACACGTTGAATATGACATTTTTTAATTATGGGATTACTAATTCGGCTATGACTAGGGTAATTTTACTGCTAGCTGTCCTGAACGTTGGTACGTGTTTACTTTTGTACAATTTATGAAGTATTAATTACAAGTCACTAAATATGTTAAATATCTTATGACGCCACACAAGCAACGTTAGGCGTCATGTTCGAGTGCATCAAACTCACTCACGTCAAATGTTATTGTCAAGAAATCAAATATAAAGACATAGGTTTGGTTGTTTGCAGGAAACCTCCATGCATGGCAATTCATTGTTCTCAGTTAGTCAGTAAGTCTCACATCATGCATAATAATAAGTGACGATGCAAAGGTGTCTGGTATTTCAGAAGGTGTAAAAAGTTTCTTTCTGTGGGTAACTTGAGTGCACATCAATTTTATGAAAGTTGCGAATTATAGGGTTTAAATTCTGCTATATGATGCCCTAGATGCTTGAGGTTTAGACTGCGTCTAATTTTATAAAGGTACTGAACTAACCATAACGGAAATACCTAAAATTGATTGCAACCCTGAACGTTTTGTTGAGCGCAGGCCATACTTTTCCCATGAAAACTACGCGTCTCACAGGATAAATAATAAGGCTGTATAGGTCACTGCCAAGGGTAATTTGGGGTGTAGTATATTGCGTTTGAGGTAATAATTGTTTCATTTGTTGAATATAATAAACTTCTGAACTGCTAAAAAATGTTCAATAAAGAATTTAGTTGAGTATTATTCGAAAAAAAAACAAGCTCGTCACTTTTATACAATATGAGTGTGAATGGGGCGCTTCATCTCGCCTGAAAACAATTTTAACTCGCCACCACGGTTCCGGTTCCCTAACAGCTGTTCACGAAAAGACGCTGTCCTTAGATTACGTCTTCCAGGTTTCAGTGTCGTATTGATCCTTGGCCCTAATATTTAGCTATATCAAAATGGCATTGTGTTCAAATTGGATTGTTATTCCCATTATTTATATTATTCTTACCAGTACGCTCTCTATCCCACGTTTTTCTGGACGCAGTAAAATGCTTCAAGCGCTTTAAATATTTTGTAAAGTAAGTGATCTAGAGGGGCATATGTGCCTAAAGGTCTTCTGTAAATGCGGCATTAATCGTTTTTATCCTGTGGGGTGCGCATCTTCTGTGGGAAAAATGTGGCCCGCGTGCTTCGTGAATCAACCTGCATGCGTATATGACATTTCATATGTTTGTAGCTGTTTATAAATAAAAAAAGCATTAAAAAAACGCTAAACCCGTGGTTGATGAAACTGGGTTGTCTATAAAAGACACCTTATATACATTTTGTGAGCATACACATATAACACCCAGGCATTGGGGATTATAAACCGCTAATAGTTTCTAAACATTTTATGATCATACTCCCTAAAATACTATTAGCAGTCAGAACCAAACAGTTGTTTTTAAGGTAATAAATTTCAAAGCAATAATTTTTAATACATTTTAATAAAGTAAGACTAATGGTCGTAGATTAAACAACAAAATTTGAGGTTTCTCTACTTGTGCAAAGGTTGGATCAATTTGTTAGCATTAAATCTCCTGTAAAGTTCAGACACATATTCTAGGTTTCTAGCCCGACCAGTCAGTTTGTCCATGCAATGGTAATGCTAGAAAATGCTTTTTCTAATTTTAGTTTTGTCAAATACTTTTTTTTTCGATTGAGCTTTCACCAAAAACCCTGATATGAGACATTTTGTGCTTAAATAAAAGACAAATGCGTTACAACAGTTGAATGAATGAAAGCTCTCAAACCTTGAACTGTTAGCTCTGCACTACAAGAAATTTTGCCGCTGGATGTGCTAGCGACGCACGTGTAGAGACCAGCATCGTCTGGGGTAACATGTTGAAAAACCAGTGTTATATTGTCCTCGATATCATCGAACGTCACTTGAAATCTTTCACTGGCTTCAAATTCTTGGCCATCCTTGAACCTAGAATAGCAATTGAGACGTCCGCTGATATTACTGCAACCGGTAAAGTACAAATCACAGTCGGGTATCATTAATGCTGAAATTTAAATTTTATTGTGCCAATAATGCAAATAAAATATTTGAAATATAAATTTTATTGTAGGCCTACTTTCGTGCTTTTATTTCCGATGAAAGTTTTATGAGAATAGTTAAGTCGGAATGCACAAAAGAATACTGTAATCATTTATCTAAGAAGCCGTTGGGATATAAAAATTTTATTGCAACAATAGTAAATGTAGCACGTGTTAATAATGTTGAAGTCGCCGAATTGGCCGCTTCAACATTGTCAACATTGTCAAATGAATGACATATGGCACGGCCTCAATATACAGGAAGTTTGTTTTTAATTCGAATATAGTTTTTTTTTTTTTAAAGGGGGTGACAATCACATAAGTGTTGTTTTTATTGAATGTTTGTGGGGCTCGGTGGACACTAAAAAGAGAATAATCGTCTAGACAAGTTGGATATTGAATCACCGTTTGTTAATTAGCTTTTTAATTAATGGTTACACAGGTTGTGTTTGCAATCGCAGTTTTAACGGCAGTAATTCTGAAAGGCTAGAACAAGTTGAACGATTTCCAGAAAGAAGACGAGTTATAGGGTATTCATTGATCAGTTCTTGCTTTTCTTTTTGTCGCCCGATTGGAAAATCGAACGCAGAGAGAGCGCGTAATTTTTGCCCCCAGAGAGAGTGGCGTAATCGGGTCGATGACGACGTCACTACCTCGGCAGCGCGTCCTCGGTTGATGCACCCTCGGCCAGCATCATGCTAGGATAATCAAAGCCCGTGCACTAGTATTTCGACGTCATCCCACTGAGATCGAGCGCACATACAGTCTGGACACGAGCGCAGCTGCGTCTGCGTTCGGCTGAGCCTCGTGTCCATCAGCGGATCGAAGGACGCTTGGCGTCGTGCTCGGGCCCAGTTGCTGAGTTGACGCCCTCCGAGTGGGATGACGTTCCATGGAGGTAGCAGATGCTATTAACAAGGTTTCATCATTCTAAGGCTTGGGCGAAATGGATTGAACGCTCTTTACACTGACCACATTCATTAGTTTCTTAACTTACCGCTCTCATTTACTACAGAGGTGCCTGAAGTTGGCGAAGGAAGCTCACGCTAAAGTAATGGAAAGATTGGCTCACCTGAGTAAATCAAGAAGACTAATATAATTTGTGTGTGCACTGATATAAATACATAGTGTGTTACTGTGACGCTTATTTGTGCCAAATTAAGTGAGGAATGGGTAAGCCAATTTTATTTTATTTTTATTTCTCAAATTTTTTAATCGTAGTAACTCCAGAATAGCCCACAACGCTTTTCTGATTATTTTGAGGGAAAAGGCTTAGAGATAATGTTTTTCATAGACAAAGCCAGTTTTTATTTTCTTTCTTTGGGCTACGAAGGTTTCATATATTCATATTCTTAACTAATGAATGAACCAGCTTCGACCATCTCTGTCGTAAATGCCAGCGCGATAAGTTAAGAAACCGATTTATGCGGTCAGTTTAAAGTGCGTTCAATCCATTTCGCCCACACTGTAGTGCCACGGCACGCGACCGAGATTTTGACTAGGTCACAGAAATAAGTATGTCATTATTAAACTTATGGCTGTAGATTTAGCTCATGGGGCTATTTCTGCGTCGAGTTTTGGAATGGGCGATAAAGGCGAAAAAACTGAGCGGTGAATATCTAAAAAAAAAAAAAAATATAGAAAAAAATTTACACAAAAAAAACCTTTTTTAATTATTTAGCTTTTAACAGTATAAGTAGGCACATCAATTTCTTCATAACCTGCCCAGCTTGCTTAACAACTTTGTATTTTTCCACACTGACATTCATTGCTTAACAAAAAAGCGGCGTGCGCTGTTCAGGTAAACAGTGTTGTTGCTTTCTTTACTAATTGTATAGTGTTCTGATGGTGCAGGAACTCCGGACGTAGTAAAGTTTCGTAACTTTTTGACCTCTGTCCTCAGCACAAATTTCTTCTCATACAGTTCAGCTTCAACATTGTAAAAACACCCCGAGAAAGGAAAAAAAAAAGACGGAAAAACACAGAGGTAGCCATTAATGACCTCTGTGTGTGTTCGTCCTCTCTTTTCCCCTGTCTCGGGATGTTTATACCATGTTCAACTATCACTAACTCGTTTGCGCCCTATGCAGTTTCAAGTTTAAACAATCATTGCCGTCGATACTGCAATTGCAAAGTGAGCCATCAGCCCATTAATTAAAAACTTAATTAACAAATATGAGCTCATTATTATACTGATCGACATGGTTACCCTCCCATCAAATGTTTCACCGAGACCAACACACGTGCAGTGAAGACGGTATCCACATACTGGTTACCCCTTTTTTAGAAATTTTGTTCGAATTAAAAACAAACACCCTGTAGTAAAACACACGTTATTACATAATTAAATTAATCTGGTGGTTACGACCGCCAATTTCCATGTAACAAACAGAAAAAAATTTAGGCCTTACCATCTAAATGCGGGAGACCTCGGAGGAGGTGTTAAAGGGTGAGATCCTTCGGCACTGAAATCTCCCGTTAGCCCTTGGAATAATATCTTGTCTTCTGTGAAGGTCAAAATTGTGCAAACGTTTGGGGGACGAATGAATCATGCAGCAGAAGCAGGTTAACGCCATGTTCAAAAATCAAACAGACACACGCGTACGCACAAAAGTCAAAAGTTTGCGAATATTTCCACATTCCGATACAAGAGGCATCAACGGCATTCTATTTGGCATCCGTATTTATATTAAATCATTCGTGTAGCTTGATGCAATTGGAGCGCGAGCAGCGGAAGTTCGTAGAATAAAATATTAAGTTATATTATAATAGAATAAATATTAAAATTAATTTAACATATTTCGGATTCCTTGCAGTCGCTTCAAAGAATGGATGCATCAGATAACAGGCAATTGTTACTAACCAACGGTTTTCAGAAGTTGCATTGTTAATAAAAGCATCGCGAAGAAAAATGATTTGTTAGAATGTCACAAGTTCTGATCATAAATCAAAACATTCATGACAACCATGAGCACCCACGAGTGAGCGTTCGTAAAATTCGTGGCATGTTTATAACACAACTTTTCAGTCTAAGTTAAAAAAAAAAGTAACAGATTCATACATAACAGAAAACAATGTATTCCCTCCTTCCTTATGTAAAATCGGTTGATAGCCAAAGTCGCAATGGTTGATGGCGAAAGCGTCACAAATTTAATGGAATCTTCAGATATGGCATACTAATCTCCTGGAAGCCTCAAACCGGCATTCGATGTTTCGCTAAGGTATATTAAACTTGAAAAGTTTAACGAGCGTACTGGCTTAGGCATAAGTCGAAAGCCTAAAAATACACAAGGACAAAGAGAGAAGAAGACATCTTTCCAGGCGTGTGTTTGTCCGACTTTATCCTTGTATATTTTAATATTTCGATTCCTGTAGATTTATCTTCTTTGGGGTACAGATAATTGTGGTCTTACACGTCACTGTGTCATAGTGTGTATAAACGAACTTCGGAAGTTTTTTCTACACATAATAATGTAGGTTTTGCTTTATGATCAAAGCTAAAAGCTACGTAGATATTGCGTAATTTTCTCAAATGTTTCATGGATCTTGTATGTACTTTTGAAGATGTAAACGTTTCGTAGCCTCAATCAACTATATGTGTCTATATATAAAATATTGTCTCTGCAAAGGCACGAGGCACTACACCTAAATGTGTTATATACGAGTCTTATGGGACACAACACGCTTCGACAGGCGCTCTACTCTACATAACCACTTCTTAAAACCGACGTCAGTGAAACCACAATTTTGAGCAAAGAAAATTTCAGAACATTAAGCAATTACCTGGGGACTTCGATGTTGAAATCAACACGGAAAATTCTACAGAGTGTAAACCCCTGAGATATTAGTGAATGAAAGCACTTCATGGCGCAATGCAACAATGTGAGTTTACACGAGATTGGAGTTTTCTAGCGGATGACGGAAACAGAAAGAGTTTTCTAGGTTTGTCTGAGAATTCAATGTGTTTGTTTCGCCTTTTAGAAATGTCAAGTCTCGGGTAAATTCCCAATGTCTAACCTGCACCAGTTTGCTTTCAGCCTTGGTTTTGTTCGACCGTGCAGAATTATGCTTTTAGAGCGCAGCTCTTAGGCGCCCGTTTCCGGCTTGAGCAGTGTCGCCGTCGCCGTCGGCGTAACCGCGCGGTGCATTATGAGACATTTCCCATGATGCAACGCGCGGGGAGGAGAAGGAGGGGGAGGGGAGGAGGGGGTGCGGAGGAGGAGGGGAACAGGAGGGAGGAGGAGGGGAGGAAGGAGGAGGAGAGGAGGGGAGCAGCTTGAAGGATGAAAGGAGGAGGAGGTGAAGGAGACATCATTCGTGACGTTCACGAAGGTCTCGCGCGGTGCATTATGGGACATTTCTCATGATACAACGTGCGGGGAGGAGGAGGGGGAGTGGAGGAGGAGGACGAGGGGGGGAGGAGGGGGAGTGAAGTGTGAGGAGGAGGGAGGAGGCGGGTTAGAGGAGAAGGGGGAGCAGGAGGGAGGAGGAGGGGAGGGAGGAGGAGGAAAGGAGGGGAACAGCTTGAAGGATGAGAAGGAGGGGAGGAGGAAGGGGAGGGGGAGGTGCTGGGAGGATGAGGAGGGGAGGAGGAGAAAGAGGAGGGGCATACCCTCCCTTCAGTACCCGTCCCTCATCCTCCTCAAGAACTGCGCACTAATTCGGCGTTAGAGGATGTTGTAAACATCTTTCATTTTACTATGTTTTATTTTTGTTTTAGAATTATTCCCAATCGTGTTATTTTCAGCTTTACTCTTCAAATCTTATTTCGATGAGGTTGCTTTCTTGTAGACATGCCAGCATCTTTATATCTAATTATGTCCAAATACTTGTGTAAGTTGTGAAGTATGTTTAGGAGTTTTAGACAAAGCAATTCACTGTGCATGTTTATTTGGCACTTAAAGGCACATGCCAAAGGCAGCTGCAATGAAGAGATCGTAATTAATTACTGTAATAGTGCTATTTTAAGTACCCTATTCTCAGCATATCTGCCACTTTAGGAAACTTAGTAATCGGTCACTACAGATCAAGTTGTTTGGGAACAGTTTGATGTTTACGAGCCGGATGGCCAAAGTGTCAAGTTAAACTATGGATGTGCACTCTACTTAGGGATTTCGTTATACAATTAGTTGTATTTAGAACATTATTGCGTTTCACAAAACAGCTATTCAAGTCGATGTGCTCAACTCTCTAACACCTTGTCACTCTACTTTCAAAAGTTGCACAGTGGTATTTACAAACACCTTTAAATGTACGGTTACCATGGGGGTTATACAGTGAGGTAAATACAAGTAAAATATACGTTTTTGTCACGATTTACAGAAAAAAAAGTATAAGACGATAAAGGTAGAAACGAAGCATGATTCGTTTCCCGTCTCGGCAAAATGGTCAATTTGCTTTCTGAAAAAAAAAAAAAAAAAAAGAGAAAAAACCTAAAATGCATTATATATACAAATGAAGTAGTGTGCCCCAACCTTAACGCCGTCACCTGAGCGGTCGACACTGGTGGTTGGCAAGGGGAGATAAGAAGCCCCGTTTTGGCGGAAATTGTTTCAGCTACCCGTCAGGCCAAATGACATAATCTACCTCCGAATTGGGCTGTGGCGAAGCAGTCGGACGACTCAGGTTTCTACCTGATTGCCGAGAGTGATTTATATATATATAATCATATCAGGACAGGGCCAGGTTCTGCAAGGTTCAGAGAATTCCTGCCTTGCTCTAGAGTTTTGTGATGCTGTGCACCGTCTTTTAAAGGCAACGACAACCAATACTCATGACGCTGTGAATACTGGAGGAAGAGCATGGCGCTTCCAGTCCATTCTCTTGCTGACACCATGCACTCCGCGTCACTAAGAATGTCGCGACCAAATAAAAGTGCTAAGTGCGCCTTTCAACTAAGAGGTTTACCACACTCCATTTTACCTAGGTCGGAATTTGGATAGGTCCCGCCACGTGACGGGCAATTAAAACAACTGTTACTAGGATAGAGAAGCACACCTCAAGAAGGACGATCGCGTGGCGGCATTAATATCGGCAATGAAGTGCACCTTCGACGTAAACCATGCACATTTACCTCGTTGAACTAAACAAGATAAAAAAGGTAGTCGAAGCTGGTACAAAAAAACTCGATCAGGAACCTTCTGGAAGCCTTATAATGTCCGCAAAAGTTTCGCGAAAAGACATAGATTCCAAAGGGCCCTGAAAAAGCGAAGTATCTTTGCAAAGTGTCGGCTGCCAGTCGGACACCTCGAGGAATTTTCTTTTTAAACTCGCTCAGTTTAATGTTTTAAGGAAATTGGATGACCGATTAGGGTTAGAAATAGTTAGAGAATTATCGTTTCAAATGATGTCTCTCATTCGCAGCTACCACTAGTCACATGACCTACACTACGTCGGAAGCCAGTCGCAAGTTGGGAATACGCGCGAGGGTAACTCGCGACGTCAAGAAAATAGAATGTTTATTGGCTTTTTGCTTTTTAATATCATTACACGGTCTGCATCACAACAATCCGCTACTTCCAAATATACATTGCACTCTTTGTCTTCCCTTCAAATCAAGAGATGCCTTACACGTTCTTTATGTTTTGATTCCTAACTCGACCACTGCTATGCTATCGAATGACAGGGACGATTAACACATTTTAATGCACTTACTTGTAACGGTGATGGTGCCGGAAGATTCGTCTTTTCCTTCCGAATTAACGGCAACGCACGAATATTTTCCCATATCCTCAAACGAAATGTGATCTATAACGAGTTCGAAAACTTCCTTGCTTTCATAAATTACTCGTACACGATCATCCTCTTTCAGTTTCTTGCCGTTCTTGTAGCTGAAAAGAGGGGCCAAAAACGTAGGTGAATCACGTTTCTATTGTTTGTTCCGGTAGTAAGCTTTGTTTTCTATCGAGTAACTGTACCACCATTAGAAAATGCACTAAGCTTATCATTTCCGTCGGGCAATTGATCAACCCCGACATCACTCTGTTAGCGAAATCTAGGTTCGGCTTTAATAACAAAAGTATTGTAAATTCTTTTCTCTTCTTTTGTTTCCTTAGCTTCCGGTGCAGTGTTGTTGCCGGCAATAAAAACAACAACAAAAAAACAAAAAAAAAACAAAACAATACACTTACAAGGTTACTTCGGGTTCTGGGCACCCTCGCACCACCAGTTCAAACCGGACGGATGTTCCTTCCAAGAGTTCCGTATCTTTCAACTTTACTTTGAATACGGGAGCGTGAGGAAGAACAGTTCCTCCGGGACTCGTTGGTCTTGAGTCTCCCTTAGACACGCTTAAACCTGAAAAGAAAAATGATGCATGGAGAAAATCCTGGGTATAAGCCATTTTAAACTTTTAGGGATTATCGTAAAAGTTTGTTTTCTATGCTGCAGTGCTGTTTATACGCACTAATAATTATAACAACATATTTACCAGGCTTGACATAAACGGGTGCACTGCAAGAGGCAGTTCCTTGCGGGTTCGACGCAATGATAGTGTACATTCCAGAGTCCTCAACTGATGCTTCATTGATCAAGAGTTTGTGCTTCCCGGCATCTTCTTTTGTCTCAACGCGTTGACTCTTCTTGAGAGGAATGTTGTCTTTCAGCCACTGCACAGTTGGTGTTTCAGGAGAGGAGACTTCACATTCCAGGGAGAGGTTATCGCCCTCTATATAAAAGTAAAGGACAAAGATAAGGGCATGGTCAATTTCTGTACTAGTTTAGAACTGTTGAGTGGTAGGCTGAAAAGATAAACTTAATTTATGAGTAAATATAAAGACACAATAGACTAATTTAAGTAATAGGTGCATGAAATGTTATCCTGCACTCAAAACGTTGCTTAAGAGATATTTGCGTTCCTCAACCGAAAGCAAAATCATTGCATTTGATAAAAAAATGTTAATTTTGAAAGGGCCGTTGTACAAATTATGGCATATTAATGGACATAGTTTTAACAATAAAATAGCTTAAATACAAACAAAAATAATAACGGAAATATTTCTTGATACATTTTGTTTCTCGCTAGAACACCTTATGATTGCAACGTACCCGTAAAAATGATAAAAATCGAGAAATGGTATAACATGCTTCCAAAGTTCACAGTGTGACACATTCAGTGCAAATACGATATCAATCCCAGTTCGTCCTTCGTACCTACAGGTAATTATAAAAAGCAAAATTGCACTGCCTAAGTTGGCGCCTTATAATCACATATTCATTACACCCCCACCGTAATATCGCGAGAGATAGCCCACCTATAATCGAAAGCAAATCGGTCGAAAATAAGGTGTAGGCTAACTTTCGTTTTTGCGATAATAAGAAAAATGAAAAAATACTAGTTTTAGATTTTGTGACCTGCGAAACTTGAAATCGCAGGGAGAGGCGATGCACTACAGACGACTGTCCTTTCCAGAGAGCAATGTTCGCTTATCTCTCGCAGTGGCTAAGTCACCCAATTTCTGCTGAGGACCCCATTGGCCAGAGCCCTGCAATTACGATAAGTGGCTATCTTTCGGTATCTTTAAATAAAGAGAAAATCTTGCCATAAATTGCGGTGGGTTATATATCGAGGGTGGGGCACCTCTGAAGGTTTTACGATAGTTTTGATGCTACACGTGTAGTTGTAATGGATACACTTCAGAGACCGGTGATCACGTGTGTAGCTAATTGGATTGTGAACTGCGGGTATCTAAAAACTTGGCCCAAATCCTTTTCATTTTGTTTATTTTTTTAATGTGCTTTCAAGGATCCGATTTATAAAATAACTTGATGTGATAAGTGTCTGGATATTTCATATAAGTGTCTAGACAAATGAAAAGTCTAACTTTATGTCCGGGAAGAACATAAATACCAAAAGTATAATAATGTCTGTTCCATTTTATGGCAATTTTTTATAAATTAAGATTAACAATTTCTCGAGGGAAAACTGATTCGCTCTGCTGTTTCCGCTTCTATGAACCGATATATATATATTAACATATATACATTTCTTCATTGTGTACATTGGCATGAATAATTCTGGGGCGCAAGATAAGTAAAAAGAAAACACAAACGGAGCTGCACCTAAAAGACAATATTAAATAAACACAGAAATTCACTATATTAGACACGCACAAACGACGGAACACGCACGATTGTAAAGAAAAAAAGAAGCACTAACGTGAGCAAGTGAGGCCCCGAAGTGCCTTCTGGAACTGCGGCTTCCCTGAGGCATCCTTCCTGGATGCTGTTAAATAAACAGATTCGTCTTCAGCAAAAGAATTGAGTGACTGAATTTCTGAAAAGCACCAGAACACCACAAGTGCGTTTCAATACAATAAAGTATTAATTCTTCAACGAATGTGAAGTGTGAAAAATTTAGAATATCCGTGATTTACTTTCCCAAATTTAGTCAAGTTCGATTTCATGGGCACATTGTGATTTGATGGGCACCCTGAAATAAAGAGCTTTCACGCGTATTTTTGTCCCTTGTAAAAATAGAAATTATGGAAACGATAACAATAGACTTCTTCCAAAATCGAAGCGCCTCATCGCGGCGAAATACCACGCAGTGCACTGTGGGAACTAGTTGGCCACTCAGTTTCGGTTTCGTTTGAGCAGCTTCATTTCATGCCATCACGCCGTGACTGAATGCGCTGCTTGCGTTTTCGATTATCTTACTTTTCACGAATGTACAATACATTCCCTATCGAGCGATGGAAAACGAAAGCCGGGGCACTTTCTTTGGTTCCCGAAACACCGGATATTGTGCGTGCCTATGCAAACGTAGTAAGACGTGGCTTAGTCACCTCACCCCACGAGTGCATCTCTGAGCTCAATTTCAATAATCCCGTCAGATACCAGAGAATTAAAACTGAAATTAGGTGACCTTGAGTCTTAGGTGTATTTTGTTTGCCAAATGTCCGCTTCTTGTTAGTTTATTAGGCGAAAAGCAAGCCGCATCCTCACAGGAGTATCTAAGTTAAGCCCAGCGTTGCCGCATTAACTTTTAAGGAAGCGCAATAAATTCGGCCTCATTACTGCACAAAAGTTACTATGATGTCTTCCTCGTGTTATCATATATATCCCACTCAAATTTTATGCTGATAGGAGATTAAGTGTTCGCGAACGCTGAGACCGGCTAGTTACAACGGAGGCCCTAACAAGCGTCCCCTATACTCCTCGCTAAGCTTTTGTGGACGAGATTTTACTGACGCCTAAAATCTTTGTCTGGATGGTGTGTCTAAAATGATCTCGGCATACTCAGGAAGAAAACAAACATAAAACAAATATTATGGCCATTAGCAACCGTCAAATGCGCTTTGAATAATTTTGTTCGTTTAGCGCACCGTATAGCGGCGCACTTCCGGCGAACGGTGCGACATGCTTCACACAAGTGCTCGAATTTTGCTTTCCTAAAATGGTTTATATGAACGAATGTGCCTATATGATTGCAGGATACCTTTATGCGCATACGTGATGTTGAATATTAGTGGAATGCAAGCGGGTGGAGACCACTTCGTGCAGTGCTGCGGGGCAGTACAGGTAAGAGATGAGAAGTATGTTCGATTTGAGCTTTTCAATGGCGCCTCCGAGTTTTTCCTCGCATACTCAGGCGTATTGATAAAAGCAGTAATTTAAAAAAGTTATAATTCGTCTATGGACGCACAAAACAAACAAACTTCTTGGCCAGCAACACTAATGTAAAAGTGCGAGCTCGATGTATGCATACGTATTGGTTGTTACAGCTTGTTGACTCGTACATAAGCAAGATCACCGAGCTTCGCAGCGTCGAGATTCCCAGCACTGACTCGGTCACATACCTCGAAACGCTAACCGAAAGGCTCGAGTACAGAATACCACAAGAATGTGTTAAGATTAAGCTATACGTCTCGGGCTTGTGGTAAAGCTTCGAGGCCTGGCCATTTAGGTTAGTTTGGAGACCAAAAATGACGCTCTCGGGACCAGAAAACATAAGATACGCTCTGTGTATAATCTCCTGTCGGCATGTCGATCGAAACCGAAAGCATGCCACGCTTCTCCCTGGCCAACTAGTTCCCAGAGTGAAGCGCGCGCAGTGTTGCATGCAGGGGTTTATGGAAGTAGTCTATTGTAAAAATAGGAAAAGAAAGAAACTAGACATTTGGAGTTGTATCACTTTGTTAGTCAGCACGGAATTCTAATTGACGGAGGAGTAACGCACCGAGCATTTTAGCAGAAATGAAGCACGGACGGAGTTAATACATAACGCGGATTATACGCCAGGTGCGGACAATCTAAGAAGGAAACTGTTTTTTTTTTCTTCAGTCAAAGTTTGTTTTTGCGGACAATGCATCGGGTGCAGGCTATATATACTCTGGAAAATACGGTAATGCTGATTTTTACAGTGTTGTGACCATTACGCATTAGCGCTGCACGAACGCCATAAATACATCGGCACACACACAAAATAAAACTAGAAACAGTAAATGCACTTGTTTGATACACATCTCTTACTGAGAGGTGGGAAGAGATAATCGGAGCTGCGGTATTGAATGAAAGAGATAATCAGAGCTCCATGGCTACATTGAATGAGAGGCATGGGCAAAGACACTTATTACCGTCAATCGATGTAACCGAGCCAGAACGGATGCTGCCTGTTGCGGCGCTTGTAGCCTCCTTGTACGCCTCAAATCCTTCCAAAATTTCTGTCTTTGGCAGAGATGATGATGGAGGTTCGGGACTGACGGGTACTGCAGTTGATTCGGACAAAGAGCCTGTATGACTGTAGGCACTCTTGTCTTGAAGACGTTCCGCGATAGACGTATCTTCACACTGCATTTCTTCGACAACTGTATTGAAATAGACAAAAACAAGCATTACGCTTTGTTGAAGTGAATCTCAACAGTAGAACTAGTTTTAACGAGCGTCTTCATATCCACATTATTTCTAAGAAAACAATAGAAAATAGGGAAACAGCAGAAGATATACTATTTTAGCTTTAGCGACATTTAATCTTCTCCCGGTAGTGGAAAGGGAACAGCGCATCGGGGCACAGTAAATTGTCGATGCTGGGAGGCTGTGTTTTTGTCCGTCTTTTTTTTTTTTACATATAATTTGTAACCAGCAGAAGTTTCAAAGGTAACCAGCACGCCGAAAGCTAACTTACATCAATACGAGCATTTCTTGATAGCTTCTGCTTTTCATCTGTTTTAGATCAAGATTTAACTAGCTTGTTGTTTAAGCACTGGGTAACTAATCGTAATATTATTTATTACTTTATAGCAGGGATGGGCAAAATACATGCAAATATGTATCGAAATACAAATACAAAATACTTCGTCAAAAATGTATTTAGTTAAAAATCTGAATGCATTTCCAAAAAAGCATTTAAGTACAAGATACAAATACAACCAAATGTATTTGGTCTCCTCCAAATACTTTTCCAAATACATTCCTTAAAGGGATACTACAACGAAATTTCGGCGCTCATTTTTTGGTCTATATGTGTTTAAAGGAGCAGTATCACATCGAACATACCAATATATTGTTAAAAAGTCTCGAAAAGAAATTTTAAAACGAATTAAACGATTATCAAAGAGCACCTGGTGGGTGTCGCTAACGCCTCGTTTGTAATGCTCGTCTAAGAACCTAGTGATGGAGGTTGTCTCGCCTCCGTCCACGACGAAAAAAGAGGGGCAGGAGGAACTGCCCTCTTCCCGAGAATGCCTTTTGTGTGTCGCAGAAGTAGCTATTGTCTCCCTACAAGATTATAGAAGATTAACCCGTCACTCAAAATTCATACAAAAGCAGCCGCTTCGGTGGCTGGAACGACTAGGCCATCCTCTCGACGTCAGCCTCGCCATAGCTTTGCTCGTCCCGAGACGACCTACGTCACGATTGCGTTGGATATCACGTGGTCTCCGCAGGGCCTTCTCCGAGCGCTTGCCAGAGTGGGCCGTTTATAACGAAAAGTACAGCCACCAGGCTCAAAATACAAACGTGCGATTGTCTTTTACGGATATTGTGGATACTATTCAACCTATTTTTGAACACGACGGGAATATTTCAAATTTCGTTGAAGTATCCCTTTAAAATTTGCGTCAGCGACTTCAGAGCACCTGCAACGGGTTTCTGGGTATCTCATTTTAATTTTGCATCGCATTTTGCATTTTGCTCTAGTAACGTAATAGAAATATAATCACAAAAAAATGTAATCAGCTTAAACGTAATAGGTGAAAAAAGTACAGAGCTTCAACCGCAGGGTTGGGCAGTATCGCGATACAAATGTATCGCGATAGTATTTCAGAAATACATTTCGTATCTGTATTTCTGTATCGCGATACATTTTTTTCACCAGTATCTGTATTCCTGTATCGAAATACATTTTGAATGCTCCTTTGTATTGCAATACAATCAGGGTGAAATGTATTTCGTTACATTTCTTGAGAAATACTCTCCCCCCCCCCCCCCAAAAAAAAAAAAAAAAAAATCTAACGCATTTTTTTTTTGAGGGCACCAGGGCCAAGGAGGTGCTGGGGAATTGCTACCATGCCTGACCAAGGTTCCTTCATATTCTCCAAACTATTTTCCTATGCGTCCTCTTTTCCCTTCTGAGAAGTTTTGCGTAGTCGGGGACTCGAACTAGGTGGCGTGCCAGGAGTGAAGTCAGAGCATCTTCTGCCGCAGGTCCTTAGGTAGGAATTTCTTGAGTTATTATTTGCTGACATCCAATGCCCGCTGCTAACTGTCTCTCTTGCCTTAGCGTACGCAGTACACCCGGCCGGCAAAGCTGAGTCACAGTCCGTTGCAGCAAAAGCCGGGCGGTGGTTGACTTGAAACAGTAGAATGACTCACGCAGTGAAGTTCAACACATATTCGAATGCGTCTGCGGCTGCGCTCGTAATATTGCACTGCTCAAGGCTACGTCATCAGCCGACCTGAAAGTAACCCGCTGCTCTGGTGATCCGAAACCCAGGAAGGAAGTCAGACGTGGCCTCACTGTGCCGACCCAGACTTCATACACCTGCGACTCGTCTCGAGCTCGCTGTTTCTCGAAGAGCTCGCACTTGTGCCGGCAATATCAGGTCGCAGTCCGCGAGGTCTCTATTTGGAGTATGCGAGTCAGAACTTGTGGAGTGCAATCCATGCGTCGGTGGCAGGGGGTCGACAGGAAAGACTTTTACAACAGGGATGCCACCATATCGTTTTTAACCGTAAGAAAAGATAAGACAGGTGTTCCAGGATGCTTCAGGTAACCCACTATTCTCGAAAAATCCAAATGACACTGCCTGCTCGATCTTCAACGAGGTAACCTACGACGAAAGTACGTATTGTCCTTTCATAGAGCAGCGTGCAAAATTTTCATGTTCCTGGTCACACCTACAGATAAAGAATGCCAGTTTATTCCACCGTGACGTCATGTGATAAATGCTGACAAGAGCGTCCTTATTGAACAGGGGCATGGTGATTTTGGATTACATATAATTTATTTAAAAATCGAAGTCTTTTCGCACCCCTCATCAGACAGACAGGATGTCAGGGAAGGGACCGCAGTCAGTCCTTGATGGAACGTTTTTTTCAAGCCCATTGAAGACTCCTCGTCGTCCGAAATCACTACCTTCAAGGCAAAGTGCCAAGCCTACGGTAAAATAATTTCAGATAAAAAACTTCAACCTCCAACTTCAAGGTTCATCTCATTTGGCGTCTCAAAATAATTTCAAAAATGTATTGCAGTATCAGTATTTCTGTATTTGTATTTCTGCCCTCCCTAAAATGTATTCCTGTACTTGTATTTCCAAATACTTTTTGCCTCTATTTAAAATGTATTTCCGATACGTATCGCGATGCACTTTTACAGATATATCTCAGTATCAGTATTTTAGCTACTATTTTAAGGTATCGCTGTATTTGTATTTCCAAATACATTTTTGAGTATTTCTGCCCAACACTGGCCCTTCAAGCAGCTTTTTTCGTCGATTATATTTTGGCATAGACTAACAAAGAACCAAGACGACCAAGACGCGCGGCACTAGCTAGAGAATTTTTTATTGTTGCAACTCGCACCACTTACGAAAATCTGGATGACCCGCGCATTTAAAATGTTCGAGGCAAACATATGGATGGAAATCAGGCTGGAAAGCATCACAAGTTGTCACAGGCACTTATTTAGCCAGTCTGCCTGTGAACGTCAATTTCGTCACTATTCTTGCCCTGGACTAGCACCGTAATCACTGTCACTAAACGCTTGTGCTTGATTGAGAGACACTGCATTCGGTGCAGAACGTAGTTTTCTTCTTGCTCTGGACAGTGACAATAAATTTGAGGGATGTATTTTCGCCCACAAAATTGTATTTAATTACAATTGTCTTTGAAATACCCACGTTTTAGTATTTAAACACACGTCAAATACATTACCCAATTTGTAATTAAATACAAATGCAAAATACACAAATTATTCGAAATACGTATTTCAAATACTTGTATTTGAAATACTGCCCATCCCTGCTTTATAGTTTCGGATATCTCTGCATGCAAACATCTACACAATGCATCCGGAACACAAGACTGGTATTTCATTGATGTGCTTAGCCTGCAAGGAGGGCGAGTAGTATTCCGTTCAGATATCCATAAAGCATCAGTGACAAGAAAGGTGGAGGCTTTTTGTCACTGATGACCATTCCAGTGTGTATCGACACTCTCCTCATTGGCTAAATTTATTAAAATTACTAGTGATCGAGCACTCCACGGTGTATACCGGGAAACATGGATCCTTAAAACAATATATATGTAAACATTTTAAGAGCAGGAATTTCTGTTATTCTGTAGAAATTTGTATGTACCCGTGAGATGACAGTTTGAGATTGTAACTGGTAATATCCCTTTCTGAACTTTCCTTTACTCTACGTTTACTCCATGTTTTGGGCACAGCTGATAAATGTAAAAAAAAAACATATGGTGCTCTAACAAAAAAACAAAAAAAAAAGCGCAACTTTTTTGCTAATCTCGGAGGGGTACAATCCAGGCGGTCAGACTTCCGTTGTCGTTAGGGTTAACTCAATTTGTGAGGTGACGGGAGTCGGTGCCAGCCGCATTCTGACATGCCCGCAGAGTGCGTCGGCAAGCGTGCTTCGGGATTATGCGTCCCGTAGACAAGTTCACATGCGTTTTTAATGGCTGTTTACTTCTCGTAATTCCGTAGATTGATGATGTAATAACAGATCTAAACCTGAAAAAGTTTCTCACCTTCGCTGGCGATCGTTGATGCATGAAGTTCCTCTGCCCACTCCCTCTTTTGCTCTTTGTCTTTGGCGCGAAGGGTGATGGGCACATCCTCACCAGAGGCGTCTCTTTGTAGAATCTTCAATGTAACGTCCTCATCTCCAGTATCCACAATTTCAGATTCCGTGGTCTATTCAAATTAATGAAAATACTTCAATGTATAAGCGTGCAGTATTTTTTTTTTTTTTTTTGCTATTCAAAACATGTTAGCGACACAACTATACAATACTTTGCCGTAGGCTATCTATTTTTAGGTGTGCATTACTATAAAACATTCGACCATAACAAAAGATGCAACAAGGAAGACAGATAATATCACGTTTTAGTCAGTAATTCGACAGTACGTTCTTCTCGGCGCGCAGAGATCAGTGAAAGTTGGGGATATTATTACTTCAGATGTTTTAACAACTGAGTATAAAATTTAAGCACAGGCGAGTCTAGATTTAGATATATGTATAACATGTAGTAATCATCTTATTGTTTTATGTATTTTGTAATTTTTTAGACTGCTTCGGCGTATCAGGCGACAATTATGACATATACAAACCTCTGATTACGTATACTATTTAAAGATACAAAGAATCATATATGACTTGCGGGTTTCGTAAGGCTGTACTTTTTGTGGCTCTGACATTTCGTAGTCATAATGTAAGAAGTCTACATACACACACTCAAAAATAAGTTAAAGTAGGTAAAGCTAAGCAATTAAACGAGGTATTATCTCGGCAATGTTAAATAGTCGTTGCGACTTACAGTCCGGAGAAGAGAAAGTTTTTCAGGGCTGGTGTCTACTTCATAAACGTTTTAAATAGGTAGCACAGCCGCAGAGCGAATATGAGTTGAGAGCACAAACATGTGGTCTTGTAGTTCCTTAATTACACAAAATAACATATAAAGCTGAGGGCTTTCATTTGAAATCGAACACGCGTGTCAGGGTGAATATTTTGATTTGACTAAAGCACACACACACACACATACACACACAAACACCTTGTATATACTGGGTGATATTATTTATTCGGAACAGGTTTTTGTAAAAACGCGTCTTTACTGCTACGTGAATGCCGTTTCCGCTATATGTTTCTTGAGCTCGGCGGATACTCGAGGGGCGAACAACCGTCACAGTTTGGTGAGTAATTAACTAAGCTCGTTAATTAACTTTTTTACGGTTCCAGTTATATATATATATATATTAGCCCCGTTTGCGCAATGAACAAAAAATCACTTTTTAATATTTTTTTAACAATATCTCTCTACTAATTTTCCGAAGTGGAGCACGGTGAAATGCGACGTTTAGGCTGCTTGCTTTTTCTACGTTCTGTCAGTCGTTATAGATAGGTAAAAAAAAAAAAAAAAAAAACTCACTGTAGCTTTTTGCTGTACATTTATAACACATAGCCTATTTTTTGTTTCAAACTAAATTTCTTTGGCTTATTTCATGAAAGAAATTAAAAAAAAAACCAAACATTGCATCTTTGTTGTTTTGGGGGAATATTTGGAGCCTTGTATCTTAGGATTCATTATACATTTTTCTTAAAACTATATGCCTCTAGGCCTATACATCTGCTGTTGACTGGTAACACTTCAATTTAATTTATTTTAGCGAAATAATTTATGTATTTTGTTTTTATTTAATCAAAAAGTAAATTTTGCCATAATTTCAGCTCGCGTTATTAAAAAAAAAAAGAAGTCAATTTGATTTTTTTTTATATTGTTCCCAATGATGTTAACTATCTGTGCGCATAGTCAAAGTCCCCCCCCCCCCCCCCCTCCTTTTTGTGTGTTTTCTGTAGAAGTGCTTAAACACATAGACATGCACCCGAATCGGCAAAAGAGTAGTATCGCAAGTTGGCTTTAATGCAAGGTTTTAATAGCCTTAAAATGCTAAGGGGAAAGGGTTCGGAAGTGTTTGGGAGGTGGAGGGGCGACAGAAAATGGCGATGGAGAGGAAGAAGGGAGAAAGTGTTGACGTGCCCCCCTTAAACAATAATGTTTGTCCCTACCCCTCCGCTGTTCCAACACCACTGGCAAGTCATGCTTCTTAACGAAATAATAGTGAGTGAGCAGGCGAGCTCGTGATAATTAATCATAACGTAACATCTAAGATTGTGGTACAAACAATTTAAGAAACTTTCAAGTCGAAGAAATAAACAAAAAGATGCCTCGATCATTTTTAACGCATTAAAAATAATTTTAGACGTTCTCCTTTGAGGCGTTCTCATACTGTTTTTTTCCCTTCGAGTTGAACGGTTCTTAATTTTTCCGCACCACACTCTCAGGTGTGCCATTATGGTGCATGTTTCTTTTTTTGTGGGGTAGGGGGGGAGATTTTAGTTAGGACACAATTGAGTCGGGCTGTATATTTTTCTTTATCTCCGTTAGTAGGTATAATAGTTTTTATCTCTCATCTCGTCCGCATTTCTCTGCTGTTAAAAACCATAAGACGAGATCTGCAACCGGCAGGCTTTGTGTAGCAACTGTCATTCCAGTCCTCTGCACGAGGTTTTTACATTTAAGTTTGGTTGTGTCCAGATTTATCAACGACCGTCGTTCACAGATTTCATTGTCTACTTACGACGGTCGACATAAAAAGAAGATGTATCGAAATGAACGTTTTCGCTTTGTAAAAAAGCACCTTGACGTTGATGTGCTGAGGTCAACCTAGTCCACTCGCAGCGTTGTTGCTGTGAGGTATACTATAACTTGCTTTATGCCAGAATTGCTTCGCACGCCTGGCTGAAAACTCTGCGTGCTGTGCCAGTAAGCTGAGCTTAAGTTTGTGCCCAAGTGTAATTTCCAAGCATGATATGCCCAGGGACGTTAAGAAAGCAATTTCTGCCGGTGGACTAAATTACAAACAATAGACATGCCGTGAAAGTAATTAAGGATTGCAAGAACAAAAGTCGTAATCAGAAAATACATGATAAGGTCTATTTAGAAGACCTACCCAACGTTTCTGAAAGCCGAAAAGGAGATCCCAACATGTTAATCACTCTGTCTAAAATTAATGAAGGTCAACTCAAAGCGAACAGTGTGTTCCTACTTATGTTCTACCAAATTTTGTCTGTTTTTGTAATCATTCAAATATGAAATTACAAAACAAAAACTTATCTCCATGAGCCTTTCACAAAGTTGGCCTCACTATATCTATGGTGAGGTGTTTCATACGGGGAAAACATTGATTAAAATTGTGTTGCTTGTATTTTTAGAGAGCCTTGAAGTTGGTATGCTTCTACGGGTGACCTGCTTCATAGGAGTAGATGAGCAATTAAGCCAGTTCAGTGCAGCCGCAAACCTGGGGTCTTTAACGTGCACCGCGCAGGAGTGATTACACGAACACGTGCGGTACGAAACTCATCCAGATCGAAACGGGCAGGGGCTAGGAATCGAACCCAGGAGGATTTGCAGCGCAAGCTTTTACTCCACGTTCCAAGCTGAGACGGGTTAGCCCACTCGGTCACCGAGACCCCTAAAACACTGATTCTGATATATCTTCCTTTTATGTTGGTCATTGTATCAAGACTCGACCAAATCTGTGAATGTCAGTCATTGTTAAAACTTGACACATGTAAATTATCTGGTGAACAAAAAAAAAAAAAGAAAAAAAAGAAACTAGAGGAGCTAGGGGACTGGAATGCTAGCGACAACACCATGTATTCGAGAATTTGTAGATATAATCTACTTTTAACTACCGTTAAAATTGAGTAGTTGCACTTCTCTGGAGGAAAAGAACATGACAACCAGAAGAACACCGCCAACATGAGGGATAAAATATATTATATATGCTAAACTGAGATAAACGACAATATGCACCCTGACTTAAGTGTTCTAACTTAAATAATAATAATAACAATAATATAAAACGCATGCGTTGCCAGTAACGTCAGAACAGCTGAGGGGTAGGGGCGGACTTTTTTTTTCTAAGGGGGGTGCGTCGCCTCTCCACCACCATTTTCGAAAAGACCGAGGACACTAGACGAGTGGTTCTGTCCCAAGGGCTCATCATAACACAGGAAAGCCATCCTCGATTTACTGGTGAATTATATAAGATCTGGTGCCCATCACCTTATCTAGACTGCGTAATCATCTACTCTAAGCCCTGCAGTCTGTTAAGACTGAGAATAACTCGGCAAAGGCAGGCGATTCTTTGATAGAAATAAATACATGCTTTATCTCACTCACACCGTCGCCCCTTCACCACCCAAACACGTTCCTTAGCATTTTAAGGCCAAAAAAACCTCGCAGTAAAACCAACATGCGAAATTGCCCTTTTCCCAATTCGAGTGCGTGCATGTGTGCCTAAGCACTTCTACAGTCAGCAAAACAAAAAAGGTAACATGATGCGCACAGAAAGTTATCGATGTGAGCAATATAAAAAGAAAATAAAAGTAAAAATGGCCTTTTTTGATAACGCGGGTTCCAGATATGGATACATTTATTTTTAATAAAACTAAAAAAATATATATATTTAAATTATTTTGTGAAAATAAAAATAAACTAGAGTGGTACCAGTCGAGAGCATGTGTGTAGTCATACGGGCGTATAGTATTTATTAAGCAAAATATGTAATGAGTGCTAAACTACAAGGCTCCAAATATATCACCAAAAAAATTTTTTTTTAATTTCTTGCACGACATATGTTAAGCCAGTTTAGTTTAAATTCAAAAATAGGCCATGCGTCAAACATTTACAAGGAAGATTGCCTGTGAGTGTTGTCATTTTTACCTATATATAACAACCGACAGAAGTGGGCACAGATATCAAGTAGACTAAACATAACATATGATTTCACCTTTCTCCACTTCAGCATTTTTGTGGAGAAAAATAATTAATTTTTTTTTAAACTGGTATTGTTTATTGCGGAAAGGAGGATAAATAAAATAACCATCCCAACACATGTGTTTGATTTCAAATGAAACCACCAAGCTAGTGATTATTACTAGTAGTGGAACCACACAAAAACAGCTACCACATTTCGGCTCTCATATGTTTCCTTAAAACAAAACTCATCATAGAACCAAAAATAACCGTGGTTCACAATCTGGACAAACCTAAGTTTGATTCAAGGAGTGAATTGTACTGAAGTAAATGTGGACAAACTAAACTAAAACAAATGGAGAGTAAAAATTG